TTTTCCTCTATCTGGCATATACCTAGCCGAAGCCAATTAACCCTTTGAGTCCCACACCCGACAATGACATGCAGAGAGTCAATGGGGTTCGAGTGTTTGTTGTGATTGGAGGGTTAAGGTCAAGAGAGGGCCTCCTCCAGAATGCTGGCATGTAAAGCGAGGGTCATAATGTGACATATTTCATACTGTGCGGGGGAGACTAACATGTCTGGTCAGGTGAATACCTCCTCCACAATGAAAAAAAATGTCAAACCTTATTTTCTTGAAGGGTGTAAAAGCAAGGGTCAAAGTCCTTTATCATGAAATTCCATGTTTGAGATATATACACATATTTGTTTTCAAGTTGTAATTTCAATTGAATCGAAGTGTTACTTTAGAGACAGTAGTTGTGGCAGGTGGATAGAAACATACATGAACATCAAGTAATTTACATTTTTCTTAAAGAGGAGATAGAGAGTAGAAAGGAATTGGGAGAGTTGGGGGGGGGGGGGGTGAGATAAGAAAAAGGAAGAGAGAGGGAGAAAGAAAGAGAGCAGAGGTCTTATGACTTCGTGTTTGTAGCAGCGATCTGGCAGTTTTCCAATCTAATTGACTCACAGTAATATAATATCATCATTTTACCTTTTCCCAAGAACTATACCTACTATCTGCTCTAGTGATACTAGGAATACAGGCTTTCTTGAAAAATGTATGAACCATAAATTGAAAAAACATCTGTTCACAAAATATGCATTAAATGTTGTTTGCAGTCAGTGGGAGCATGGGAGGTGAAGGTCTTTCCTAAAGTAAAATATCAGAGAACTGCCAAGTTGCGGGGAGGGGGGGGGGGGGGCATGGTAGGGTGACAAAGATTTTAGAAGATTCCAGGAATAATTGCTATCTCAGCCATTCTTTCTAAACTATTGCTTCTTTATGAGCCATAGAAGCATCTCTTCACAAAAAAAAAATGCATTTCATAAGCTGGGTATTGCTGAAGGGGATGGTTTTACTGCAGTACAGTATCACAAACTGCCATATTGAAAAGGTCTGCAAAGGTCTTTGTGAAATTTCTAGGAATAACTGCTCTGCTGTTAACCATGCTGTCTGACCTACAAATGTATTACTCTTCATGAGCCGCATTAAAAAGCATCTCTTCGCCCAAAATGCATTTGATGAGCTGTGTGTTGATGAAGGTGAAGGTTTCACTACAGAACAGCGTGAGGGACATAGGCAGAGAAAATATGTTTTGATATGACTAAGATGTATGGTTGTCTCATCTGTCTGTATACCAGTATGTAGGATGCTATCACCTGCTGCTGGAAGTAACCCATAAGTCATTGCCACGGCAACCGCACAATCTCTTTCATTCCAGTCTCGTCGATGTTGATCGTCTAAGTGGGCGTCGCCCATGTTCCCTGGATTTTTTGAAAGGGTATGGTGAATGGAGAGAAGAATTGATGATCATCTTAGGAGCCTTAGGGGGCGTTCCCCCAACAATGATGACAGATTGCCTGCGTGACGACGGTTCCCTTTCTGCTACAATCATATGGCAACATGATCTCATTTGAGATTCGTTGCTCGACTGTTGTTCTAATAGGAGGAAGACATGTTAAACCGTTAACTGATACGGATTAAAGATACTGTTCATCATTGTATTAGCTGTAGCTGCAAGAAATTAAATTATTAAAGACAGTAAGAACCCAACGGAAAACAAGGTTAAGTCAATATTCTTCTCAAAAACATGAAATGAGCTTTTGTAAGTCAATTTGCCCTTTATTGTATACAAACATAATCTGCATAATTAATATTGCGTATGTTGAGTCATCATAGACAGATTCAGTGCAGTATACTGCTAACAAACATGTGCGCTAAACATGGGCATTGTAAGAAAGTGTAGGAGTGTAAGGCCCCCTACCTGTGGCCACCCCACCCCCATTAGAAAGTATCTTCCACTTTCAGTAAACTTTGATTTTTATAGCTTTCTACAAGTTGCAAACATTGGGATTTTTGTTGTTACATCTTGCTTGTTGGAACATTTTCAGGTAAAGTTTTTGACCAAAAGTGTCTGACCCCACCTCCAATCAAAATGGTCTCATGGCGTTCCCTGGTGCCATAATAGGCATTACAATATGAACGTTTTATGGAATATTATATAAAACATCGTCTGAAGAGCTCAAAAGGGGTAAAACTCGATGCAAAAGTATACTGCTTACAAATGTTAGCAGATGCAGATGCCCTCATTGGAAATAAAGTTGCCTCTATTTAATATTTGGGCGTCGTGTAGCAAAAATCTGACCATGAAATTTAACAAGTGTATAAAGGGAGTGGGCAAAATCACACACACGTACATCTACATTTTTTTCATATTCCTTCAATTTTATGCAAGACCTTTTTGCCACAGTGTGAGGCTTACTAGTATCACCTTGACTTTTGTCTACCGCCTGGTATTTCAAATGGATGACAGTGCAGCTAAGCACACTGCACTGCATGTATACATACAACCTGTAGGACACATGCATATTTACAGTGGGAATAATGTATATACATTGAGCATGCTGCCGAGTTGGAAAGGTTGTAGTCCGGAGAAAAAGCATTTGAGAAATGTCTATAAAATCGACCACCTGTTGCTTGAAGTGGATGAAATCGTGACAGAATGCACATTCTGGGCTTGAAACAATTCTTGTACTATTTTGTAGTTGTAGTGAGGATTTTCTAGCTATCTTTCAAGGTTAAGTTTAGCCTTGTAAATCGTTCAGTCGAGATTTTAGACAGAAATTATATAATTTTTGCCTTGATCTATACCCTTCAACTTGAATTAGGCCTTATTATTCCAAGTACCGGCCGTAAAACATGGGTAGGGGTTTTGAGGCTTGAGCAGCACAACCTGATCCATCCCTGGAAGAAAAAATATAATATTATGCTTGCCCTACAAATCCCACCTGCCCTAGTTAGTAGGACCTTCATTTACCTCATTTACTTCATTTTGTTTTGCCACAGTTCATCTACTCTCTAAAAAAAAATCGAGTGATCACGGACGTCACTCCTCTGGAGAGTGAAAATGTAGTGAAAATAGAGTGAACATTCACTCTTTTCTTCTTAGAGAGCACTCTAAAATCAATCGATTTTCACTCCTAAACAAGTAATCTCTGACGTCACTCCCAAGAAAGTGAAAATAGAGTGAAAATTCACTCTTTTTTTTTTAAGAGAGTATGATACTATCTTCACATCTTATCTTACTTCGTTTAAACTTTGTTTTAATACCAGACAGCCAATGATCACAGTCGTTTACACCAACAACAAAAAGGAAAAACATCCCTCTAAAATACTCTAATTAGTGCAATAAGAATAACCGTAAGTTTCACATTAAAAAAAGATGCATTCTGATCACAAATTAAAAAAAGATTACATTTTAAATCGCATTAATTGCTACGTGTGAATGGCCCCTGCTGCACATAGGCACCTGTCAGAAGGACCTTGAATTTGTGTATATCAGTTTCATCATTTGACCTCACAAGGTCAACATACTCTGTCCAGGGAGGCCTTCTCTCCAAAGGTCAGCCAAGGTCATCTCAGACGCACAGACTGAACAGACCCTAATGTCACAGACTATTCAGCTATGCAATACACGATGTGATGTGATATTAGATAAATCTATGCATTTTCATTGTAGGTTTAAGGTTTGAATGAAAGTATATTATTATCATAACAGAAATTAGACAAATTGTATACTGGTAGTCTACCAAGGCACCAACTGAATATGCTCCTGTGTGGAGAGGTAGTTACTGTTCCGAGCTGTTTGTATATTATTCCTAAACACCTTCAGTCAGAAATCAGTTCTAGAAGAGCCCAAGAATGTTTTGATATCATGTTCACAAATCATTTGATTTTGAACAATTTTCAGCAACTTCAATATTCTCGCAATGTTACCCCCTCCTCCCATCCCCATTGACTGCCCCTCCCCCAACCCCACCTCCGCATTGCTCTCTGTACGCCTTCATTGAAAGATGGTGCAATCGTAAATACATTGCAGCAGTGGTAGTGATGTCAGTAAATTACCCTGCCTTTAAAGATGCAGTTGAGTTCTGGTCATGCGATTGCATTGTGAAAGAAACGATGTGGAACCGACCAGAAAAGGTTGATCATCTAGCATATAAGAATTTGTGTGTATTGCAAGGTTCTGGAATCATCAAAATGATAAGAAATTTGGCCAAGTCTTGGTAAAGTTACAAACACTTGCACAGAAAGATGTATGTGGGACTACACGAACACGTGGCGTTAAAAGCCGGCCTCCCGATTTTTACGATGTTACATGCATATTTAGAATATGAAGGCATTTGAAGAGCCATGCTTTTCAGGGAACATGTCTTATCTGATGTTCTTCCACACTTGCATAATAAGAATGAGTAATGCTCACAAATTATTTTTCACCTCTTCCTAGAACTCAACCTTCTCTTTAACTTCAAGCTAACGGGCTAGCGCATGAACCTAAACAATTTCTCTGATGTATAAGAGGCCTATTTTTGGAGTAAAAATCACCCCAATTAATGTCAGGGTGTCTGGAATTCAACCCTCAGGGACTGGTTCATTTCTGACTCATGACCCCCATGGTGTGACCTTTGGCGACCTCAGCATGACCTCCGCTTATTAGCCTCTGTGGCAAAAGTTTGAAGGAGTGAAAAAGAGTGAAATTGATTTCCCCCAAGAGTGAAACTATTGTTATACTGTCATTCATTTTTTACTTTGTTACTCTTTTAAATCCCTCCCACTTGGAGTTATGTTATGGTATAGCCCCATAAGGCTTTATAAAATGATTTGTCTTCAGTGACAGTGTATTTAAAATGTAATTCACAATTACCTGCAAATTCTTTTTAACAGTTACATTGATCCTGTACTAGAAACGCTAATATTTATGAAGTGAATACATTGTTTTGATTATTCCAAAATTTGAAAAGAAGGATTGAATATTGATTGGCAATGTTTTTTTAATTTTCAATTTCTCCTTTTTTTTTCTTTCTTTCCAGAAATCTGTATGCTTCAGAAAAGATGAGCGTATATGGAATATGAAGCAACATATTTTACAGTGCCCCGATGTGGTAAGTACATTGGCCATTATTATTATGTAACACGGTTTAGGTTTTATAAAATGAATATCAAGACTCCGAATATCAAGCTAACCAAGAACAAAAAAACATCACATAATAATCTAATTGGAATACTTCAATTTCTTGTTGACTTTTGAGGCATTTTGAAATAAAATTAATTAAACATTCCAAACTATCATGTTGCCTGACAATTTAATGTAGCTACAGTTTGTAGGCTTAATGACTAACCTTACAACTTAGATAAATGTTTAACGTAAAAGAGGACCCTAAAACTTCTGCTCTGGAATATAAAGTTGAATTTTGTAGAATGATATCTTTAGTGTTGATTTTCTTTTTTCTGTACTGGCCATGGTGAACAATGTTCACCATGAATTTGAAACATGTTGACAATTAGTCCATTATTACCCCATTGACTGCTGAAAATCATTAATTGCCATAGGCTTAATACAGGGGCCACTTGGTTCCCATAGGTAATGGGTTTAAAGAGAAGGTTGAGTTCTGGGAAGAGGTGAAAAATAATTTGTGAGCGTTATCATTTTTATTATGCAAGTGTGGAAGAACATCAGATAAGACATGTTCCCTGAAAAGCATGGCTCTTCAAATGCCTTTATATTCTGAATATGTCATGTAACTCGTAAAACTCGGGGGGTAGGTTTTTTACGCCACATGTTCGTGTAGTCCCATATACATCTTTCTGTGTACAGTGTTTGTAACTTTACCAAGACTTGGCCAATTTCTAATCATTTTGATGATTCCAGAACCTTGCAATACACACAAATTCTTATATGCTAGATGATCAACCTTTTCTGTTCGATTTTACACCGTTTCTTTCACAATGCAATCGCATGACCAGAACTCAACTTCATCTTTAACATAGATCTAGAAATGAATGCAATTATTAGTAGTAGGTAGAAACATTTAGCAATGATGTACACCTTTAAATTTCAATTATTTGTCCCCTCATCTCTCTCTCTCTCTTTCTCTCTTTCCTCTTCATGCGTATCTCTTCCTTTCATTTTCCTTTCTTGCTCTTTCTCTCTCTCTCTCTATGTCTCTCTCTCTCTCTCTCTCTCTCTCTCTCTCTGTCTCTCTCTGATCCTCTCATCCATCCAGGAGCTGCCAGACAGCCGTAACCATGGTTTCTACATGCTTCCCCAGAACAACAAAGCCGGCAAATTTCTGGACGAGGAGCGTTTGATCAGCGACTATCCAATAGATAAAAAGAGACCCTACCTCGAGGTATTGTTATTAAGGAGAGGGAATTGAAAAATTAATTTGATTAAAAGTAAATGAAGGATTTACTCCTTCAATTATAAATGGCTGAAAATGTATTCAATTAAAAGTCAGAGAAGGAAATATTTTAATTATTGCGATTCATTGCAAACGAGTTTTATCTCTTTTTAAAATATACCGGAGAGTATTTTGTCTGCTGAGGGCCAGAAGGGGCTTTAATGCGGTGTTAAATTGTTTAAGTTAATCGCAGAAGGGTTTTATGAACTCATTGTTAAAGTACAATGTATGTTAAATGAAGGCCAGAAGGGCTTTAACTCTTTGTAAAGTTATATACCTTAATGCCCCTCTGCCTCGAGGAAGATGATTAGTCAGGGAATTAAATTTGTACACACTTTGACCAAGTTTTCTTCTGTTGGTCAGTCGTCCAACTTTGCGTTAGAAGATACAGATTTCATTCTTGAAACACAACTGTTATGGAACAGCTGTATTGCTGTTTCATAGTTGCCGTCCTACATGAAGTCATTCCATTTAGCATATCATTAAAGCCTGTCTGTACAAGTTTGACCAGGAGGGATTAGACCACTTAGCATGGTCACTGATAGGTGTTATCTCATCAAATCAGCTCTCAATTAAGTAATTAACATAAGAATAAGGGGACCATGGGGAACCAATTGTCACTGATTAGGCAATGTTTGCTATATAGAGGGAGCAAGTGTCTACAATTCTTAACCCTTGCCTTTACCCTCATTTAGTTCCGGTACAAGTTCAAATTGTTCCTAAACTCTCTGAATTCTGAATTTCTAACCCTTGCCTTTACCCTCATTTAGTTCCGGTACAAGTTCAAATTGTTCCTAAACTCTCTGAATTCTGAATTTCTAACCCTTGCCTTTACCCTCATCTTAGTTCCGGTACAAGAAGAGGGTCTACCGGCAGCTCAACCTGGATGTGAACACTCTGAGGAAGTTCCATACCAAGTCCACTCTGAAGCAGTTCATGGACCACGTACGCAACCGCCACGTGGACAAGATCAACAAGCTGGCCGACAAAGGGCTGGACCCAAACTTCCATGAGGAGGCCACAGGAGGTAGGGGAAACCCCAGTTTTCGAAATATAAATTGTATATTTAAAGCCTGTCTGCACTAGTCTGGCCAGGAGGGATTGGACCTCTCTGCAAGGTCACTGACAGGTGGTTATCTCATCAAATCAGCTCTCAATTAAGATAAGAAAAAGGGGATCATGGGGGACCTACATGCACCGCTTAGGAATTGTTTGCTTTCTAGAGGGCGCAAGTAGCTACGAGTAATACAGTGGGCCTTTAAAAGAAAAATCTGTGAATGTAAGGCCTCTAGGCTCTCGCTTTACTTTTAATTTGGGCTGTTGAAGTGTCATGGTCTAGTTGCAAGACTCTGGATCACACAGTTCGCGAATCAAGTCCTGCCGGAGCACTAATGTCTTTTAGCAAGACATTGATCTACATTTGCCACTCTCCACCCAGGTGTGGTAGATGGGTTTCTGCTAGGAATTTATTTCTTGAATGCTTCAAGTATCTCGGGGTAGATGGGCTATTAAAAGCCAGGGACAATGAGAGTACTCTGTAGGTGCCTTGAGGTATATACAAACAGGAAGCAAAGATGGAAGGTATAAATGGAAGCTAAAGTAACAAAACATGTTTTTAAACTCTGATAAGTGCAAGACGAAAGGCTTTCATACATCTGTATTTGATGCTGTCCTCGATTTTGTAGTACCAATCATCTCTAGTTACCTTATTTTTAGACTTATTTAAAGCCAGTTTTTAAAAGTATTTAAAGCCAGTTCTCTCTAATGTGCCTCTAAAACCAGTATTCGAGATTGCAGGTAACTGTAAAAGGTACCTTAAAACTTGTCCTTCATGTGTAAACGTACAGATTAGCGTAGAGCTGCTAGCAACCTCCTTAACATTCTTGCCATCATTCACCATTGTGATTAGCTCTCCTTGATCACATACCATGGCCCTCCTTGAATTCCTCTCCATTTCAAAGCTCCTATGACTCCCATTAGGAAAAAGGTCAGGCTACTGCAACATTGTACCCTCCTTATTGAAAACAATACCCAGCAACAATTCGACGTAGACATTAGAATAACAAGCGCCCACCCTCTTGCCTTCCTTCGCACCGGGAGCCCGATGTGAGCTTGGAACGTAGGATGAAACAATGTTGGTATATGTCTGGGACGATGTTGTGTTCGCAAGGAAAACCTCAAGTTATTTTTTCCTTTAGTTTGAATTGTCCATCCTTCTAAACACAGATCAATTTCATCCCAATTGTACATCGTTTCCCTCCCCATTCTCTCTCTCTCTCTCTCTTTCCCCCTCTCTCTCTCCCCGTCTCTATCTATCTCTCTTTCTCTTTCTCTCTTTCTTTCCCTCTCCATTCTCTGTATGTCTGTCTCTCTGTCTTTCTCTCTCTCTTTCTTTCTCTCTTTCTCTCTCTCTCTCTCTTCTTCTCCATCTTTTTTATTGCATGGGCACATTCCTTTTGTCACCCCTCTCTCTCTTCCCCTTCTTTGACATTAATTCTCTGTCCACTCTCGATTTCTCTCTCCATCATTGCTTCTCCAGTGTATCTTGCGGTGGTATGTGTCTCTTTCTATTGTTCCACCCCTTCCCCCCCCCCTCTCTCTCTCTCTCTCTCTCTCTCCCTCTCTCAAGCTATATATCTACATCTTCACCTCTCGCTTTCATTCTCCCTGTCATTACTGTTTCCTTTCCTTCTTTTTAGTCCCTCTCTCTTTCTCTGTAATGGCCTCTCACCAAGGTCCATCTCTTTCTCTGTGTCATCTCTTTATGTCCATCATAAAACCTCTCTGATATATGGACATGGACCTCTCTCCCTTTCTATCTCTCTCTTCCCCCTCTCCCTCAACCCCCTCTCCCTCTCCCTCAACCCTTTCTCCCTCTCCCCTCCTCTCCCCTCCCTCTCCCCTCCTCTCCCCTCCCTCTTCCTCCTCTCCCCTCCCTCTTCCTCCTCTCCCCCTCCCTCTTCCTCTCCCCTCCCTCCCTCTTCACCCCTCTCCCTCTCTCTCCAAGCCTCTCCTGCCCTCAACCCCTCCCTAGCACAATATCGTGGATCACTCATTACTACATGTAATATATATTGACATTCGATAGCTGTACTGATCCCCATTCATGCATCAAATTCAATTGAGATATTGTCTCCTAGGTACGAGTCTCTGCATAACTGATTGAAACATCTAATCATCAACCCCTTTCATACCGACATAATACCCTATACCCATTCATATCGAACAAACCAACAATAGACAGGCATCCATCGAGGTATCTTTTCCCAGTTTAGAGATTGATTGCATCATACCCTATACCCCTTTCATACCGAACCAACCAACAATAGAGAGGCTTCTATACATCAAAGTATCTTCTCTTAGCTTGGTGATTGATCACATTTTTCCCATTCGTTTCTGTTCTCTGATTGACAGACTTACCGATTGAATTAATGTATCTAATTGTCTGGAATATTTTAATTTGCAAGTTTAAGTTTGACCTTTTGTGTAGAATAATACTGTTAGTAACACCGGCCAGGAATTCAATAAAAGTAACCATTGTCAGGGGCTCTGTCCCTCAAAGATACAGCTTTAAAATTTCAAATTTCATTTTCAAGCCTGAATTTGTGACCTTGACCAAAGGCTTTTCTACCACCAGGTACCAACATGTGAAATAAGGCCTGTTTTCATTAGCTTGAGTTTGCCAAATAATCGCATTTTCAACTATCCCGATCACAAATTATCCAGCTAATTTGCGTCATCATCAGCCCGCAGTTGCAATAAGCGGGATATTTGGTCAAGAAAATATCCGAGAAATCTTGGACTTGCTAGCAATATATCCCGCTATTTGGGAATTAGCGGGCTAATTTGCGCCCGTTCGAGCTAGTTTCTGATGAGCGTATCGGTCTGGTGGAAGTAACGGGTCAATTGGCAAACTCGAGCTGATGAAGACAAGCCTTAGACTTCTTAGGCCGGGTGATCCATGACATATTACATGTTTAGGGCAATAGTCCACAAAGGGAATATATTTCAATTCTAAATTAGGACTAGAGAGAGAATGATATGTGTGCTTTTGGCATGGGGGAGGAGATAAACCATGTTTATCCTTCTATAAATAGGCTCTGTATCACCCAAATATCCCAGGGCTATTTTTGGAGGCATTGTGAGGTATCTTTTGAGGTGGGTTGACCTCTAGGAGTAGTCTTTCATCCAGACTTTTCAGCCATGTGAAGATTTTTCTTCAGGGATCCTTTCTCTCTCTCTCTCTCTCTCTCCTACTCTCTCTCCCATCTCTATCTCCTATCTCTATCTGTCTCACTTCTCTTTCACCTTTATTTCAAATTTTTAAGGATTAGATCCCTTCCCCTTCTCTCGCCGTTCTGTCAACTCCTCTCTACTTCTCCCTCTTTCTCTCCCTCGTTGTGCTCTATATCCTAGCTTTCTTTTCTCTCTGTTGTCATTGTTATCTCATTTAAATCTTTCTTTGTTACTCTTTCTTGTGATACATTTTTTTTCTTCACTTTTCATCATCCTAATGTAATTATGGTTATTTGTTTAACTCTTCGGGTGATCACTTGAAGGATCGATTTAGATCAAATTGTTATTATTTTGCAATTGCCACAAGTATGCCTAAAACCTCTAGACTTAATATATATCTGGAAAGCGCATTGAGAGGGCCTATGGTCCTGAAATGCGCTGTATAAGGATGAACTATTATCATTATTATTATTAACTGCTCACCTACATGTATAAACCTAGTTTTTATGTCTAAACAAAACCAATCAATTAATTTCTTTAATCTGCATCTATTCATACCACTCTTAGAAACTCCCCTGACGATTGCTGTTTCCATGGACCGATGCGAGGACGTTCTCAAGGCTCTGGTCAACGGGGGCGCTCATCTAGATTTCAGGAATCGGCACGGCTTCACCCCGGTCCATCGTGCGGTCCAGAAGGGCAACGTCAAGTCTCTTGATGTAAGTTTTTTTTAACTCCCAAGATAATATTTTAAAGGAATGGGTATCTTTGTCTCAGATTCTGAAACAAAATCCTGGATTTAGCTCATGGTGCAATCATAATTATAAACCTTTAGGTCAGTCAGGAATCCCATGACATTTACTGTCTGAATATCAAGATATTTATGATTGGAAATTGAAATTTCATTTTTCCAACAGATTTTATAACACTACCGTGACAGTCTATTGGGAAAATGAGTATGGTAAAACCGATCACTCAAAGATTTTTTACTTTTGTGAGGTACTTCATGATCATTTTGAACCACAATTTTTTTAGGGCTTCAAAATTACACCATATCACAGACAATGATAACACGTAGGGCCATGTACATGTATATCTCAGATTTGTAAAACTGGAAACATTGTTAAACAATGCCTTCAACATTAATATAAATTTGCCACACTCAAACCAGGTAAATACATGAGTACCTAGTTGGTTTATACCTCCAAGTAATGATAGCATTCAAGATTCAAGGTTCAGGATATTTTATTTAACCGAAACCATACAAACATACAAACAATATCACAAAATACAGTATTGAATATGGAAAGGACCAAAAAAAAAGCAAATCTATTTGAGAAATTGCCCCAAAGAGAGAGAAAAAACATCAAAACCAATTCCAAATACAACCAACAGAGTCAAACTAATCAATAATAGAAACTAGATTACACAAATAAACACATGCACACAATATTTTACATTATCATTATTGTTGAATTACATTAATCAACTGTCAATATTTCTTTGGGATGATTAAATTGGCAACACTCATAATGTATTTCACTTTTTTGTGTGAGCTATACCATTCTATCATATTAAATCAAAATGTATTTCAACAAGAATTATTCAATGCAATTCTTCTTTAATATCTATAAATCATAAGTGAAATTGCCATGTTTACATGCATAATACAAAATCAATATAGATACTGGATTGTATGATAGAATTAGTTCAACATGATGTTAACAGATGTAGAATAGGAAAAATGCAATATTAGGCATATGGTATGTCAATTATATGAAACAGGTTGCATATTTATATGGCAAAATCATGACTGTGAATTTGTAAATGTGTTGTTGATTTTAAGTTTATATTGGCACCAAAACTTTACTTTTACATTGAGTTCAACAACCTGCAATTCAATATCAAACAAACTAACAGCAAGTAAGAACATAATGATAATTACTTTGCTTTAGTAAGCCATCAACTCTCCCCTATCTCATTTCCTTGTCAAATTTCCAAGATTTACGGTTCCAAAGATAGGTATTACCATGGCAACATACGTAGTTTGTGAGCGTGAAATTGCCAAGTTTACGTCAGGTGAAACCGGACACTGTCCCTGTTCGTTTTGATCATTTTGGAGTAATCAAACTGAGATAGAAAAGGTTTTCTTTTAAAGGACTTTGACTTAAAGGTACTATGTCCCTTTTGCAGCCAACCTCAAATGGTGTAGAACTTTGCAGGAATTATGAATATGCCATGTATGTCCTATCTGTGAAATTTAAACGTTGGCAGTGTCCTCATATTCAAATTATGGAAGGAAATCCGTTTACTTGCTAGACTTCACTGTCAGACACTATTGAGTGACTGACTGGCTTTTTTTTCTTCTTTGGTAATAACATACATGAAAAGAGTTGTAAAGGGTACATGAGCATTTGTCTACATCAATAACCCACTTCTTGTGATGGCCAATGTTAAACTGATTGAATCTTTGCGCAGCATAAAACGTATGTCCATTCGGTACAATTGTCTGAAAATCAAGACTATTACTTTTGGGCTCTATAGCCCTAAAGTCGATGTGACAACTAATAGTCGTTATTTTCCCACTTGAAGACGATTTCAAGCCCCACCTTTTTTAGGGAAGTTCTAAATTAGTATTATCTTTCAAATGCAGTTGGAATTTAACTTTTTCATTTTTTTGGCCTGCAAATGGGACATAGTCCCTTTAATAAAGGTCTCTATTTATTATATTAAAAACAGAATTCTCGTACAATCCGATATTGTTGTACATAATGTTACTACAAATACATTGTAGGTACATGGAATATTCCATGTTCCCGTAAAAAATAGCTAGTTTTTAACAATTTTGAAGGGGATGATGAGCAAATAAATCAAGCAGTCATACTTGAAGTCTTTTGAACAGTGAATGCTCCCTTGCCTAATGGGTCGTGGTGTATTGTTAATAATACAGCGAAACCTGTATTCAAAGACCACTCATGGCAGACAAGAAAAGACTGAATGAACAAATGAATGCATGACAAACAATCCAGAAAGACTTATGGCTAGTTTCTCTTGCCATGCAAGTCCTGTAACTAGCGCTCACAATGCCTTTAAATTGGGGAACTTCATTGAAGTTGAGTTGTTTATAAACAAACTTGAAGTGCACCGACTTAATTGGCTGGCTTGTGCACTCAAGATTGACAGTTTTGATTGAGATTCGACACTTCCTTTTTCCGTATTAAATTTTCCCACGAGCTGGCTGAAATTCAATCCCGGAAATTGTGAAGTAATTGTTATTATTTTTGTGAGCGCAATCAGCGTTTATCTCTCTCTCTCTTTCTGTCTTTCTGTGTGTCTCTCTGTGTGTCTCTCCCCCTCTCTCTCTCTCTCTCTTCCTCTCTCTCTCTCCGTCTCTCTTTCTCTCTCCCTCTCTTTCTCTATCTCTATCACTCTGTCCCTCTCTTTCTTCTCCCTCTCTGTCTCTCTCTCTCTCTCTCTCCCCTTCTCTTTTTTTTCATTCACTTGTCTTCCTTTTATCTCCTCTCTCTCTCTCTCTCTCTCTCTCTGATCACTTTATCTTTCACATGTCTCCCAATTTTTCTCTCTCTTTCTTTATTTTTATCTTTCAATATTTCTCCAATGTCTCCACATCTTTGTCATCATCTGCAAATCTCTTTAATTTTTTTCTCCACTTGTTAATTTTTTAGTCTCATCATTGAAATATCTCCATCTTTTCCTCTCTTTTCCCTTTCCCTGTCTATCCCTCAATCTGGCTTAATTGTATTTTCTTTTAACACTTTTAGCTTTGTTAATATCTCTTTGTATTACACAAAAATGTGTTGCTTACTTCCTTCTTGTACTTCTATAACAGGTTTCAGAGTACCTTGAACTTGTGCATTGATCCTTATATCGTGATAGGGAACCCCAAACATACATATTTGATAATATGTTGTGATTGGTTCCCCTTAAAATGACTTTTTAGACAGTTTCTCACAAAATACAAGAACTTTTTTACTTTAATGTTTCTTTTATTTTTCATAATAATTATACATTTGGATCTTCTAAGTTGTTAAACTCCAAAGTTAAGGTTGTGCTGCAAAACAGTAACTCAAGATCACCTGTACATTGTTCTTTGCGCTTATTTTGATTTTTTTTCTACTTTGTGTGTTTCTTTTTTTCTTCTAGATCCTCCTCGATCTTGGGGCATCCCCAAACTCCAAAGACGACAGAGGCCTGTCGCCGCTTTACTACAGCATCGTCACTGACTCAGGAACGCACATCACAGAGTTACTCCTCAAAGACTGTGCAGAGGTCTCGCCTGTAGATAGCCAGGGTTGGGGGCTCATACATTATGTGAGTAGAAGAAGGCGCTAAGTATCGCAACAGAGAAAAGTTGTATTTGATGATGTGTGGATGCCTAAATTTTAATAGCAAAATTGTACTTTTCATGGGATTCACTTGAAGAAATACCTGAAGAACAAAAAAGCTTTTAAATTATGACTTGTCAGGTACAATAAATCAATCATGTCTTTATTAACAAATTGAATAAAGAAATGCGCACTGTTACATTATGGAAATGGGAGAGAAAACAGAACAGAGAGAGAGAAAAATGCAGGAGAGAGGGGGAGAGGGAAAGGGAGAGATAGAAAGAGGAGAAAAGGGAGAGAGATAGAGAGATATACATGTATATAGAAAAGGTTAGAGAGAGAAGGAGAAGGAAATAGACTGAGAGAGTGAGTGAGAGACAGAAAGAGAGAGAGAGAGAGAGACTCGGAAATGAGGGGGAAGGGGGGGGGGGGGGTAGTGGAAGAAAGAGAGAGATAAAGATATATATAGAGAGAGAGAGGGGAAGACAATAATAGATAAAGACACTGAAGTAGAGACATTGGAAAGTAATAGAGAAAATAGAAGTAGATAGGGTTGTTGTGGTAATAATTTGTTGATATCAAAATGAAATGTTAATGTCAGTAAGGTGTTATTATACAGGTGTACAATTGCAACATTAATGCTCTTATTTTCTTGTTTATTTGCAGGCATGTCGCTATGGGCGTGTCCGAGCTCTCAAACTCCTCCTCCTATACGGCTCTAACCTCTCATTGGTCAACGAGGCAGGTAACACGCCCCTCCATGTCAGCGCCCTCTACAGTCAGGAGGAGTGCGCGCTCATGCTGATGGACAGGGGGGCCGACAGAGTGGCCAAGAACAAGGCCAACCAGACACCCTTCCAGGTATACTTTAAAGCCCCACTGCACTACTTATAGCTACTTGCACCCTCTATAGCAAACAATGTCTAATTGGTGACCACTGGTCCCCCATGATCCCCTTTTTCTTATGTTAATTGAGAGCTGATTTGATGAGATAACCACCTGTCAGTGACCTTACAGGAAGGTCTAATCCCCCTGGCCAAACTAGTACAGACAGGCTTTAATTCAACTCTATCGTCTAGCTCTCAGACTCATTTTTAAAATCATTTTTATGTAATTAAACAATATTTGAAAAGGATTTAAAAAAAATTACAATAGCAATTTTATGCTGTACTTTTATGAAGCATTAATTTGATGAAGGTGTTTAACTAAGAATTCACAGACACTTGCATCATGTACCTGTATGTCATTTGCATTAAAATGTTCCTTTTTATCCTTCTGATAAGGAACTGTAAACTTTAAACCTGTAAAGATAATTAGTAGGTATTGTTAATTTGATGATTGAAGAAATACCAACTAAGATACTCTTAAAGGTAAAGACCAGTATTGGAAACGCCCCAATTTCAAAAAATGAAATGGAAGCTCTTATTACCAATCATGTGAAAGAATGTGTTTTGAATAATACATGATGATAAATAATTTGCCGGGAAACCGCCTACTAATTCATATATTTGGAAAATTTGTTTCTCTCATGGTTTGTGAGAGATATAGGGTAGTGATAGTCCCATATACATCTTTCTGTGTATAGTGCTTGTAACTTTACGAAGAATGGGCCAAATTTCTTATCATTTTGATGATTCCAGAACCTTGCAGATGCTAGATGCTAGATGATCAACCTTTTCTGATCGATTCCACAACGTTTCTTTCACAATGCAATCGCATGACCATAACTGGTTTTTACCTTTAAATGCAACGTAACTCTATTCTTATTTATTGCAATGATTGCAACTACTTCCCCACAATGTTTACATGGTACTTTAACTTTTCATTTCCAGGCTATTTTTTCTTCCTCTGACGTCTGAATGAGAACTATCTGTTTGGTATGATTCCTTGAAGATCATACTAAAAGCATATCTCTACAATTTTTACACTCAAGCTGTAGCTACATTTCCTAGTGTTTCTATATTACACTGGTTATGATTCAATAGGAGAGGTTACTTGAACACAGAGCTTTTTATACATTTTCTACAAAATAACTGGGGGACAATGATAAGACACAATGATAACTTGTAGTCCTTAAAATTCAGACTAAACTTTGTTTGTTTTGTTGAGACTTTGTTAGGAAAAAACTCAACATTATCAATACAATTTTTGTAGAAATTGGCCGCCTATTCATATTGGCTATCGTAAATGAATATGTTGCAATGCTGATTTAAATTGAGAAGAGTGAAAATATAACTGAATTTTTGTATATTGATTTATTTTAACATTTGTTGTCTTTTGTTCTCTCCTGCCATGCTTGCCCTTTCTCTCCCATCAAAGGTCGCCATCTTGGCCAACAATTTTGAGTTGGCCGAGTTGATACGAAATCACTCTGGTCAGATTCTTGGTGCGTATACCAAAAAACGTGAGCATGCTGTGCTGTTGTTTCTACCGTATCGTCCTGTGACCTTAAGCCTGTGATTTTTATCTTATTTTATTATTGTTTGCACCCTGAATGTAATGATGTGCAGTTGTGTTTGAGTGATTCCATCGTTTATTGGAGTTGTAGTAATTGTAGTAGTAGTACTAGTAGTAGTAGTAGATGTAGACTTACTTGTATTAGTACTTGTAGTCATAGTCGTAGTCTTACTTGTAGTAGTCATAATCATCGTTGTATTCTGAGTCGTAATAATAGTAGTCGTCTTAGAACTCTAAGTTGTAGTAGTAATCATAGTCGTAGTATTTGTAGTCATAGTACATGTAATTGTCGAAGTAGTAGTAGTAGTTGTCAAAGTCATAGTCGTAGTTGTAGTATAGTTGTAGTAGTAGCAGTAGTAGCCATGGTAGTATTCGTAATGGAATTGTACCCTCCCTGTTGACCCATTATTGTAAGAGGGTTATTTATTTATTTATTTATTTATTTATTTATTTATTTATTTATGTTTTTTTTTTTTTTTGGGAGGGGGGGGGGGGTTGTGTTGTTTTATTTGCTATTGTACAATTTGTTGACTGTTTTGTTTTGCTTTTGCTGTTGTTTTTCAAATGACATGTAAAATGCACACTGCATGATGATTGAAGCTCCATTATGCTCTTCTTTGTACACAGCATGATAACATCAAGGTTTTGAACCACTTTCATAGATATTGATATGAAAAGCATGCATCTTTCACACAAACGTTGTTCGTGACACATTTAAAGGTTGAATAATGCTTGCACAATGCATCAGGCACTGTTTTATGCATTGTTTGACAAAACCTAAAGGGGGTCTTTGGATTAATACATAATTAAAAAATTGTCTTATTACTAGTTTTTGACAAGCTTGAACAAACTGATATTTCTAAAATTCTAAATTCTTCAAATTTTTCTTGGGATTGATAAGAAAAACAAAGAGCTTCATGTTTTGTAGTGCAGCTGTATCATGGTGCACTCTGTCTGCAATCCGATTAAAAAAAGTTATGAATAGAAAACATGTTCACACATTGAGCAATGGGACCCGCATAATATATTATGTCGGGTATCAATTTTACCCAAACCCAAAGGGAATCGTTTTGTACTAAATCATCTGCTAAATGTGGCACAACTGAAGTATTTCATACTTGTAGTCAGTTTTAATCAAGGTTGGGATTTTTTTTGTAGTTAACAGAGAATTAACGAGTTTAAGAAAAGGTTGAGTTCTGGGAAGAAGTGAAAACATAATCTGTGAGCGTTATCATTGAATTATGCAAGTGTGGAAGAACATCAGATAAAAAAGATTCCATGTAAAGCATGGCTTTTCAAGTGCCTTGATAATCTAAATATGGCATGTAACAGTATAAAAATTGGGCCGGATTTATACGCCACATGTTCGTGTAGTCCCATATACATGTTTCTATGTGAAGTGTGTGCAACTTTACCAAGTCTCAGCCAAATTTCTTATCATTTTGATGATTCCAGAACCTTGCAGTACACTCTAATACTTGTATGCAAGATGATCAAACTGTTTTGATCGAATCCACAAGGTTTCTTTCACAATTCAATCTAATGACCAGGGGCCCGTTGCATAAACCTTACCATTGATGGTAACTTTGCCATCAATGTCAGCCACCATGGTAACAGGGCTCAACAGCCAATCAAAATCAAGGTTTCCATGGTAGTTACCATTGATCGCAAAGTTACCATCAATGGTAAGTTTTGTTCAACGGGGGCCAGAACTCAACTTTATCTTTAAATCTGCATGGATTTCTTTTTGTCTTACTTTTTTGTGCTCATTAAATCATTTTTCTTCCATCTATCATCATAACCTTTCAGTTTCCTCACACGACACGCCCACCTTCAGCAAGCGAAGACGATGGGCCAACTACGTCAACCAGACCCAATCACTGAGCCAGGTCAGAGGTCAGGCATTCCTGGAGCAGAGTGAGGACAAGTACGGACCCCAGTCCCGTATGTCCCTCGCTACCATACCCGGGTCTCCGGAAAAGAAAAGCCTTAGCAACGGATCAGCAGGTAGCCATTTTTGTTTTGTATAACCTAACTACAGTGTGAAAACCCTGTAACAGCACGGAAAACAGTCTATTAAAGCCCAACTGTACTACTTGTAGCTACTTGCGCCCTCTATATAGCAAACAATGCCTAATCGGTGCCTGTTGGTACCCCTTTGATCCCCTTTTTCTCATGTTAATTGAGAGCTGATTTGATGTGATCACCACCTGTCAGTGACCTTGCAGGGAGGTCTAATCCCCCTGGCCAAACTAGTACAGACAGGCTTAACAACACTGACAACAGTCTAAACACAACATGAAAATAGTAAAAATCACTGTTTTCTCATATCGACTGCTTTGAGCCAGGAGCATGTTGATTCACAGAAATGCCAATGAGACTTTTTTAACGCACTGTCAGACCTTTCCTGGGTATGGAGTGGCTAATGTAGATTAATGTCTTGCCAAGGGACATTAATGCTGTGTCGGATATTACAGATATTGAACCCTTGACCTTTGCCTTTCCAGTCAAGTGCTTAGATACCTCTACTATATAATCAGATTTTATGCTGCATTTAGGATTAGGGTAAGGCATAATATTGCGTTAATTATTTAAAGGTAATACAAAGTTTTGGTATTGGGTCATGAATTTGGTTCAAATGAACATATTGGAAGCATATACGATCCTACAATATTCAGTGATCGTTGTCGCGGTCGAAATCGACTCTAAAGTTATGAAATTTTAAATAATAAACACTTTATGTTGAATAGCTCCCTCTCAAGGTCAAGATATTAATTAAGTTATAAAACAATGTTTATTGACTAAAATCGACCGATAAGCTATTCTTGTTCGGAAATTATATATCACAACTACACACTCTGAGATTTTCATGGTCGTAGCTACCATTGTACGGCCGTAGGAGCTATTTGAAATTTATCAAAATTTACCGGGAGCACCGGTAAATCTTTATATTCGATTTTTCTCGAAAGCAGAAACGTTTTAGGGGCTAAAATTTCTGGTGTTTTTAATTCATCCACATGGGCATCCAAATATATCAAAACTGTAAAGAATCACTATCCACCCATTTTTCAAAATTTCCCAAAACTTTGTAATACCTTTAAGTTAAGTTTTGGATAATTGGTGTAGGATATTGACCTCAAAGCAATTGTTGCCAGAGTACATTATGTCGCACATCTGTTTCTCTGATCATACATGGCTGTTTGTTTTGAGAGGACTGCAAACAACTGGGCCAAATTTCTTATCATTTTGATGACTCCAGAACTTTGCAGTACACACCAATAGTTATAATGCTACATGATCAACCTTTTCTGATCAATTCCAAACCATTTCTTTCACAATGCAATCGCATGACCAGAACCCAGCATTATCTTTAAATCAAACTTCTGACAGGAAGTCTTAATTCTGAGACACCACTTGCTACCTAGAGCAGACAGTTGGTGAAAAGCACATCTTGTGTCTGTCATCTCTGAATGATTCACCATTTCTTGAGACAGAAATCCCTCCTTCATGGTCCAACTTCCAAAACAATCGGAAATAAGTCGACACAAGTATAGTCCCAGCAACAAGAGATTTGACATATGTGTAGCAGTGTTTACACTACACTACATATCCAATGCAAAAAACTATGGTCATTGAGTTTCTTTTTCAATTTGTTTTTATGAATTTGAAATTTCTCACAATATCTATTTTCGGCTAGCATTTCTTTTGTTCATGGATATACTGTGCAAAGTTCTGCACCCTTTTCACTAACAAACAAAGTGCTATAAGTTGATGTGTGTTTACCATGACTAATCATCAACCAATCAATCAATTCTTCAGCAAAGTTCAGGAGCGCAGACTGTTCTTGCACTGTTTTGATTACCAAATCTTTTGGACATTTTCAAAACGGCTTGATATTCCTTCATCAGAACTTCTAGAAAAAAACTTTTACAGAGTTATTTTTTCATGAGTTAGCTTTGATGTGAACACTGCCACTATTGATGATTAATCAGGTTATTCCTGTACCAGTTTCTCTCTCTTTCTCTCTCTCTCTCTCCCTCTACTTCTCTCAATCTATCTTTCTCTCTCCCTCCCCCTCTTTCTCAATCTATCTCTCTCTCTCTCCCTCTCTCTCCTTTTTTTTCTCTTTTTTTCTCTCTCTCTTCCTTTCTCTCTCACACACTCTTTCTCTCTCTCTCTCACACACACACTCTCTCATTATCCCTCTTTCTTTTTCTCCAAGTATCTGACTGTCTTGCTCTTTCTTAGATTAATTTCTTTTATTACTACATCTCTCTGCCTATCTGTCTCTCTCTTTATTTGTATACGTCTCTTTTCATTCATCTTTCTGCCTGTTACTTTCTGTTTTCACACGATCTCTCAGCCTGTGTGTATCTATCTCTCTCTCTCCCTCCCTATCTCTCTCTCTCACAATCTCTCTCTCCCTATCTCTCTCTCTCTCTCTCTCTCCCTTCTGTTGTAGGTAGTTTGTCTCTCTGAGTCTTCCTGTATGGCTGCCTCTCTTTGGCTCTTTCTATCTCTCTGTCTCGCTGTTTCACTTGGTCTCTATGTCTGTCTCCCACCATCTCTGTCTCTCTGTCTGTCTGTCTGTCTCTCTCTCTGCCTGTCTCTCTCTGTCTGTCTGTCTCTGTCTGTCTCTATCTCTCTCTCCCCTATCTCTCTCTCTCCCTCTCTCTCTCCCTCTCTCTCTCTCTCTCTCTCTCCCTCCCTCTCTCTCTCTCTCTCTCTCTCTCTCCCTCTCTCTCTCTCTCTCTCTCTCTCTCCCTCTGTCTCTCGCAATGACTACCTATGTCTCCCTTCCAGACGCTTGATTAAAACTCCTAAGGTAGCGCTCAAATGCCAGGCCCTTTTTAATGTGCAGTCAGTCATCCGTGTGATGTTACTAGAGGAAATAGCGCATTAAAGTCTTGTCTCGTGGAAGGTACACATATAGTGCTTGACATCTCGAGGAAGGATTATTAAAGCATTTAGTAGCCCAAAGATTTGTCGAACAGTTGTCAGTGATTTTTGCGGTCTTGTCGAAGCTCAGTTTTAAAGTTCTGGTGAGTTTAGATGGGAGGGAGTAAAATTCAACTTCCCAGCAGTGTGAATCTTTATAGGGTTGTTACATGCATGTTTAAGTTGTGATGAGTTTAGGATGGCATGATTATTCATAGTTTCTCTAACTATTTTGTAATTTTATGTTTTTTGAAGATTTTAGTTGTCATGAATTTAGATGGCAAGAATTTGTGTTCTTGTTCATTAGTGGATATTAAGGCAGTTTTTAAGGATTAACGTGGTCGGTGCAAAAGAAAGATATTTTACTTTATTTTATTTCAGTCTATTAACGGCAGTGAGAATTCAGATTATTTTATTGAACCCTTGGTCTCCAAAAGCAAGTATTGTTATGAAGTGGACATTTATTTTGGTCCTCTTTCTAAATTAATTTATGATTGATAAAGCACCTCAACTGTTATGTCTTGTGTGTTATGAAACACATGTGAACCCCTTCTCTGTCTATTTTGACAGGCCATATGGCCAATACATATGTCATAAAGTGACTTATCGGGGGCACTCCATTTTAATAGTCTCCCTCTCTTGAGGAACCATCTTTGAGGGAACACGCTTTCAAATGATTGTTATGTCGACGACTCCTTTTTTGAGGAACCTCTCTTTTGGAGAACTTCTCTCTTTTGAGGATCTCCTTTTGTAAAATATTTCTGTAGGGGAACTCTTATTGTCACAACGACAAAAGTGTATGATTTGATAAGTTTTGAAAAGACAAATCGGACGCCTATAAAATGTTGAAGAAGAAACTTAACTTCCTTTTCCCCATTTTACCAACATGTTTCTCTGATTATAACATGTTGGTAAAATGGGAACAAGAAGTTATGATTTCTCAAAAGTTTTGATCATTACTACTTCTAGATTGGACACTCAAGCTGACAAAATTGTAATGTCCCTGTCATGCACATGTAATTTGGTAAACAAATTCACATCGTGTCAGGCCTTTTGTGAACTTTCATAATGAGCTACAAATGAACAGACAGTACTGATTGTGATCATGTGATGGTTATTTTACCTGACTGCTAAGAAAGCATTAATGCTTGTAAGTGAGCAACCAGACAGCCGACGACTTTAGGTCCTCTCCGAGGGACCTGGTAGTGAGGATTAATGCCTTACCAAAGGGCACTAGCGCATCGTCTTGGTTTCGAACCCAGGTCACCGGATTACGAGACCACTGCTCTACCGACTGAGCTATCGCGATTGACAGTGTTTTTAGTACATACTGTATGATACATTTTCATTGTAGGTCCACTTTTACATGTATATCAATGACATGACAACATCTGTTAAATGTGCACAGTATAAATGATCTTTTGTGATGTTAAGTAGCTTAATTGCATGTAATAACTTTCACATCGATCAATCTTGGTACAATCAAAAGTAGTGCAGCATAATTATTAATTAAACATACTTTCTGACTACATTATATTAATAGCTTTCACATGTAACTTGACAGTCTCCACCTGTTTGCATAATGTTAATGTTTTGTTCATCGTTGTTGTTGTTATTGTTTTCATCATCATCATGAATTATTATTTAGATAAGGTAGCCCTTTCATTGACATGCACTATTCTTCCAGTGAACCCTGTTAAAAGAACAGTATAGATATCAGGTTTTTAAAACTAGAGTTCTCTTTGAAGTTATTTGAAATTAATCTTACAGGATAGTAGTCAGTTTCCTCGTGCAGTAGGTCATAGTTCGCTGACAACAAACTTGGTGGAAATACCATTAATTGGTGTAAAAGTCTTCATTTGAGGGAAATTGAAGTTTAAGTTTGAGTTTAAATGAAAAATGGTGAGCATTATACAATGCCTGCTGGTCATAAAACTGAAGGCTAATCCTGGTGATTGAAAACACCTGTTATTGGGTAAACACCAGAGAGACGTCAATTCCTCATGAGAGCTCACTCATATACTTCTTTAATTAAGAACGTTTGACAGTGCTTGTAGTGCAATGTTACTCCGAAAACCCCATGAATTCAAGGAAGTCCCTATTAAAGGTAATTACCGTAGGGCAATCATTACACCATTGTGGCAAAGAAAGTTGTAGAATAATATCAATGCAACTTTCCATCATTTTTTATTGTCTTTTTTTTCTTGTATTCTTAGGATACGCAAATATGCAGAAAACCCTTTTGATTCACAGAAGTTTCAAGGAAGCCTCTTATTGCTTTGAGTGTTTAAAACTTAATCTTGTTTAACAGAGAGTCAGACAAGGATATTAATTCAATTTTCCATCATATTTTCTTTCTTTTTTCTCCCTCAGGTGGGGCGAGTACCCAGAAAGCCCCCATGATACACAGGAGAATAAAGGAAGCCCCTAAGGGGCGTTACTACATCGCTAAGCAGAACTACTCCGCTCAAGAGGTCGGTGAACTGTCCTTACACAAGGGTGATCACGTAGAAGGTAAGCATACAGTCAAACCTGTCTTTTAAGACCATTCCAGGCAAAGTTATTTCTTGATTAAACTGAGTGTTAGGGCTACCTAAATAATAATTGCTTCTTATTAAGAGACATGTCCGCCATGTCGTGACGCTCCTGGCACTGCACGATTAATACCCTGGCTTTAGCAAGGCGGCCATTACGGCGCTCTAGCATTTCAAGGAATTAATTCCTGCCAGGTACCCATTTCCATCGCCTGGGTTGAGTGTGGCAAATGTAGATCAATGTCTTGCCACGGCATGAGTCGAACTGCAAACCTTGTGATCGACAGTCTGGTGACGCATCCACTCGATCACGACACCTCTACAGCCAGGATAATGAAGTGTTGTGGTCCAGTGTACAAGTCTCCGGACTGTGAACCACGCGGTGCAGGGTTTGAAACCCCGTCGTGCGGGTGACATTTTTATGTTGGAATAATATTATATACACTTTGAGCTATAGTTTAGCACACCAAAAAATAGTACGCAATCTCTTTAAATTGCTTCTTTTTTCAGGTCAGAAATTGTGTACTTTATGCTGGAAAGGTCAAGAAGGTAGATGGATACTTAATTTTACTTTTAAATCTCCCATTTTCTTTATTTTTCAGTGACGGCGATCGGTGAATACAACTACTGGCAGGGATCAGTCGCACATAGCATGGGATGGTTTCCATCATATTGTGTAGAAGCAGTTTCACCCAAATACAAGAAAAGTAAGTTTCTCTCTTGATTCTTATATTTGAGTTTCTTGTAATGGTTCTGTAATCCTAATGTTTGAGAAAGGAGTTTGAGAGTTTTTGGAAGTTTGAGCAACTTTACAAAATGGATTTTGGAAGAAGGAAATTGTAGATGCTGATGATGCTGATGATGATGACGACAGTGATGATGATGGTGATGATGATGTCGATGACAGTGATGATTGTTGAGGTTGTAATGTTTGCTTATGAAAATGTGACGATGATGATGATGATTATGATTATAACAATGATAATGATGATGAGGGTGGTGATGGTGCAATTCACTAAAAAGTCTTCACATAGAATTACAAGTACCATAATAAGATTATCTTGAGAGTCCAAACTGAGTAAAATTTGAATTAGACTATAAACTGAACAGATGAAATAAAGGGAAATACCAACAGTTAGCTGAATAAACATCTCCTTTAAACCACGGAGACAAAAGATGGATGATATTAAAAAAAGTAAAACAACCACAATGGGTACAAACCTGTTCAAGTACACATACCTGTAAAATGTCAATATGACCGTATGACCAGAGAAGCAGAAAAATGTGTGTGTGTGAGAGATAGAGAGAGAGAGATAGAGAGAGACATACAGAGGGAGAGCCAGAAGGGAGAGGGAGGGGGGGGGGGAGAGAGAGACAGACAGACACAGAAAGAGAGAGAGAGACAGACAGATAGAGACAGAAAGAGAGAGAGAGAGAGAAACAATGTAACGATATGAAGTGATTACAATGGGAAAAGAAAGCAGAGAGAGATGGGGTGGGAGGAGAAAAGGAGGGAGGGATGGAGAAGGACAGAGAGAGAGAGAGAGGGAGGGATGGAGAAGGACAGAGAGAGAGAGGGAGGGAGGGATGGAGAAGGACAGAGAGAGAGGGAGGGAGGGATGGAGAAGGACAGAGAGAGGGAGGGAGAGTTAGGGGTGGGGGGGGGGTGGCAGCTACATTACATAAACATTAATCACACATTGACTCATTCATGTCCTCCACCAATTAAATGTTTACAGCTGCTCTCAATTTACAATGGCATGGTTTTGTTTTGAAACAGGGTTTATAGAAACCTGACTTTGTAATGATGTCAATAATAACTGAACTCGATCATAAACATTCTATGACTCATATTCAAAGGAATTTCACACGATTTTACCTCCAAAACCAGACATTTTTGTGTCATAACCTAGTTGTGTTTGATGGCCCTAAATTTCAGGTGTTATGACATTTGGTAGGTTTGCTTTTGGTTTAATATACATCTAGTTCTGTCCATTCACATTTGTTGCTGAATTAGAATTGTACATTGTACTTTGAAGTAGTGTCACTGAAATAAATTAGATCTTGGAAATATTTTTTTGTAATGTTTTTATCTCTGCCTTACATTTTTATTTCATGACTAAGTTGGGTTGGGTTGCCCAACTTGAGGCATTGTGACGCCAATATGTTTGATCTGGTTTTATAGAGGTGTAGGCCAAGTGTGTCGCACATTACAAGTTTTAAGTTTCATTGAAATTATGCTTGAACCAATGAGTGATATAAGATTATTGAATGTAGTATAAATGTTTAATCATTAATGCTTGTTTGAGGGTGTTTAGAAACCACATTTCAGTCAAAGACATTGATATGTGTTGGTCTAAATTATGAGGACTCGATAGAGGAACTCTCAGCATCTGAAGGGAAGACATGTTTGCGGTAAAACATCTGTTCTTAGAAGTCTGCAGGTATTAAACAGAGCTAGAACCAAGAAGAAGAAAAAATAATGTCATTCCCTCTTCGATATTTGCACATGATGAAGTGAAGTAGGAACATATTTGCTAGTAAACGGCTCTTCCTGACAACGAAATGCAAGTATTTGCTAGGCAAGTCAGACATTTTTTTGATATTTATCCTCAAACATTGGTGTTCTTTGATAACATTGTTGAGAAGCCACCGGTGCTATTTATTCAACCAGATAAATTCTCCTCATCTCCGTTTCTAAACAAGATAAAAACTGGCTTGGCAAATAAAATGGTGAGGGAAGACACGCATGAATTCAGTTTTCAGATCTCGAATGGCCTCAGAGGTTCACTTTAATACATGCTGTGGAGTAGATTGACATGTTTCATAGGTACCGGTCTGTTGAAAAGATATTGCTGTACAAATGATCAGGGCCCCATTTCACAAAACTTGTCATCAATGACAAATGACTGTTTTTGTTATAAGCTACTGAAATCCTTGCTTCTGATTGGTTATCAGCAGATTTGTCACTGATTTTTGTCATTTGTCATTGAAAAAAGGCTCTGTGACACAGGTCCCACAGACAACAGATCGACCAGTCACTTCATATACATGGTATTTAGAAGTTTTAATACATTCTCAATAATTTGAATTTTTGTGAAAAAGTTATAGTGAAAGAAAGTGGTTTGAAAGGAGAAAGGCTGAGTGATGAGTAATAATTAAACATTTTTGTTTAGCACATAGGCATAATTGCATGTCTCTATGCAGTATGCAATTGACATAACAGAATACCAGAGTGGAAATGGTGCACTGGGTTCATAATTGTAATATTTTACAAAGTGATAAAGAATTTTTTTTTATTTAATAAAGAGAGAGAAGATCGAGGGAGACTTTTACAAGATACGAATACAGACATAAATATACACAGACAGGTTGACAGAAAGTGAGTAAGATGGAGAGAGAGAAAAAAAGGGGGAGTGGTAGAAACTATTATCATGAAAATGTCAAGTATACTATTAAAATTGTTACTTAGAAATAAAAATATCTCTCACACAAAAAATGCAGACTCAGTAGAAACATTATGGACACAGACTGGTCTGTCTGCTTTTTCCCCCTTTTTATAACTTTTTTATAACTTTTTTTATATGAAGAATAGACAAATTAATCAAGACGTTAACATGAACATTACATGCATGTACATGTGAATGCGATAACATGTTGCATTATATGGTTCTTAGCCTTGGGCTTTGCTTATTACTGTTTGATAGAGCCCCAATAAAAGGTCCATTATGCAACATACGTTCATGCACCGCTTCAGGTCGTTAACATACCTTAATTACTTGGCTAACGAGCTAGGTGATTTATCAGATCATTAATTATGCGAAGCAGGAAGGAGAGGTTTTATTAAAGAAGGTGAGAATTGAGATTTGCATGTGTTAAAGATAAAGACCAGTTATGGTCATGCGATTACATTGTGAAAGAAACGTTGTGGAATCGATCAGAAAAGGTTGATCATCTAGCATATAAGTATTGGTGTGTACTGCAAGGTTCTTTAATCATCAAAATGATAAGAAATTTGGCCCAGTCTTAGTAAAGTTACAAGCACTGTACACAGAAAGATGTATATGGGACTACGCACACGTGCGCGACATGTGCGTTTATCTCTCACAGTCTAATAGATAAACTAATTTACCAAATATATCAATTAGCAGGCGGTTTCCCGGCAAAATTGTTATCATCATGTATTAGTCAAACCATATTCTTTCACATGATTGGTAATAAAGAGCTTCCATTTCATTTTTTGAAATTGGGGCATTTCCAATACTGGTCTTTACCTTTAATGTTATACAGCTAATCTTTTGGAAAAACTCAACTGGCACAAGGATCTCATATATATCTATATGTATATTTCCATGGTCAATCAAGATTTGAGGTACGTTACATGTTGCAGAAAATAAGCTTTAAAAGTAGTTTTGACACAGATTAATACTGGGGAGAGACAGACAATAATATACCTTGCAGACCTACAAAACGTACTTTTGCTGTAATAATAAGATTTAAAGGCCCACTACACTACTTGTAGCTACTTGCTCCCTCTATATAACAAACCATGCCTAATCGGTGACCATTCGTCCCCCATAATCATCTTTTTCTTATGTTAACTGAGAGCTGAGTTGATGAGATAACCACCTGTCCAGTGACCTTGCAGGGCAGTTTAATCCCTCCTGTAAACTATGGCAGATACGCTTTAAGAAAATAATAATGCTATTTCTGCGATGAACAACAATTATTGAGAAAGACTAAACCTTTTGTTTTAAGAAATGAGGGATACAAATATAATAACACATTTTTTGAAGGAAAAAAATGGAGTATTAAATATTAGATAAATTGAATGGAAGAGGGTGATTTATGAATTCATAAAACGAGAGGAAGAGGGGGGAGGGGGAAAGAGGGGTAGAGAGAGATGGCGAGAGGAGGGTGAGAGAGAGAGAGAGAGAGGAGAGGAGAGGGGAGAGAGAGGAAGCAATATGGAGAAAGAGAATAAAGAGGCTGATGTCAACACTGGACAGTTAGAAAAATAGGGGAGGATGAGAGGGGTAGAGAGAGAGAGTGTGTGAAACAGTTAGATTAAGCAATAGAAAATGGATATTTAACCAACAATTTGAAGCAAATTACAGTTACAGTCACTATCAGTACTTGACATTTTAGAACAGAGTTTAAAATGTCAGAAATGAGAAATGACGATATTGAGGAAATAACATGAAAATAATCTATTTAACAGTAGAACGAACGGAACGATGATATCAGATTGTATTTTAGGAAGTGGTATGAATAGTAAACAGGACAAGGTTACACATGAATTTAATGGATTTCCTCTCAAAAGTATTTCTTTTCTATATCCATGGTTCTATATATCTATCAATTACAGCCTCATTCAAAGAAAACAAAAATTATGCGATACACAGACATCCTGTTACAAAGGGGGGGGGGGGGGGGGGGAGGACTTTTTTTTTTTTAAGACTTCCTTTCATTTTTTGAATCTATCATTGAATCACCTTAATCATTCAGTTTCTGGTCTCTAAGATGCAAAGCAAAGTGTAAATATGACGCACAATTGCCAGAAAAAGGAGGAATAAAAGCTCTCTGACACGATGTTTGTTGTATTCTGGAGTTTACTGATTACTGGCTGGTCATAAAATGGTAGCGAACTTTGATCGGACAATGACGCACACTGGGAACCACTCCTAACCAATACTGAAAGATCCCCCCTACTTTGGGTGTTCACGGTTGAGAGAGAGAGAGAGAGAGAGAGAGAGAGAGAGGTGGAGGAAGGGAGGGTAGGGGCAGGGGAATCCCCTCCCCATTGTGAAACCAAAGTCATTGAATGAGGGGGTAGATAATTAGAAACATTACTAATCAATTATGATACCGGTAGATACAATTACCTGAGGTTGAGTGTTTGTTTGGTGGTTGATGGGGGGGGGGGGGGGGGGAGGGGAAGGTAGGAAAGGGGGATCCATCCCTTTTTTTATCATTGAAAAGGGGGTATATCCTATCCACATCTGTTCATTAAATTGATTGAAAGAGTAAACATATGTGTATTCCATGCAAACAAAATGTTTAAAAAACTTAACATCATTTTAACATTTTTGATTCTATTTTTAATAATTTCATTAGATGGATGCAAAGACATGAAATATGTTTAGGATAAAATTGAAAATAAATGTGATTTCCGCTTACAGTATCTATTAAAGAATAACGTGAAATGAATTTAATGCACTAAAAATGTGTGAGGATTTTTATCCTAGAGAGCATTAGTAAAATGTTACTTCCAATTGCAAGCAATCACTTTAGTATGAAATGAACCCCCTCCCTCATTTTCCCTGCATGTGATTGTGATTTATACAACCCCTCACCCCCTCCATATTCATGGACTCGCTATGCCCCTGCTCATCACGTTGATGTGATAACCATCGACTACCCCTAAATACAAAGGGCATCAGAAACCAACAGTCATGCCCGCGCTTGCGCACACGTGCCTCCCTTTATTTTTGGAGTAGGTATATAAAGCAAAAGTTGAGAGCTTCTGTGAACTACTAGTGGAGGAAGTTTTGTGGCCAAAATTCATAGTGGCCTTGAGCTGTGTTTATACCAAACAAGTTTGTATTTTGAAACACGTTTTGGATTTTGATTTATTCCGGATATTTAGATGGATTTGTCTTAATTTCTGAAATAAATTTGTGACTGGAATTGGACTACTGGATGAATGGATTTGAATTTGTTTTCTCAGAGAATCTGGATTCATGATTCATATTTTTCATTGTGTGTGCCTGTGATGAACGAGCTGAAAAAGGGTGTTTCTTTATTAATCATCTTTAAACGGACAATGGTGTATTTTTTCTTTCCTTTGGATCTTGTTTCACTTTGAAACCAATAAGGCTACTGTATATATGTAGACCACCTGCTTATAAAGACTTCATGTCTTGCCTCCCTTGAGTGTTCTTTATATACAGGCTGAATTGTTACTCAATCATTGTTACTATTTTGTTTTCAATTGGAATATTTTTCTGTGGGTGATACCGTATTACCGTAGGTGCTTATAGTGAACACAGTGATGGTATTATTTCAACAGTTGTATTTGTTTTACTTTTGAGGTTTGCTCAAAGTTGATTTACTTTCCAAAATTTTGCTGTTTTCTACTTTTTTCTACTGTCATAGCTTTTGCTGTCTTCAACTTTCCCAGGACAAATTTGTGTTTTTATCTGTATTGTCAGGTCTGCCAAGTTCTTGAGCCTACATGTTTATATGCTTTGTGTATTGGTTTTCTGTTTGCCATATAGACCTACGATGCAAATGAGGAATTCTAGCATCTGTTCATGCTCTTTTTAGTAATATGAAATTATGACTAGTCTGCTGTATTTAGCTACATGCACAATTCCCAACAAATATTTATGATTTACTAATTTAACTGTTTTTTTTTTTTTACTTAAATGTTTTATTCATGAAAAGTAAGTACTTTATCATGTCATTTTCATGCTCTAATAAAGTTTGATGCTGAAAAGAGTATTAAGAGCATCAAGATATTTGTATGCAATTCCACATCGTCCTTGCAAAAAATACTTTGTCGACCTGTGATGTCTGTTTACATAATTATCAGTCATCACAATGATCACATAGTACTTGAGAGCTTTTGTTCATTTTTCAGAGATCAGTTCCCCTTTTCAAACCAAAAGCACCCCTCCCCCATTACTTTTTGTCATTTATTGTTCTCCCACTTCCCCCTTTGCTGAAGAGAGGGGTCATGATCATTTTGAAAACCAGTCTAGCATGCCTTCATCATGGTATCGATGCTCTTTGGGATAAGATGATAGTTTACCAGTCTCATCAATGTCCTCCTTTTTCCGACCACTATTGTGGTCGGATGAAGTTGCTTCTGAGGCTTATATTAAAGGTTAAACTGTATTCATCTTTGTATATTAGTTTCCTTTTTAAGAAAAGGTGCCAGAGCTTAAAGTTGGTCAGACAATGCATTATTTAGGAATGCATTTCATTAACATTTTAGGAAGACGTAGGTAGCGTCCTTGTTTGTGAGAGAAACGTAAGATATTTGTGGAATTCCCGAAGCATGACTCAACAGTGGTTGGAGCCAAGATTTATGAGGTGGCTAGGTGGTTATGATCAAGTTTCTGATAAAGTGAAGACTGTGCAAACTTGGCATGTTTCTGTTTCTAGACAACGCAAGTGTTGTTCAGTGTCTTCATTTCCAAGATCTTCTTTTTGTGTAAATAACTTAAGTTTAGCCTGGTCTACCTGTTTGGCAAGCAGACAGGCTTCTTCCCTCCTGTTTTCCACTTCATCCTGTTTTCCACTTCATCCTCTTGTCCTCTTCATTCCTTTTCTTCTTTATTTCTTCTTTTCCTCTTCTTTTCCTCTTCTTTCCTTTTCATTCTTTATCTCTTCTTTCCATCGTCTCTTCTTTTATTTCTTCTCTTCCTCTTCGCTACTTCTACTTTTTCTCTTATTTTCTTCTTTTCCTTTTTCCCCCACTCTTCTCCAATTCTTTACTTCTTCTTTTTCTCTTCTCCTTTTCTTTACTTCTTGATTTACTTCTTGTGTACTTATTCTTTGCCTCTTCTTTTCTTCTCCCCCCCCATCTTATCCTCTTCTTTACTTCTTCTTTTTATTATCATTATATTTTCCATTTTCTCTTAGATTTTCCCCATTATGTGCTGTCAGCTAGTTTCATTCCACTATAACTATTCTGCTGTGTTCATACCTCAATCTCTTCCCTCTGTCTTAATCCCTTAATACTGTCTATTCACACCCCTTGCATAATTTACGATTTGACGCAAATTCATATCTGTTCTATCTTGTTCACACTGTCACATCCGTCTATTGAAGATGTCCTTCATTGTCCTTCAGACCTGTTCACTCCATTGCCACCTGCTAGCTATGTCCAGCCCATTTCCTTTCTGACCTTAAAACTTGAACTGAATTGAATCAAATTAAGTCCTAACCGATTGACTACTGAATTATTTTAATCCCATATGCAGTTACAGGAGACAGTGGATTCCTGTATGCAGGGGGTTAATGAGTGTGGTTAGATCTGGGAAAGCATTGTGCATTTTGTCATATCGTCCATGATTAGGTCAAAGTCTTTGAAGGACCTTGGCTGTGTCCTTATTATGGTCATTTCTTGGCAAGAACAGTGCAAAATGCTATTCACCATAGGCCATAGCTCTCTTTGGATTGGCTGAATAATAGCTTCTTGATAATGTCCTTTGAGGCAAGTGTGTAGGCTACAAGAAATTGCAAGTGTACTTTGTTCTTTAGTTTTCCTTTGTAGGATGTGACAACCAATTTAACTCTTTCAGTCAGAATTCCTCCTTTTGTTGGTTCTATGTTGGACATGCATGAGGGGAAGGCCTTTAGATGAGGTGAAGCAAGCTGTAGTACTAGTAGAAACCATAATGCCCCAGAATGTGTCTATTGATTTGTCTGCTAATTGGCTCTTCTTGGTCACTGTTAATCCTGTTGCTTTGTTGGCTTTAAACCTCAGACAATCACTGTTATGTAGGGAATGTCCAGACTTTGGCTGCCTCATTCTCTGTGCCTACCGTTCCATATAAGTTGTCCACTTTTGTACTTTTGAAAAGCATTTGATGACTCAGGGCTCAAATCACATGGTTTCTTTTGGATTCAAAACTTTGAGACTTCTGGTTTGATGTATAAACCTGTGCCATCCAGGAGCCCGTTCCTATCCCATTGAAACGCGTGTTAATTTCATAACACACGTTTCAATGGGATAGTCAAGAAGTTAGACTTATGACGGTTTCTAGGAACGGGCCCCTGATGTACTTTGTGAACTCTCTCAAATCTGACCTTTGGGCTTTTGTGGTATATTGCTGAGAGCCAGGATGGCATTGACTTAAGTTCTGCACAATGCCCTTCTTGCTCTCAACAGACATCCTCTCTCCCTCAGTCTACCTTGCTATCGATATATTCAATTACAACTTGATGAAGTTGTACTTGAATACAGCAATAATATCTTCCAAATTTTGATATATAGGAGGAACATAGTGACATGCTGATGTGAATGTGTGAGGTACACTTCAAGAAAGGAACAGTGAGCCAAGCGAGGAATAAATACAAGGATTATCTTCTACAAAAACTGTAACGCTTCTGCAAATTACTTGGATGGTCCTGTACCAGAGGAAACGATCTCTCACAAAGTTGGATTTTCATCATCATGGAATAAATGTATGCTGTATGATAATAGCTGAAAGATACAACTCTGATTGTCGTTAACGCTTGACAAACTTGAACAAACACGAGTGGTGCGAACTTTTGATGTGTGTGATCAGATACTGAATTCTTGTGCCGAGTGTTGCATCGTCTTTCAGATAAAATGAAGAAGTTCTTCAGGAAACGACGTTCCATGAACTTATCGAAATATTCTTCCACATATTCTTCCACTTATTCTCTAGGCTCCAGCAAGCTGAATCTAGCCGAAGATGTTCCAATTTCAAACAGGTATGTTTGTTCCATTGTTTTTTATATCTTTCTTATCAGGGAATGTTTCATAAAAGTTCATATCGGTAGCAAATGCTAAAACTTTTATGACAGAATTGCACTCATCCACTCAAATTTAATGAGTTCAGTAGCTTCTAACATTTATTGCAAGTTGTTTATTGATAACAAGTTTTATGAAACAGTACCCAGATATATGAGTGTATGAGGGTTAACAGGTAGTCTATGTTTAGCACACATCGTTTTATTATATTGAGAGCCAGAACGGTATTAGTTTTAATAGACCATTTTCGTAATGTAATCAAATTTAATGCACAAATCTTTGTTGAATGCCTGTATTTCAACTGTCAGAATGCAAATTGCATACATTAGTTGTTGCTAGGTAGGACAAACATTATGGCTTGCCCTACCTAACAACACATTATACATGCAATTCACTTTCTGACTACTGAAATACAATTATTTTTATTAATGAAATAATTTGTAGCCAGAGCTTCTACATGTATGTACAAAGCGAAGCTTGTACAATGTAGCAAGTAATTTTCATTTCTGATTTGCTTTCAATGTCCATTACATACAGTTTTGTACATTGGAGAGCTGCTTGACAAGTCTTCTTTTTTCTTGATGTAAACGGTACAAGAAGATGTATTACCACTGTCACATTTCATCCCTAAACTAAACTTAACAGAAAAGCTTTTATCCGATTGATTTTAATATCTCTAATGGTTCTCCCCCAACTGGAAAAGGGCATTAGAGTTATTAAAATCCAAAGGTTCCAGTGTATATTAGAGAAGCCAGCCCCAATAAGAAGTGATACAGAGAATAGGGACTTTTAGATTTGCACAACGACAACGTGGATTGCTACGATCGACGTCCTTTTAATGCACTGCCATGAATGGACGTCACACGTATCAGTCCACGCAAATCTAAAAGTCCCTAATAACAACCTGTCAACAACAATGTCTAGCTTTCTGTCTTTCTCTTGGCCTCTTTGTCACTGCCTATTATCTGTTCATCTCTGCTTGAATGTTGCAGGGAAACTTGTTAGTCAATCTCCATAGCAACGGCACAGACAGGGCCAACAACCTTTTTGTTGCTAGCATTCTTAAGAGGGGCGATGAATTAGTCATAATCCACGTTGGTCATAAAAAGCTTAGAGATTCATTAATAAATTTTAGTAGATTTAATATCATAATTAACTTTCCACAAGTGTAGAAATGCCATGACACATTGTGAAGCGATCTGGCATTTGCTCCAGGCTTTATCTTTTTGAAGGCTTAGGGTTAGGGTTCGGGTTCAAATTTATTTTAGGTTAGAGTTAGGGTAAGGGTTAGGTACCGGTATAGTGTTTGGTCTAGGGTTGAAACTCAAGAATTTGGTTAGTTTAGGGAATTGACGCAGAGTAATCATTGCTAGAGCAAATGTCGTACAACCTTCTTGTGCTCATGTATACTGAAGGCAGGCCTAAATTATAGAAATTACGGAAAAGCATTTCCGCCATAAATATCCAAGATTGATATGAAAGATGAACTGGCAGAAAAAAATTCCACAAGAATAAAAGAGAGAACAAAAAATTATTTCCTCATTTTGAGGATTTCACAATTTTCATCTTATAATGCACATCCAGCAAGCAAGTCGAAAATCATCGTTTTTGATTTCCAGGCACTCTAATTTCATAAAAATGTATATATTGCAAAATTTGAAAAGTTGACAAATGGCTCAGTCCATGATTCTTTACAAGTTATTGAAACACTACCTGAATGATTTATCTTTGAATCAACAAAATGACAATTATTACAATTCCATTTCCTCTTACTTTATCATCCGTACCGATATGATAAACTTTGGAGAGCTTAATGATTGTGAAACCTAAACTAGCTACTGTGGATTTGCTCTTGGCATTGTCATGGTTGTGATGATGTATGAGTGCACGCAACATTCTTTGCAGGTGGAAATCAATAGTGTTACTTCTGAAAGGTTCTATAGGCCATCTGCTGAAAAGCGGAAGAGATGGTTGGGATAAATTATACTGTTAAAACAATATGACATTTCAAGCTCATGCTGAGATTAAAGGTATTACAAAGTTTTGGGAAATTTTGGAAATTGGGTGGATAGTTATTCTTTACAATGTTGATATATTTGGATGTCCCTGTGGATGTATTATAAGCACTAGAAATTTTAGCCTCTAAAACACTTCTGCTTTCGAGAAAAATTGAATATAACAATTCACCGGTGCTCCCGGTAAATTTCGATAAATTTCAAATAGCGCCTTCGGCCGTACAGTGGTAGCTGCGACCATGGAAATCTCAGAAGATGTAGTTGTGATACATAATTTCCAAATGGGAATCGCTAATTGATCGATTTTAGTCAAGAAATATTGTTTTATAGCTTAATTAATATCTTGACCTTGAGAGGGAGCTATACAACATAAAGAGTTTATTATTTACAATTTCATAACTATAGACTCAATTTCAACGGCGACAATGATCACTAAATATTGTAGGATCGCATATGCTTCCAATATGTTCATTTGAACCCAATTCATGACCCTATACCAAAACTTTGTATTACCTTTAAAGAAATTAAAACAGTTGTATGTTATTGTGATATTTTCCTTTTTATATTTCTTCACATATTGATCATCTCAATAGTAATACCTGCAGGATTATAAAATAACAATCTACTACCAAATAAATGCTGACTCAGAGATAGAAAGAATGAAGGATTCTGTAGAGTTATGGGGTACTTGTAACATCACATAGAATAGAATACAATTGAATAAAGTAGAATGTAATCCATACTCTTGCGCTCCCCTCCTGGGGTAGGAGAGTACAACACATTTGTATGCATCATCAGCATTATTATTAACTGACGGATCCCTACAGTAATATATATGACAGATTTTTCTGTTCATAATAACGCTGACGACGACAGTATTTTGAAAATAGAGCCTTTCAAATTGAAGTGATCCGCATCAAACCAACAAACTATCCTGTACAAATATTATTTACAATGTCCCCGTAGATTTCATGTAATAAGTATCCATTCTTTTGGAAAGACATTGATCTACATTTGCCACACTCAACCCAGATGATGTAAATGGGTACCTGACAGGAATTAATTCCTTGAAATGCTAGAGCATCGTAATGAATGGCTGCCTTGCTAAAGCCAAGGTAATAATCGGGGCAGCGCCAGGAGCGTCACAGAATGTGCGCTTTATAAGAAGCCATTATTTTTATTGTTATAATTTTCTATTTTTGTTGTTTATTGTAGTGTGCCCTCGTTTGATGGAGCTGAACAAGAGCAGAACTCCGATCCTAGAATCGCTTGTGTTCAGAGGGGGAAGAAGGGCTTTGGCTTTGTCCTTCGTGGAGCTAAAAGTAAGTATACTTCCTTTAACCAAATGAACCAGGGGAGTGTTTCACAAAGACTAAGATTGACTTTAAGTTGGACTTAACTATGGCAGGCTGCTCATGCCACTGTTTGCTCTCACCATTTACTGGCGTTAGTCTGTCAAGGGACGTACAAATAATGGTCACACATTTACTGAATTTATATTTTGATAATTCATTATTGAAGGAAAAAATATTATCTAAAGATTATAATGGTGAGAGCAACCAGTGGCATGAATGGCCTGCCATATTTAAGTCCAACTTCAAACCGATCTTAGTCTTTGTGAAATATCCCCCTGTTGTGACTAGTTGGTGGAGTTATTTTCAATATTACAAGCAGAACCTCTTCAGCAAAAAGATATTGCCATTCCTATGAAAGGAATCCTTTTCAATACATCAAATTTTTCATACAAGAAAAGCATTCTTTAACCCCTAAAAAAAATGCAATGAAAAGATCTTCCCTTTTCCACAACACAACGTCTTTTTCAATAATAGATGGGAATATGATGGATTGCTGTTTTTAGACTTCCTGTAATAATTGTTTTTCGGTGGATTATGGAAATAATGTCTGTCTAGTCCTATTTTACAGTTTGCACATCCTTGTAATATGTTTTCATCTTGGCTTCCATTTGAGTAACTTTGTGTCTATATAAGATGAAGTGATTCAGCGGGGGAATTATTTAATCTATATTCCGTATTTGTCTTATCAACCCAAAATACCAGGTTTCAGGGAATTTTAAGGGTAAAGAGGATGTGTTGTATATTGTTTCAGGGTTTCTTACTTTATCAGCATGAGGCCTTATTATACTGAGGGGAATGAAGACAGTAATTGTGCTTCCTAGTCAAATTGTCTATCTAGCTATATATTGTTGGTATGTCACTTTATTGATACTTCAGCAATAAAGGAACAGAGACATTGTGATAAAGGCATACAAAGAAAAGGAGAGCATAATAAGAAAAGCACTGGGACCCGTTTCACAAAGCCTTTTTTCAATGACAAATTACAAAAATCAGTGACAAATCTGCTGATAGCCAATCAGAAGCAAGGATTTCACTAGCTTATAACAAAAGCTGTCATTTGTCACTGATGACAAGTTTTGTGAAATGCCCACCAGGACTTGGCCTGATTAATGGTCCATGCAGGGCAGGTAATGTAAAAAAAGAAAATACAAATCCGATTTGAAAATAACCTTTGAAATCAATATGGTAGGTATACAGATAAGGTAACCATGTAATGTAATAAATGTAATGAAGGGTTATCTAATGATAGGCAGAAATAGATAACCTTATTTAAAGCATACATGTAGAGTAAAAGAGGAAGTTCATCCTGATATTTAAGTTGGGTTTTTGTGAAAGCAAAAACAGTAATAACTAAATTAATGAGAGAAAACAGAGCTGTATTTGAGTTTGAGGTTGTGGTTATATTAGGTTATGACATATGAAAATGCATATTGGCAATTCCCTGACATACCTTTCAAGTACCTCTCCTGTGTGCTGTGGACCAGCCTGTTAAGAACCACTTTTCATGTCTCCCTCAAGCAGACTTCATAAAGAGGTTTCAGAGCAGTTGAAACTCGTGGGCTGAACACGTAATACCGGTACCATTAATGCGTAAATGGGTACCCAGTAGGATATGAACGTCATTGTGGTTGGATTAGCATGTGTGCGCCCGTGAAAGGGCAACTGGCTGGAATGCTCCCCAGGGAGCGAAGAATATGCAGTGTAATGTGCAGAATAGTGATTGAGTCCAGTAACCGGGGTAATGATAGCATTGTAAGCACTTTGGTCGGTTAATCGAACAAGCGCTATACATAGGAATCAGGTTTTATTATCATTTTATGTATGCCACCAGTCCACTAATAATGTTTCATTTCATTATTCATTTGTTCTCCATCCACACTCCCGCCCCTTTTCCACCCCTTCCCCACTCCACCACCCCTTTCCCTCAACAGGTCCTCAGGGCGGAGCAGTATCCTTCACCCCTACCAAAGACTTCCCCGCCCTCCAGTACCTGGAACATGTGGATAAGGGTAGTCCTGGAGACAAGGCGGGGCTCAAGATGGGAGACTTCATATTAGAGGTAAGAGGTCCAAATATACTCTCTTTATTCTTTCCTCTTTCTGTCAATCTTTCAGGTTTGTTTCTCCTTTCGCTTTTTTCCCCGTTTCTCCTGGGCCTGTTGCATAAAACTTACCATTGATGGTAACTTTGCAATCAACAGCAACTACCACGGTAACAGGGCTCAACAGCCAATCAAAATCAAGGTTTCCATGGTAGTAACCAATGATGGCAAAGTTACCATCAATAGTACGTTTTGTGCAACTGTGCCCAGAACTCTCTCCATCTCTCACTTCTCCCTTTCAATGTTGTTGTTTTTTCATTTTTGCATTCCCCTTTTCCTTTGTTTTTCCTATGTCTTTTTTTTCCGTTCTGTTTGTTATTCTTTTTTTTCTTCTCATTTTACTCTTTTCTTTTCTTGCTTTCTTTTCCTTTCTCTTCATTTCCCATCAAACCGTCACTTTTCTTCCTTACCCTCATCTCCTTACTCTCATCTCCTTACTCTCTCATTGTTTTATCTTTCCAGTGCTTTTAGTTTTATTTTTGTTTTGTCCTTTTTAAAAGCTCTTTCCTTCTTTATTTTTATTTTTCTTTTCCTGCTTGTTTTTGCTTATTATTGCTTATTCTTTTTCATTTTTTTCTTTCTCTTTAGTTGCTTGCCCTTTAAAATGTCATGTTAATGTGATTCATGCTCAGCAGCGTCATGAGTGGAGGGTTATTAATACAATGTTTGGTTTATTGTTAGCTCAAAACCACAACACACTCTCTCTTTCAACGTCATTACTAAACTACAAACCACTACATGATGATGACTAATCAAGGAAAGGGGTGGGATTCGTACATGAATTTGTAGCTCAAAACTAAAATTTATCCTCTTTAAATTGATCCTAAATAAAAATTAATCCTCTTAATTTGGTTCTGGTAAAGATGTCTGATCCTTTGCTAGGCTACTCCTATTTTTTGTCATTATGAAAAATGTCTCCTAAAAATGGAGTGCTTTTCAGATGCTCTCATAATATGGCAAACATAGCAGTGTTTGGACCAAACAGTCATGGCATAAGACTGTGTAGTCCCATATACTCATTTTTGTGAGCAGTGCATATGCTTTTTCACGAAGATCTAGGCAATTTGTTGGTTATGAAACTACGCAGTAAACACCGATTCCTGTGTAGTACATAATAAATCTTTCCAAACTGCTTATAGACAGTTTCTTTCATAGTCTTTTTCTTTTTATTGTGTGACCAGAACTCAAGTTTATCTTTAACATTTATACAAAACCAGACTCCCATGCCTAAACAAGCCCCCTTGTGAAGCCCAAAAGATCAAATTAAGTTGTGGCTGTTTCGTCAAATCTAAAAGTAGCTCCTGTGTGGGTGGTGTAAGTAGACTGCAAAGCCTGGTCCGATTACCATTCCAATTTTAAACCCCATTTATTCCCTCTCGGGACAGTTGTGCTGGGTTTCAGACGTTGTCATTTCTGGCTTCCTGTTCTTGGAAAGAAATGTTTGTAACGATGGTGTTTTTTGTGGATAAATTTAGATTGTGACTGAAATATTTCAAGGTCATTTTTCCTCTCTCCTTGTCTTTCCCTCTCTATCCCTGTCCCCTCTCCCATATCTCTCTCTCTCTCTCTCTCTCTCTGTTCTCATTCCCTAACACACTGTCTCATTCCTCCCCCTTCAATCACCCTCCCTCTCCCACATCTTCTCCTTCTCCCACCACTCTCTGTCCCCTCCCATTCCCCCATCTCTCTCCCTCTGTCTACCTTTCTTTCTCTTTCTCTAACTCTTTCCAAAATAGTTTTTGCTAGCAACCATTTCCAATGACTCATTGTTTAATTTTCTTTTTTTTACTTACTCAGTTGCCTAATTTACTCCATTCTTGTGTCATGGAGCTCAAATTACTTCAACCACTGTACAGTTAGTTGACCACCTGTACAGACTATATAATTAAGTTACTAAAATCCTGACTGTCAATAACCAGTGTTTGAATGACGGCTTAAGATAAAGACAGGGAATGGTGTTACTACTACCCCAGATTAAAGACTCTGTCAAAAGTGAACAATGGGATGAATGAAAAGCTTATAAAGCATAGATTACGATAATATTGCTTATATGCTATTTTAGTGTCTTTCAGAGGAGTATAAACTGCTTTCTGAAAACCCCAAATCTATAGCCTTGACAATTGGAAGTTGTCAACCTAAAAACTAGCTATCGACTTGATGACATCATCTTATGTGGACTACGCATATTCACAGTGACTTGCATTAATTAAGCATGGCTCATCGCCTGATCTATATCTGTAGGCTAGCTGATTTAATCCACTTGATATGTGGTCACCGAAACTGCAACAATTTTAACCTCTATTGACCTCTAATTTGGAGGGGAGCAGAAAATTAGGTTTTAAATTGCTTTTGTGCAATAGTGAAAGGGAAAAAAATTGTTTTTTCTTGAATATTTGTATTCTACATTCATTCAGCTTTTCATTACTTTAAAGTTGTATATTCATCGGATAGGGTCTTTAATGAGATTTGCCATATATACCAATCAACCAACATAATGTGTGTAGTTGGGATGGGATGGACAAAGGATGGTGTTAAAATAAATTGAAAGAGGAAAAGAGCGATACATGTGGGGAAAGAGAGAGAGAGAGAGAGAGAGGGGGGTGGGGAGAGAGAAGGGGAAGGGAGATAGGGAGGGAGGAGGGAAGAAGGAAGAAGGAAAGGGGACAGAAGGGGGGGGGGTAGAAAGAGAGAGCCTAGGAAGAAAGAGTAAATGAATGAGTATGAAAGTTGGAAAGGATAAACAAGTAAAGAAGAGTTTAATATGAGAAAGAAGGAGATAGCAATAAAATCATTTGTTTGAAAATATTTATAATTAGAATAACGTTCAGTAATATACTGTTATTATGCTTCTTTGACTCTTTATTTCATGATGTCATCTCTCATGGAATCTCTGCTTCATAAAATCTATCTAAATTTCATATCACATCTCTCTCATTTCTGCATTTCTCTTAAGATACTCCTCTGTTTGTCAATTGCATTAAATGTATTCTTTCTTCCTTCATGAATGTACCGGTATCTCAAGAAAAAAAAAGAATCTCATGAAATAAAGTGTAAATATTTTAATCAGTTGTCTTTTTTTCTGTCCCATTCCATCTCACTCTCCCATCTAGATTAATGGTGAAGATGTATCGTCAGCCCCTCACCAGTATGTGGTCAACCTGGTGGTCAGCTCACCAGATACCATTGTCATCAAGATCATCACGGTGCCCAACTCCAAGGCGTATTCCTGGCTCAAAGAGGGCGGCACACTCAGACGATCAGGAAACGGTACGTCCTGGGGGCCCGTTTCATAAAACTTTTTATCTATAACAATTGCAAAATTTCTATGGCAAATTTGCTCTCAGCCAATCACGTGCCATGATTTCAGTAGCTTATAACAGTAGCTTGTAACTTGTTATTGATATCAAGTTTTGTGAAACAGGGCCCTGATTATCTCAAGGACTAGGAAGATCAAGGGGGAGTTCTACCCTGATGTTAATTCTTTATATGCCACAAAAATAATCTCCATGGCCCTGTTGCACAAAATTTACCATTGATGGTAACTTTTTGATCAATGGTAACTACAATGGAAACCTTGATTGGCTGTTGAGCCCTGTTACCATGGTAGTTGCCATTGATAGCAAATTTACCGTCAATCGTAAGTTGTATGCAATGGGACCCATGTGTCTACTTATTTTGAAATGCTTCAAGATTATTCAACTGTTTCTGATGCAAGATTAAGAACTACTGGTGCTATTAAGGGTTGTCAAGGAGCTAAACAAGACCAGAAATGTGTAATTTTGCAAAGCCATTGTGTTGCACAGAGCAAAAGATTCCTCAATCGATGCCTATTGTTGCCTGTGTGGCCAATGGGCAAAGGGGTAAAATTTGAATAACAGCCTAACAGTCAATGCCTAAGGATTGCCCTATAGTGTAGTCATTAAGATACTCTCTTACATGTCTATCGATACAGTCAAACCTGCTTTAGTGACCACCTGTCTACAAAGACCACATTTTTGGTTTTCCTTGAAAATGGTATCTCATTGAAACATGTACTAAAGGAACCTGTCTACAAAGATCACTTTTTCTGTTTCCCTTGGGCGATTGCTATAGACAGGTTTGACTGTATAACCAACTCCTCATCCTCATCATCTGTTTTTTTTTTCCCTTGTCTTTCTAGGTCCGCATCTTCCAATAAGCACACCAGCCACCAAATCAATCGCCATCTCCAGTCAAGACCAGAATTCCAACAGTGAGTCACGCAAGCAGTAAAGCCCCACTGTACTACTTATAGCTACCTGCGCCCTCTATATAGCAAATAATGCCTAAGCGGTGCCCATTGGTCCCCCATGATCCTCTTTTTGTTATGTTAATTGAGAGCTGATTTGATGAGAAAACCACCTGTCAGTGACCTTGAAGAGTGGTCTAATCCCTCCTGTAAACTAGTATAGATGGGCTTTAATTCTTTTTAAAATCTTCAAATTAGTTCCAAGTAGTTAAATTTAAAGCCATATACCTTTTGCAACTGTTTTATATTTTGTTCTTCAAATTGCCATTTCATAACACCGTGTGTTTAAGAACATGTATTGGAAGGAACACATGTACCTGGAAACGGTTTGTGACTAAAGCATGGGCTAATTTTATTTGAACAATGGTTTTATTTCAAACATTTGTATTCTTGAGATTTAATATGTCTGTGTGTTTTTATTTTAATACCCAGGTCCAAGCATTCCTGTCAGCACACCAACAACAAGGTCTATCTCCATCTCAAGCCAAGAGCAACATGCTGTTGGTGAGTGTTCACCAGTTATTTCATGTATATATATTCATGAGAACAGTACAGGTCCTAGAATATTTCCTTGTGGAACTCCCATCCCAGTCAGGACATTAATTTAAAACTGCTCTCATTTGCTGTTGGTGAGTGTTGACCAGTTATTTCATGTATATATATATTCATGGGAACAGTACAGGTCCCAGAATAGTTCCTTGTGGAACTCCTGCCCCAGTCAGAACATTAATTTCAAACTGTTCTCATTCTTTTTCCTCATGTCTATATCTGCCTGCCACCAATGAAACAGTCATGGAAAAGCTTACAGTTGCTGTGTCTGTTACTTATTTTGCTAACAGCATTGTGATGTACAGTGTCTACTTTCTGCATATAACATGACACAGTTATTTGAAGAATCACTACAATGTTGCAAACATTTTGTAGGATATGTACAGAAGTAATATGCATGTAGAAATTAATTCTTGTGGTTTTGTTTGTTCTTTTTCTTTCATGCAGATGAACTGGACAAAGCAATAGACAGCGCAAGCACAACTCCAAAGTATGTTTCACCTGCATCTTCTCGTTGTTCCAGTATACAAGAAGATGAGCCTAAAACCGCATCGATACGCAAGCGTCCCATCAGGCAAGTGAGTCAGCAACAACTTAAAGGAATATTCCAGCGACAGGGGAGTTCATCAAGCGAGACCAATCTGAATTCCATGCCAGACGATGCCTTTGTTCAAAAACCAGCAGTGCCTGTTCTACCCTCATCCAAATTTAACACAGTTGCAAGAATGTCGAACTCTAAATCTCCACGTCAACAGAGCCTGGAGGAGATCCACAGTTCAGTAGCTCGCAGGAGCTCTGGCGGGTCAGATTCAGCAGTTTCGTCATTGCATTCATCGCCCGCATCGTCAAATTCGTACATGACAGCTTCAAGTGTCACGGACAGTGCTGTGCATTTGAAAACGGAGCGTACAGCTTCCAATCCCTCCCTAGCGATGGACTTAAAGAATGTGAGCCCAAAATCGTTGCAAGGAACTGCTAAGAAGCCAAGTCCTATGCCTCCAACGAGGTCCCAGTCCCTTATGGATATCTCTATTGCAAACTCAGTGAATAATTCACCAATGTTGAGACGTGCCGGTGACGGTGACACCCTCCAGAGACGGCCCATCGGGAATGGTGTATCACCTAGCTCTTCTACAATGGCTGTCGAAATCGAGGTTCACAGGTCTGCAAGTGGAAATGACTCAAGTGATGATTCATCAAGTACAGGTTCCTTTGCCAGTGCCATTGCGCTAGCAGCAGCCAAAATGGAAAAGAAGAAAGAGAGCGAAGAACCAACACCTCAGAAATCCTCTGCCTTTGAGATGGCCATGGCTGCTAAACAAAATTATGCGCAACCAACAGGGGAAGGGCAGAACTTGAACCGTAATCAAAATCAAAATGTTGAGAGTCCTTCGTCAACGCAGGTTGCGCTGCAAGAAGCTATAGCAAAACGAAAGCAAAGACTTGAATCAGTAAGCGATAATAAATCGGGTAATATAGAGGATACGATACGCAAGTATAAACAGCAAGATAGAGCTGCGCGACCTAAAACGGGGCAGGCTGCCTTCTTGGATGCGATCGCTAAGAGGCGAAGCATCGTGGAATCGCAGAGCCCAAGCTCCGAGGAGGAATCATCGAGTGAGTCCATGCCCAGCTCACCGATGGGTCGATTCCCACCCGTGAAGCCTTCAAATGCCCGGAAGACCAGTCCTGCAAATAATTCCAGACCAAGCGGAAATCAAATCGCCGAAGCTGCTAGTGCCATGCAGAACAAGATTGCTAGCAGACCACCAATAAAGGAAGAAAAGAGTCGGCATAAGAATGTCATCCGTGTGTCCCCAAGAAATAAGAATGAAGACTCCACGGACAGTTCGGATGGCGACGTTCCACCCATCTCGGTTAAAAACTTGAAGCAGAGCTTCGAGAAATCGAAGAAGCTCTCACCTCGCGATTCCAAAGCGCTGTTACTTTCCCCTGTCAGGGAGGATGAAACCTTTTTAAACTCCCCAATTCCACCTCCACCTGCCTTCCTGGAGAACGACACGTCCAACCTGACCTCCGAGAATATGACCCCAGAGAACTCACATCAACTGGACATTGATATACTGCCTCCTCCACCAAGTTTCATAGAGGACGGCGACCAGGGCAAGTTCCGCCGTGAACAACCGTTCGACACGGCCAGCATGGTGTCATCGGTGTCATCGGTATCGACGATGTCGAGCTACAGCACGATGTCAACAGATCCGAGCAGTAACGATGGTTTTGAACCGATCGGAGAGGAGTCGCACAGCAACAGCAACACCTTGAGGTCGGATGTTTCATCATCCGGGTCGTCATCTTCGACGCTGACGATGATGTCGACGGGAGAGACCAATGATAATTGGATTAAGGCGGCGCCCCCTGTTGCCACGAAGCCGTCTAAGAAGAGTCTGATCAACGACAACGACATCACCAATGGGGTTACCAATGGCAACGATAATCACAACCCATCTCAAGGTAAGCTGATAGTATTTCAGTCATGGAATACAACTGTATTTGAAATTGGGTTGTTCTCTACAGTGTACAGAACAAGGCAGAAGAATTTTTCAAAATGACTTGAACAGGAAGAAATTTTATGTTCTTGTGTTTCTAGATAGAAGCACTGCAATTGCTCGGCCCAGTACATTAACTAAATGAATAGCAAAGGAATACCTCTGGTTCTGAACAGATACCACTTAACATTTTAGCAACTGCGTGTTAAATACCATTTCTACTTGTTTGAAAAAAATAAATATGAAATTAAACATCTAGTTAACTCATTTTTTGGGCACATAACAGGTAATTTTTGCTAAATACAATAACAAGATGAAGTTAATATCTTAAAATTTCAGATGAACAGGTGCTCAAAAGCTACTGAGGCATTACTTTCCAGACCTTGAATTTTCATTTGATGGCTTGGACCGAGATTGCCTCTAATATCCTCTTTTCTTTGGTTTCCTCCATACAGCTATAAAGAGCGTGTCAGAATGGACGGTAGAAGACGTGAGCGATTGGCTTGAGGAGCTGAACCTTGGTGAGTACAAGGAGAGCTTCACAGACAATGCAATCAGCGGGGAGCATTTGACCTCTCTCGGCAAGGAAGACCTTTCGGAGCTGGGGGTCAAGAGGCTAGGTCATAGGTTAACCATCATCAAAGCGCTTCAAAAACTGCAGAATCAGTGAATTCCATGAGGTTTCCTCAGAGTGGGGAGCATTTGACCTCTCTCAGCAAGGACGACCTTTCAGAGCTGGGGGTCAAAAGGCTAGGTCATAGGTTAACCATCATCAAAGCTCTTCAAAAACTGCAGAATTAGTGAATTCCGTGAGGTTTCCACATATTTTGTATCATGACATTATATTGTACTTTTGAAATTTACTTGAATAGATGACACACGTGCCTGTGATGATGAAGAGGTCATTTCAAGGGTCAAAGGGGAAAGGTCGAATGTCATCGGTGCATCCATAGATGCATGTATAGGGAAATCTATTTTGCTTTACCCTCTCACATCGTCTAATAATAATATGCTCTTCTGTATGACTTCTCTCAGAAGATGTGATGGTAGACGGGTCAAGGGTCAAAGTTTGGGGGTCATTATTTGGATCCTTTAAACAGATGAAATCCATATGTGGCTTTTTATACTACTCTATAGAATGATGGGCTGTTAAACTGCTAGCGTATGTATCCCAGTTTAATAAATATTATTGTGTTATAGCCTGCAGGTATAGAGGTCAAGTGTAAACAGCATTCTTAAAAGGTATAATACAAAATTGCAATCTCCATTTGTGATAACATATGTTCAAGTATCACAGGGGTTGGTTTGAAATTACACATCGTCTGCATTGCACACACACCCACACAAAATATTCAAGTTGTCTTCCCTTCACACAAATCGAACCTTCCTTTTCAACTACATTTCAGAAAATTAGGGATGTAGATGTTATTGTTGTGCGTTGTAAATCTTGAGCTGCAAAACAATTGATCTGTTATTAAAGGCTAAGCCAAAATGGGCTTCATAATGTAGTGGCATAACAAGTCTTTTTGACAGAACACCATTAAAATACAAATTGGTATTCTAAGTGGTTATCTGCAGTGTACCAATATATGATCCATGGAAGGGTACATTTTCTTTGCATGGGGAGATTGAGTGCAGATACATTGTCAATTATCTCATCCATAAATCTTTTTTGTTAGTCTTTTAGGAATTGCAGAGTAGACCAATTTCTGAATTGTCCCTTGTCCCACACAAAAAAGGAGATACATTTCCAAAGATACACAAGAGTATACATAAATGTGCATTCATATTTGTAATTTATTTGTACTTTTGTAACAATCTGAAATTTAAGTTATGTGTCTTTAACAAATGAATTTCCAAACTACCTTGCTATAGAATATGTCATTATTATGAACCAGTCCAAAAAATTATTGTGTTTTATGTTTTAAAATAAATTCCCATCGTAAGATGATTGAGGTTTTTTTAAGTTTATTGATTTCAACTCAGTGGAACTAAAATATTTTTGCTGTGATAAATAGAAATAGTTAACAACTTTTGAATGATTAATATCCTGGTTTAGCTATATGAACATGTAGATCATATGAAATCCACAAAATTTAATGGGAGCCAGTAACTACTGTGAAATCCAATTTTAGATTAGTATCGGTGGTGTGCATGGAATTTCAAATGTGTCTTCCAAGAGTGACTTTTGATCTAGCTTTAACATTAATTAATCTCTAGTCAAGAGAGTTAACATTATAGAAGTGGAGAATGAGAATAATTAATGCCAATTAGAGGAGGGAAATGTGATTCATTTACATTTAAACACTTGACTTCTTTGGGTTTAAAGATTGCACAATGAAAATATACATTAAAATGGGTAGATGCACAGTTTGTTGCTAAAAAACTTTTGATTTAATTTGAATGAGGAAAAAAGCTCTCCTATAAAAAATAATAAAACTGCTTTTATTAAGGATGCAAAGCTAGTGATATGTCTTTTTGAAGTATCTACCTTGATCTCAAAATATTGGTAGTTTCTCACTTTATAAAATGATTGAAAGCAAAAAAATAGGTCTTAACAATTCATAGTTTTTTGTAAGGGGGTGAAACTAAGCATTGTAGTAGACCTGTCATGTTCCATTTTCTCCTTTTTGTCACGAGATTTCATATTCCATATTCTTAAAAATACACTCAAGCATAATATAGTGACATGTTTTGAACGATTATTAAGCCACATTTTTTGTTTAAGGCAGAACACATTTCTATCATTCCTGTACGCTTCCTATCTGTACTGTGCTGTTAATAATATTGCTTTCGTATGAATCATTTCCAATTGTCACTTGTCTCTGTTTTAAATGAAGGTGGTGAATCGATTTTGCAGGCCTACTCGGTAAAATCCATAAATCAGTTGTATAATTATTTATGACGATATTATACAATGTCATAGGAGTGTGCAAGCTTTCTGTAGCATCCTCTGTACAATAATGTAAATCTGACTTTTTATTTTTTAGTGGGAATGATAGGTTCTTGGCAGATTTGCCAGTACTCAATAATTTTACACTATTCTTTTTCATTTATTTAAAAGAATTATGGAACATTTATGTTGTATTACTGCAGTATGGCAAATTTTATGTGTTTTCTGGAGTTTGCAAAATTCAGACACTCCCTGTTATCAATTTTATAAGATAATTTTCAAACACAAGAATATAAATTTATCATTATCACTGCACCATTCCAGTTGTCAACTCATAATCAGACTTGAAATTACAAAAAATAGAAGACAAAAATAGTAATGTCTTATTTATAGAGGTGCAATCCTACAGATTCGCAATTCAACTTCTAAAGAATGCCTGACAAAACAGGATAGAAACTGGTTTATTATCCAGAAGAAATGTTTGATTATTGAAATAAACTGTTTGATTAAGATTTAATTGTCTTTGCGATATAAATACAGGTACATAGAGTGTGAGGAATACAGTGAGGAATTATTATTTTCAGATGATGGTGCAAAATAATCATGACCTGAATTTTCTATTCATCCAGTATCTGCTAATTAATTATGATCGGTATCACCATAGTCTCTTGTAATGCTGACTTGTAGACTGTATGTCAGCGATACAGTGAGGAATTATTATTTTCAGATGATGGTGCAAAATAATCATGACCTGAATTTTCTATTCATCCAGTATCTGCTAATTAATTATGATCGGTATCACCATAGTCTCTTGTAATGCTGACTTGTCCATCATATCACAAATTAGCTTTTCACAAGCAGTCACAAGCCTGCATTGTCCTCGTATATCCCTACATCATCTTTATATTTACAGGCATTAGTGACAAAACGCTAAATATAATATTCTATTCCTATATGTCTGTTTCATATATATAAAAAATGAAAACAATGTTAGTCTTCTTTTTTTCTTCAAATATGTAGAAGCAATTCTTTCTTTTCTGGAATTGCATTTTGTTTGAAGTGATGTTTTGTAATAACCTCTCTTGTGTATCATCTCATTATATATATGTATTATTCAGTTGCATTTGTGTTGCATATTATTTGCATTTGTTTACTTGAATTCCGTACACCCTATATATGTATTTATTTCATTACAAAATTTGTCTATGATATTTATTGGTTTATACTTTATATACATGTGAAGTTGCAGAGAAAGTATAAGATTTATTAATGCTGTTGCATGAGGATTAAACAATTATGGAAGGACATGCAGAACTCTATGTAAATATTGGTGAATTGTCATCTACAGAAATACTTTTAAAATACCTAAATCAATAATTTTGTGCAAAGATAATGAAACAAAATAAATTATATAAATTGCTATTACAGAATAATGTGTACTTGAAAAAGTGCTAATTGATAAGAAAATATGACAGAATATTTTGTTTGATTATATATGTAATTGATTTTGAAAGAAAAAGATAACTTTTGATGATATAATATGAGCGGGCTTCTCTTGTATAAAATGATATTGAAAAAATGTATTTATGTATTATGTGAATTCAGTTCTAGGAATTCAAGATGTTCATATACCTTGCCTCTTACGTTTTTGATTGATTTCAACTTTTTTGTGACTATTTGAAACCGGAAATTCAGAAATTATATACAAAGCCATGATACCTGTAAATCTTCCCTTGTAATGATTATGTTTTATAGTCGTAGTTATCATGCATTGGATTCTGATTTCATTCTGAAAAGACAGGAAGATTAAAGAAATAAAAAAGAGATATGAAAAAGTTTATTCTTATAGTCAAGAGAAAATAAATTTGGAAAAGATGCTAGATGTCGTTTCATTGTTGGTTTGTTATTTTATTCTGTTGTTTTCTTGAACATGTAGTTCTCTTTGATCTGATATTTCATGTCCATATCTTCCTCTCTTTCTCTCTCTCTCTCTCTCTCCCCCTCTCTTTCTCCAATTCTACCCCATGATGATAGTAGAGTCAAAGTGTGTAGACCCCGCTGATATTTTTCGGGGACAAAGGTTTTTAAGTGTTTTTGAGTTGTTTGGAGGTCAATGATTAAAATTAGCTTGGGTAGTCCCCTCCTAACCCACGGCAACTCTTGTAGGGGTCAAAATAAGGTCAAAATGGGGTCAATAGGGGGTTAATTTTTTTAAATGCCCTGATTATGTTAAAAGACATGTCAAATTGTTTGTCTCGTCATACTGAACAAAAAAGTTTACATGATCATATACCCCTGACCTCCCGTTAAGAAGTTATGGCCGGAAAAGTCAAAAGGTCAACGAACTTTCATTTGAGTGCAAAATACACTAAAAGTGTTAGGATCGATCAATTTTCATGTTTGTTGTGTCTATTTATATGTATTTTGATTTAGAAATTTGAATGAAACAATTTCTACTTAAGAAGACCGTATTCAAAAGATATAAGGGGTCAAAATAAGGTCATTTGGGGTCAAATGAGCTCCTTTGGGATCAAAATACACTAACAGACTTAGAAGTTATTTGTGTCAAATTATGTGTAAATTGATGAATAATAGTGAATGATTTTTTTTTTTTTTAAATTTAGAAAACCATATTCAATTGATGTAAGGAGTCATTACAAGGCCAAAATGGGGTCATTTGGGGTCAAAAATGTTTAATTGACCTAAATTGTGCTGTAATGCACTCTCACACTGAATGAGAAAGAGCAGTTTCATTCTAGGGTTAAAATACGATAGGAGTGACAACAAAGCCATGTTCATTTTTTTTAAGTGTCACAATGCAGTTTACATGTAATTTAACTGGTGGCCACAATGTCAAATTAGCTTGATTGTTTTTATCTGCCCATCAGTTACATACACAACCCTGCGCTCTCTTACTAGGTATGGTAAATGTCTTAATTTGTTGCAACATACCTTTAAGGACGGATAGATGTGACAAATCAGAGGTTCTACGCATAGTCGGAATCTTCAGAGACAGAGTCTTGATCATTATCGATATCCGAATCGGAGTCAGACTGTGGAGATTGGTCATCTGCTGGTATTAGGTTGGTCAAACGTGTAGGCAATGCAGGCTTGGTGTATCGAAGTGGGATGCAGTTGCCATCTTTCATGTGCCATCCATGGTGGAGAGGTGATGGAGGAGCATCTGGACTCCTGAAGTTCAGGAAGATGTATGCCTGATAGTTGGCTCGTCTGGCCTTCATCTGATGTGAGTCGCAATCAGGTGGCATTCTATGTGTTGCTTTTTTCTTCATACTCTCCCACTTTTTTGCTCTTGCCTCTGCTAAACTTGTACTAGTTTTGTCTTTGTAGATGAACTTAATTGTGAATTGCTCCATGTCGATTTGGGTGTCTTCTGATACAGGCAGCTGTTTCCCAAGTCCTTGGAGCAAACTCCTTCCTTCCCCTGACTTCATTGCCGATTCAAAGATGGATGGTTTGCCATGGCCATAGAAGCCAGAGACAGCGTCTGCACCAGTATGAACATGAAAGGGGACAATGACATCTGCCACTTCAGGACTGCAAAGCTTCTTACAGTCATAGACGAAGCCCTTCCTCTTGATGCCTAATGGTCCTTCAATCTGATGGGCTGCGTATGCTGCTAGAACCATAACATCTGTGTCTTCTGCATCGATAACAACAGTGTCTTCCACACCTGACTGTCTTAGTTGGTAATACACATAGAGAAGGATGGTGTCCGCTTCTGTGTGTTGGCATGTGAATTGCTCTAATTCTGTGCCCTTCTGCAGATCTGAGCAACGATCTCTCACTGAGTATTTATAAGTCGTCTCTTGGTGTTCTAATGACATGATCTTGAACTCTGCATTCAGAAACTGTTGGAGCCGAACTTTGTTGCCTGGATTTTTGAACATATCATTGAACAGCCTGGATGTTGGCAGTGGATCATCTCTTCTCATAAATACATTTCGGCTACCTCCTACATAAGAAACGCCTGTACGCCTCTGATGTTCACTATCCTTGATACTCTCATCTAGGTCATAGGGATCATTCACAAAGAAAATTGTGGTCGCCTTTCTGTGACGACCTACAACTATGTTGTAAATCTTGTTTGCATAATCGCCCCACGTGTAATCTGTACCATTCTACTTCTCTCTATCCTCTGCTGATGGAGTACTAAGTCTCCAAATGAATCCCATGGCGACGAGTGCAATGTAGTTGTTTAGCGAGTTTATCTCCTCAAGATTGAGCTTGTCAACCAACTTTGATTTCATCACCTTTCTCAGTGTTCCGTTCACGTTAAAGATAGGTAGACATTCATCTGTAACACGATATTGCATTACATCGCTCAGTCGAAATGTGTCCTCACATTTCTGAGCAAGAGAGATTACCTCTGTCATGGCCTTGTTCTCCATTGCATCAGTCTTTGTAACCCGAGATGTTCCTTTAACAATTGGTGGCTTGGTGAAACTGCAGCGTGAATTCCTGTGCATCGTGTCATCAAAGTTCTTCTCATCGGAAAACATCCTCTCTTTGATAATTGATTGAACAAGCACTTCACCATCTTTGTGCGCATTCTCAAAGTTAACGGCCAGCTGATCGGATGCCATCATACCAGAAAACATAGACTAGTGTTAACAGACAAGGGAAATTCCCTAACATTGCTTATGTCTCATTGGTCAGAAGTTTAGGAAGCCATTTTGCTGTTTTGGAGAACAAGGCCATGACAGAGGTAATCTCTCTTGCTCAGGGATTCATTTGGAGACTTAGTACTCCATCAGCAGAGGATAGAGAGAAGCAGGATGGTACAGATTACACGTGGGGCGATTATGCAAACAAGATTTACAACATAGTTGCAGGTCGTCACAGAAAGGCGACCACAATTTTCTTTGTGAATGATCCCTATGACCTAGATGAGAGTATCAAGGATAGTGAACATCAGAGGCGTACAGGCGTTACTTATGTAGGAGGTAGCCGAAATGTATTTATGAGAAGAGATGATCCACTGCCAACATCAAGGCTGTTCAATGATATGTTCAAAAATCCAGACAACAAAGTTCGGCTCCAACAGTTTCTGAATGCAGAGTTCAAGATCATGTCATTAGAACACCCAGAGACGACTTATATATACTCAGTGAGAGATCGTTGCTCAGATCTGCAGAAGGGCACAGAATTAGAGCAATTCACATGCCAACACACAGAAGCGGACACCATCCTTCTCTATGTGTATTACCAACTAAGACAGTCAGGTGTGGAAGACACTGCTTTTATCGATGCAGAAGACACAGATGTTACGGTTCTAGCAGCATACGCAGCCCATCAGATTGAAGGACCATTAGGCATCAAGAGGAAGGGCTTCGTCTATGACTGTAAGAAGCTTTGCAGTCCTGAAGTGGCAGATGTCATTGTCCCCTTTCATGTTCATACTGGTGCAGACGCTGTCTCTGGCTTCTATGGCCATGGCAAACCATCCATCTTTGAATCGGCAATGAAGTCAGGGGAAGGAAGGAGTTTGCTCCAAGGACTTGGGAAACAGCTGCCTGTATCAGAAGACACCCAAATCGACATGGAGCAATTCACAATTAAGTTCATCTACAAAGACAAAACTAGTACAAGTTTAGCAGAGGCAAGAGCAAAGAAGTGGGAGAGTATGAAGAAAAAAGCAACACAGAGAATGCCACCTGATTGCGACTCACATCAGATGAAGGTCAGACGAGCCAACTATCAGGCATACATCTTCCTGAACTTCAGGAGTCCAGATGCTCCTCCATCACCTCTCCACCATGGATGACACATGAAAGATGGCAACTGCATCCCACTTCGATACACCAAGCCTGCATTGCCTACACGTTTGACCAACCTAATACCAGCAGATGACCAATCTCCACAGTCTGACTCCGATTCGGATATGGATAATGATCAAGACTCTGTCTCTGAAGATTCCGACTATGCGTAGAACCTCTGATTTGTTACATCTATCCGTCCTTAAAGGTATGTTGCAACAAATTAAGACATTTACCATACCTAGTAAGAGAGCGCAGGGTTGTGTATGTAACTGATGGGCAGATAAAAACAATCAAGCTAATTTGACATTGTGGCCACCAGTTAAATTACATGTAAACTGCATTGTGACACTTAAAAAAAAATGAACATGGCTTTGTTGTCACTCCTATCGTATTTTAACCCTAGAATGAAACTTCTCGTTCTCATTCAGTGTGAGAGTGCATTACAGCACAATTTAGGTCAATTAAACATTTTTGACCCCAAATGACCCCATTTTGGCCTTATAATGACTCCTTACATCAATTGAATATGGTTTTCTAAATTAAAAAAAAAAAAAAAATTCATTCACTATTATTCATCAATTTACACATAATTTGACACAAATAACTCCTAAGTCTGTTAGTGTATTTTGATTCCAAAGGAGCTCATTTGACCCCAAATGACCTTATTTTGACCCCTTATATCTTTTGAATACGGTCTTCTTAAGTAGAAATTGTCTCATTCAAATTTCTAAATCAAAATACATATAAATAGACACAAAAAACATGAAAATTGATCGATCCTAACACTTTTAGTGTATTTGCCCTCAAATAAAAGTTTGTTGACCTTTTGACTATTCCGGCCATAACTTCTTAACGGGAGGTCAGGGGTATATGATCATGTACACTGTTTTGTTCAGTATGACGAGACAAACAATTTGATATGTCTTTTAACATAATCAGGGCATTTAAAAAAATTGACCCCCTATTGACCCCATGTTGACCTTATTTTGACCCCTACGAGAGTTGCCGGGAATTAGGAGGGGACTACCCAAGCTAATTTTAATCATTGACCTCCAAACAACTCAAAAACACTTAAAAACCATTGTCCCCGAAAAATATCAGCGGGGTCTACACACTTTGACTCTACTATGATGATGGTTGTGGTGGTGGTGATGATGGTTGTGGTGGTGGTGATGATGATGGTTGTGGTGATGATGATGGTTGTGGTGCTGATGATGATGATGGTTGTGGTGGTGGTGATGATGGTTGTGGTGGTGGTGGTGGTGATGATGATGGTTGTGGTGGTGGTGATGATGGTTTTGGTGGTGGTGGTGGTGGTGATGATGGTTGTGGTGATGATGATGGTTGTGGTACGTGATGGTTGTGGTGGTGGTGATGATGATGAAGGTTGTGGTGGTGATGATGATGATGATGATTGTGGTGGTGGTGATGATGATGATGAAGGTGGTGAAGGTTGTGGTTATGATGATGTGGTGGTGTTGATGTATGTGTTGCTTTCCATAACGGGTATTATCCGAGTTAGCATCAAAAGGCTTTCAAGCATACAAGGTATGCCTTCCTACCAGGTCGACGATTATGTTGATGAGATGATGATGATGATGGTAATGTTGATGAGGAGGATGGTGGTGGTCATGATGATGATACAATGCCCTGTTAAAATTTAAGGAAATAAGGAGAAACAAAAAATCCTCCCAGCAATAATCATTCTGAAGCAGAAACCACTCTCTCATTTCTGTCACAAGATGGCGCTCAACCCCTCACAACCCTGAGGCTTTATAAAAAGGTAAATGCATGGACAACTACATTCTATTTCTTTTTTTTAAACGTTTTTCTTCCTGAATAACAAAAACAGGGGAAAATGTATTTTACAATGAATGAAGAAATCAATTAATGAAGACAATATTTAGATGGCATATTCTGTGATAATTTCATTAAGACTTTATTTACAAGATTTGCTCAACTGATGTACATGTTTGTATCATAAATGCATCACATAACAAAGCATAGGGAAATTAGGCAAAATCATCTTCCAGAAAAAATGACAAAACGTGTTCATGTATACATAAGAAACTATAAATTATTACTGGTATGTATAACATAGGATATTAATTAAATTTTCAAGTAATTTTCACTTCATACTAAACTAAGCCTCCCTATTTCCGGTAACAAGAGAGAAAAAAAGTCTTTTTGAAGTCCAGATTAGTAATTGAATGTAATGCAACATTTTTAAAAGAACATTCTTTCCCACCAGCAAAAATATAGAGTAATTTTGTTATTAAACTAACCACTACATACACTTGGTGAAATCAATAATCATATTGTTCATTTTATCTTAACAAACATTCTTATGAAGTTTATTTTTAATAAATACATTTCTTAGGATATTCAAGGTACTTTGTAAAAAGCAGTGAAGCAATAAAGACTGCAATTTTATAAACAGCACTGACAGAGTTTTATTTAGTAAATGAAGCTCATATTCATTTAATGTGCTCTTCACTTTGAACTGTTCTATTGCTTTTCTTTATGTCCAATGATCTCAATTATCATGTGTTCACAGCTGCATGCCTGACCTAGCACAAGTCTCTAATCATTTGGTACAACAAAAATATGACAACTCCTTTAATTTATTGAGCTCAACATTTCCCCTATATAAAGCAAGTTAGTAATTAGGAAATGGTTAAATAATTAATGACCTTGCTCTGTACATTTACACGCAACTGTTTTGATGGACACGCTACCGGTTAACGGCAGAAATCGTACTGGCTTGTGCACGGTCATTTTGAACCAATTTATTTATATTTTACTCTAAAATGTGCGACATTCATCATACAGGCATTGTTTTGAATATTGCATGTACTTCTATTAAGTAAACTTGAGGGAAAATATCTGTCTAATACATCACGTTCCTACAGTAAGTCAAGGTTTAACGTAAAAAAAAACAATATTAGTTTTAATATAATAATTATATTGTAATAATATTCTTTATCCAACATAGTACTCTTAATATCTGTACACTACAAATTGACAAACATTTCTGATTCTGAATACTAGTGATTATTAAAGACAAGAACAGCACAAGCAAATTTTGGACGGAGCAAGCTAGAATTCAATTACTGTTTTAACAGATGACTTGGAGTCATCTCTTGTCTTTACCACATCAATGCACACATGTAAATCAGAAATATACTGGAATACTTGAGGAAGAATTTCATAGCAGACATCGTTCGACAAGAGTTTGATACATGTAGTAGATGTAGAGATGCTTTCTTCCTGTTTCTAACTCTAACACTAATCATACTCCTAGCCATAATCCTCACCCTCCTTTTTAAGGACCAGGGGGTGTTTCACAGAGATCTTAATTTGAACTTAACTCTAAGTTTGACTTTAACATTATGGAGAGCCATTAGAAGCCTTTTTAAAAAAAATATATTCAAAAGTGAAAATTCCAAGTATTTTTTACAAATTCCACATCAAGAACATGACATCTCCTTGATAATAGAAAATATGAATGATTTGAAACAACATTTAAAACCATTTATAATAAATTTCACAAAATATTTTCATGGATGCTAACGGTTTTCCATAATTGTTAAGTCCAACTTAGAGATTGGTTCAACTTAGGATCTTTGTGAAACACCCTCCAGATGTATTAAAAAACACTGTTTGGAGCTAGAAGAGCATTAAGTCTTTAATCAATGTGCTTTAAAACAGAGATAACACCCTATTGGCTCTGAACGGATGAGACATTACATAATATGGTGTTGCTTAGGTGACATTCTCATTCCAAGCTTCACTTTAATTTATATGCTGCAAAGAGAAAATACAAATGGTTTACAAGAATTGATCCCTTAGTCAAAACATGTCCTGCATATATTTTAACAAGTTTTTTATAGAAAAAACAGAAATAAACAAATTATTTGAAGAATAAAAGAGGAAAAACCATTAGAAAAAAATCTGTATAAAACCTCTGATAGCTGACAATATAATTTCTGACCACATACATATATGCATAAATTCTAAATTTGTTCTATGGTTATAAACCTTAAAATAGATGATTTCTATTTTAATTCAACTGAGCTAGTTGTTTTGTAACTTTTTTACACACAGCATAATGAGACAAAATAAAAGAAGATTTGATTTCTCTACTATCAAGTGATACTTCTAACTTGAGAAGTTTTCCCATCACCACTTCTTTGAAATAATCCTGGCATTACAAATACAAATCAAAGCGTACCATCTCTGTAGAAAGTTTCTCGAGCTCCAACATAAACATCCCTTCACGAAACACATTCAAGATTATTATTTTTTTGGTCCATCTACTTTTAAATTCCGATATCGCACTTATATAGGATGCAAATAAAGGAGAAAATCCAAAATTGTAAACTGCACAAAACTCTTTCTTGAAAGTCACCAAAGAAGAACATATATTCACGAAAAAGTTCAGTACTATTGATTTTAAAAATCCAGAAATTGTAAACTGCACAAAGCTCTTTCTTAAGTCACCAAAGTAGAACATGTATTCATAGAAAAGTTAAGTACTATTGATTTTGAAAATCCAGAGATGCCTTATTTGGTCCTACCCTGCAAGATACATGAACCCAATATCAGGGCCCCTTATCCTTTATCTTTGGGTATATAGACTATACAGACACATTGAAAGGAAACAAAAACATGAACAAGCAAAACAAAACAAAATCCATTTTAAGGCATCAAATTTTACTGCCAGTAGATATCATATGGCTGTTCCCCTGCAAAAGCACCAAGGTTGAAGAAAAAAAAATCAAAACAATTCTGAAGTCTCGTCATTTTCTGATGAACACACACACACACAAATTTCAATTCTGAAATTGATGAATAATTTATAATTCATTTGTCTACGGCAGAATACTAATACATGTATGTATGGATTTCATATTTAACTCATGATCTCTAAAATGTTCTAAATTACCACGATAAGGAGGCGATATTGGGTTAATGAGTCTCTTTTAAACAACATAGGAAAAAGAAGTAGCCCAAAATTGCCTCGTTGAAGCCAAAGGACGTGAGTGGTATCAAAATGGAGTCCCATTGACCTCACATTGACAAGCCAAAACAGCCCAAAATGGCTTCAAACATGTACCAGACAGAACACCAAGTTATATCAAGCCCAAATAGCCTGATTATCTCAAACTAAAGCCAAAGGGATGGGCATATCATCTCCTGCTGTGTGCACCCCATGGTCCTACACAGATAAAAAGCCCAAATGGCTTAGAAAAGTAGAAATAACCTTCTTCATAGGCAAAACACCATGCACTGTCTCATGTATACAGCCCAAATGGCTTAGAAATCACTTCATAGTAAAATTGTCAAAAGCCTAGACATACTTCTTGTATCTAACATTTACATTTTAAATTTTATATGTGCTGGGTATCTAAGCTGCAAAATACTGGCAAGACGCTAAAGAGAAACCATGATCAGTGTCATGCAAGACCATTCTCACTTTCTCGATCAGTCTTGGTTTTTCTTCATGTAAGTTGATCCCCAGTCCAATATAAACGACAGTTTTGCCCTGTTCTGGACCTCTGGGTCTTGGGACCGCAGGCCTTCATATTAACATTGAACTTTACTTGCTAAATTTAAATTCTTTATAAATAACTGGCAAAAGAATAAAATACCCGAGCAAAGGGTACTATAATATATTCTTGAGAGAGAGAGGAAACAAAATTGAGTACTTCGAATTACATCCTTATATAGTCTAGTAATAGTCTAGCAATCTATCTATCATTCCATAAAAAAGCTGTACAGGTTATTTACATCATAGTACTTATTGCATGCCTACACTGATAAAGTAATATATTTTCCTATAAGAAAGAAAAAAAAAGAACAATCGACAGAATTTGTAGTGCATAACCATTTTTTTACACTACTGGGACCTGTTTCACAAAGCCTTTTTTCAATGACAAATGACAAAAATCAGTGACAAATCTGCTGATAACCAATCAGAAGCAAGGATTTCAGTAGCTTTTTCAGTAACAAAAACTGTCATTTGTTACTGATGACAAGTTTTGTGAAACACCCCCCTGGTCTTGGGAACATGAAAAGAAGAAAAAAAATTATGGAACAATAAATAGTACAATAATTTCCTTTGGTGGCTTTTAAAGGAAAAGTTAACCGTCAAAGTATCTGATAACTCATTACAAATTGCATCAGATTGACATTGACTATTTTCTCCTACTTAAAACAAAACAAAACTAACATGTCACATTTATAAATATGTTTTGAATACTGTAGTATTAAAGACAGAGCACAGCATGTCATGATGTATTCTATAGTATGCAGCAAAGTTCGGCACACACCGACACAGATCGACCGATCTATCTTATGATGGCAGCTTGTCTAAGCCAGGGTAATACTATAAATATACTATAAAACTACATGTTTGTGTACTAGTGCTATCATTGGAACATTGGTATCAAATATCTTTCAATTTTAATGCTTTTGTTCATGAAGAATTTATAAATCAATTACAGCAAAGTGTGGTGAGATTGTACAATAACATATTCTCTGTGATGTTTCACCAATTTCTCTGGCAGTCTGACTCTTTCTGGGGAGCACATCCTTTCATTTTTTATTTCTTTTAAAAACAAGATGATAGGGTCGCGCAGAACATAAATCTGACTGCCAGGAAAAGCCAGAAATAACAGGCAAAATTTCATACAGAACTCTTAAGTTTGAATCTTGTAACACTTTTCAGTAATTCATTTACAAATCGGTCAATTCAATATCAGCACTTATTTCTCTCTGTCTTGTTATATGACTGCATTATAACGGCTTTGTGGGACTATATATTTTTTTCTTCTATTAAAACACAGAAAGGGGGTCAGTTTTGACTATCAATAAAGGTTTACACGTGGTACAAATACAATTTTCATAGCCATGAAACACTGTTTATAAATTGCCTGAAAAGAGGTTGATTTTGTTCTGTTTTTAATGTGGACTGCAGGTCTTTTTTGAAGTATGTGAAATTGCAAAATTGCTTCAAGTACTAGAAATATAATGATAGAAACAAACATCTTTGGAAAGATTTCTCTAATCAGTTTCCATCATACGGACCAAGAGAGAAGGTTTGATTTTTTTAAACAAAAGTAATATAACTTCATATGCATTTGTATTTGATATTTGTTTTCAACATCTATTAATAGTCTACAAAAAATTGAGACTTACATGTAAATCAATTACAGTGCCGGACATAAACAATCTACATGTATAATCAAGGTGTTTGGGGAAAAATTGTCAAGCAAAGCACTTCAATTATTCAATTTTGTGAGGGCAAGCTACTTCAATACAGCAAGTCATCTTTACTGGAGTGCAAGTGTGAAAAAGGGAACTTTGAATGTGTTCATTAGTTGCATGAAACCTCTTAACAGGCGAAATATGCTAAGCATCTGAATGGCTTCATTAACGCAAGCCGAGATGATTACCAGAGCTAATTAATAAAGACCTCGTTCCACAAGATACATGTAGGTCTTCGCTCCCCTGATATGATGCAGTTACCATGACAACCATTTCAACCTTGGAACTGCATCTCGAGGACATATTGATGGCACGTCTTGTCTTAACAGCTCCTAGCACATTTGTTGCTTAATATGCTAAATATAGTAACCATCTGAATGGCTTGATTAATGCAAGCCAAGATGACAAGAGCTGAACAACACCTCATTCCACAAGACATACTGTACGTACAGTGTACATGTGTAGGTCTTCACTCCCTTGAAATGATGCAGTTACCATGACAACCATTTCAACCTCGGAACTGCATCTCAGGTATCTATTACTTGCACATCCAGACAGCTCTTAGCACTTTTATTGATCATTCACAGACCAATACAAAATATTATTCATTTTAATAGAGAGAGAAAAACAAAAAAGAGATGCCATTGCTAAAACAACCTTGGCTATATCCATCATCCATCAGACTGGTTCCTAAATGACGTCATACATGGATTGTAACAACACTTTCTTGTTTTAATGATAGTCGAGTTGCCATGGCGACACAGACTAATGATTTCAGAAACATGACCGTGATGATGATGTGACACATGTGAAAATTGGCATCGTGCCGGGTCTAATCAGGCTCTCTGAAATATAATTCTAGTATTTATCTAGACGCTAAGTGAAGTCATCTTGGGATCCACATGACTTAATTGAATGATGATCTTGTTGGCATGGTGATGAGGACTATAGATGACTTTAGCAACAACAACAGTATGACGATGGCGATGATGAAGATGCTTCTGAAACAGCAAATGGCATCAACAGGATTTTATCAAGCCCGATGGAAACCTCCACTGTCATCATCCCTTTCTCTTATCTCTTCTTTGGGGTCAGGATCCTGTTACCACGACGATGGGATGGCCTCCCTTTGACGCTTGGCTCCACCCATTCTGGCATTAACATAACCACCACATAAGATATTCAAGAGCTGGCATTAGCTTGTATTAAACAAGAATTTAAAAGTTTTTGCTCTTGGTGAGAAGCAAGTTTGCACCTTTAAGAGTTCAGACCTCGATTTGGTCTCCGTCGCTCACGTTGATGCGGTTGTCATGACGATGTCGTTGCTCCGTCGTTCACGTTGCCGTTTTCTTTCCCTTCTGAGTTTGTTGCAGACTCAAGGCCACTGTCGGGGGAGAGTTTTAGGTCCATTTCCTGGGGATTAAAAAAAAAGACATTTTTAAAAATGATTCTATGACCCATTACCTACGAGAACCGGATGGCTATAACAACCATAAGGGAATGGGAGAATTTAGAAGTAAGTTGATTAAAAATAAAGTATTACAAGATGTGGATGGCACACAAACAAGATGAACATTTTTTAGTTGTATTACATAATTGTTGTTATCATGAGTACACACTCACTGTAGGAGCTTACAAAGAACATCTAAATTTCAGCTTGTTGTTAATTCGTTCAAATTATGCAGAAATCGGGAGCTAGTTAACCGTTACCACAGTACAACTTTGGTGCAACAGGGCAAATTTGTATACTTAAGGTTTTTGTTTTAACATACTGTGTTGATATACCTCTAATCCTCTTTATGAAGTTTGTATTGAAGATTAATTTTGAAAATTTATCGATATTGGTAAAGCATTGTAAAACTAAAAGTTTATGCCATTTTGAATACACCATAATTCAGGAAAATATGAAATGGTTTATAAAATCTTGTTAATCTATGACTTGGTCAAAAGTATACCAATAAATTTAAATTTTGGTCATAATAATTCACCTCTAACTCCTTCATGATCTCGTCTGTGAAATCTGTTGGGTTCTCTTTGTACGAGACGGCTTGTTTGATTGCTTCCCGGAACATCTGCAGGAAAGAAAGATCAAGAAAATCAAGAAATCAATTTCAAAATTTATATTTTTCTCCTGAGTTTGGGGAGGGCGCACAGCTTGATTCGTGATTCATAGTCCTCAAAATATACCACATACATGTACATATTAAAGGCATTGTTAAACTATGTTAAATCTGAGATGCCCGGCCCTACGTGTTATCAGTATATGTGATATGGTGTAATATTGAAGCCATAAACAAATTTGCGCTTCAAAATGATCATGAAGTGCCTCAAAAAAAGTTTAAAAGTGACCGGTTTTACCATTCTCATTTTCCCCAATAGACTGTAGTGTTATAAAAACTGTTAGGAAAACAAAAAAAATTAAATTTTGATTTCCAATCATAAATATCTTGATAATCAGAGGGGCGATCGGCTTGTAAAAGTCATGGGATTCCTGACTGACCTAAAGGATTATAATTATGATTGCAGCATGAGCTAAATCCAGGATTTTGTTACGGACTCTGAGGCAATGTTACTGAGCCACTTTAAGCAGAAATATCTCACATAATAATCATCACACCTGTATCATACAAAAGATACACATCCTGTCGCAGCAGGTAATATTAGAGCACACGGCCCTTCATCTTGTATCCAGAAACTTGTGCATGATAAAAGAGATCCTCAAAATCATAACATTTAATAAATAATAACAATATTTACTGGCTCATTTTCCAGGTAATAGAAGAAGGTATTGCCAGAGTCGAAGATGAGTGCAATATGAATATTCTTGGGCAGTATAATATCATATTGCCCTGAAAGCAGGTCAATATCACACAACTATGAACACTTTTTGCTTTATTTGGAAATATTACCAAGTATTTGATGCTAGAAATTTTGAAAATATTGACCAACATATCATTGCCAAAAAAAACATGATATCAGAATTGTTTAGATCATTAAAATGAGTTTTGGGACACATCCTAAAAATCATACATGTACATGTGTGGCAGTTTCAGTCCGAAACACCTTCTTTTTGCGTTAACTTGCAGACTGAAGCTAGCAGATAGCTGCTACAAATCTGAGGGAGGTGTCTAGACTTCACCACCATCACACAGGTCAATATTTGTTGGATGTGTCAAACAAATCATTTCTAACGCAAGTCACCATTTTCATTTGCAAATTGGCAACTCGCACACACTTTGCGGCAGAGACCGATCCTGCTTACCTTGACTACATTTGCTCCGTCTGCGGCAGATACAAAGAAGAATGGTAGATCGTGCTTCTTGGAGAAGTTGAAATTCTTTTGCGTGATCTTGTAATCCACTGCACCATTTGGGAGGAACAGACATTGAAAAAGAGCGTTAATAAACAACTTAAAGCCTGTCTGCACAAGTTTGGCCAGGGGGGACTAGACCTCCCTGCAAGGTTACTGACAGGTGGTTATCTCATCAAATCCGCTCTCAATTAACACAAGAAAAAGGGGATCCTGGGGGACCAACAGGCACCGATTAGGCATTGTTTGCTATTTAGAGGGCACAAGTAGCTACAAGTAGTACAGTGGGGCTTAAAACACCACATTAACTCTCTGGTTTGGACAAGTTGCAATTCTTTTGCCTGACCTTGTAATCCACTGAACCATTAAAGAGTAACAAAAAGGAATATCAACAAATGTCTCTTAGCAACAGGCCAAATTCTTATTTACATCAAAGTCCTCATGAATATTTTAAAAATTATGGCGTTCAATGGCAATAGCACTGATTACAATGGGTTTGCCAATAGCTATGTTGTATGTTTTCAAGTATTGTTATGTTTTATAGTTTTATGGAATACACTTTAGACTTTGGAACAATCAATGCTTTTAGAGGGACTTTCCCCTACTCTGGTAACCATGTTACTACAAACTTCTTTTGTCCAACGACTTGATGACATCATCGTATGTGGAGTACGCATATTTACAATGACTTTGCATAAATTTAAGCACGGCTCATTGCCTCAGCTATACAGGCGAGCCGATCGTACAGCAAATTTGACCCCTGCTGACTCATTATTTGCAGGGGTGCAGAAAATGAGGTTTTAATTTGCTTTTGTGCAATACTCAAAGGAAAACTGGTTTGTATTCCTCTATACATGTATATGTATTCTACATTCATTCAGCTTTCCATTGCTATAAAGTTCAAACTCATTTATTTGGGGTTTTATAACTTCCCTTTTTATGCCTCCGCCACCGAAGGTGGTGCCGGAGGCATCATGTTTTCGGATTGTCCGTCCGTACGTCCGTCCCGTTTGACCGTTATCACAATATCTCAAGAACCATTTAAGATTTAAACTTAAGACTCGGGAATAGTATTTATCACCATAGGAAGACGATCTGATTAGATTTTGGAGTACGTAGGTCAAAGGTCACAGGTCACAGAGGTCAACTTATGAAATTCCTTGTATTGAGTTTGTTAGCACGATATCTCAAGAACCATTTGAGATTTAAACTTCAAACTTAAGGATAGTATGTATCACCATAGGAAGACGATCTGATTAGATTTTGGAGCACGTATGTCAAAGGTCAAGGGTCACAGAGGTCAACTTATGAAATTCCATACATTGAGATTGTTATCATGATATCTCAAGAACCACTGGAGATGTAAAAACTTCAAACTTAAGGATAGTATGTATCACCATAGGAAGACGATCTGAGTAGATTTTGGAGCACGTAGGTCAAAGGTCAAGGGTCACAGAGGTCAACTTATGAAATTCCATACATTGAGATTGTTATCATAATATCTCAAGAACCACTGGAGATTTAAACTTCAAACTTAATGATAGTGTGTATCACCATAGGAAGATAATCTGATTAGATTTTGGAGCACGTAGGTCAAAGGTCAAGGGTCACAGAGGTCAACTTATGAAATTCCATACATTGAGATCGTTATCGCGATATCTCAAGAACCACTGGAGAATTTTCACTTCAAACTTAATGATAGTATGTATCACCATATCATAATATCTCAAGAACCACTGGAGATTTAAACTTCAAACTTAATGATAGTGTGTATCACCATAGGAAGACAATCTGATTAGATTTTGGAGTACGTAGGTCAAAGGTCAAGGGTCACAGAGGTCAACTTATGAAATTCCATACATTGAGATTGTTATCATGATATCTCAAGAACCACTTGAGATTTAAACTCCAAACTTGTTTAAATTGCTCTATGGCGGAGGCATCATTTTCGACTGCGCGCAGTCAAAATTCCATCTAGTTTCACTATTGTTTCATATTTTAATGTACATGTACTTATGCATATTCTAGTGAAAGATTTTTTCATGTTATTTACAGTACCTTTTGCAAATGCATGTGTTTCTGTGATGTGATTTTTATGGAAATGAATAAACTTAATTGAATTGAAATTGAATCATTGGATAAGGTCTTTAAACCTTGACACCTCAAAGGAGTCTGTTATTCTCTGTTAATGAGTGTCCTCACCATCGATCTTGTTGGCCGCTACTACGCAGGGTATTTCTGGTCTGTATTCCCGGAGCTCCTTGTACCACTGACTGAGATTCTTGTACGTCACTTTTCTCGTTACGTCAAATACCTGCAAACAAACCATACAACATTCCATTATAACTCCAATTAAAGTTAGCATACACATGTGTATACATGTACATGCAGGTTCATTTGAAAAGACAATGATTGTGATTAACAGAAAAAGAAAGAGAGAGAGAGAGAGAGAGAGAGAGAGAGGTTTATAGACAGGAAGAGATATATATAACAACATAAAATACCATACAAGATCCCATTTTAATTAGCATACACATATACATGAACATGTAGGTTCATTTGAAAAGACAATGATTGCGATTAACAGAGATAAAGAGAGAGAAAGAGAGAGAGAGAGAGAGAGCAAGAGAGAGAGAGAGAGAGAGAGCAAGAGAGAGAGAGAGAGAGAGCAAGAGAGACAGAGAGAGAGCAAGAAAGACAGAGGGAGAGAGAGAGAGAGAGAGAGAGAGAAGTTTATAGACAGAAAGAGATATATAACAAATGAAAATACCATACAACATCCCATTTCAATTACAAATGTTTCATTACAGGAGCATAGGTTCGAACATACACTATGAATAGACAATAAAACAATGATTGCCATTTAGAGAGGTGAGAGAAAGAGAGAAAGAGGTATATGACATGTAGGGAGAAAGAAAAATTGAAAAGGGAGGAGGGATAAAAAATTAGAGAGAGAGAGAGAACTTCTCTCGAATGGAAAAGAGAGTAAGTGAAAAAGAAATAGTCAAACATAGAGTGAATTGGGATACTGTACATTTATTTAACATGAGTGCCAGGAGTGTTATTTTTGACTGATAAACTACCATCATCATTATCGACACCACCATGATGACATCATTAAATACAAGCTCATTTTATATTTACCATAAAAGTGAGAGAGGAAGTGTACAAAAAGGTGAGAGAACCAGAGGAGAAAAGAGGAAGGAAACAAGGGAATATGGATTTTTAATTACAGATGTTAAAGAGGGGAAACAAAGGAAAGAGAAGAAAAAAAACATTACAAAATTGAAAGAGAGAGACTGATATACTCACTAGAATACATGCATGTGCTTGATGGTAATAGGACGGATGCATACTACTAAACCTCTCCTGACCTGCTGTGTCCCAGAAATCTGTAAAGGAGGTAAGAATAGAAACAGAAAACTGGTCATAAAACACAGCCCTGAGGCACACACAATCACACTCAGATCACTGTCAAATGGAACAAGATATGTGTTCTTCACAGCAGCATTAACAATACTTTTTATTATTTAAACAGGAGCTCCTTTTGGATATATTATAGTGAGACTCATGTACATGTACTATATATGTAAAGTGAGCACTTTGGTCAGTATAAAGGGAGGTGGAAGTTCATGCGCAGTACCGGTAGGTCATAATTTGTTGACACCAGACTTGGGAAAAAACATTAATGGGTGCAAAAGTCTTGCACACAGTCAACCCCCTTAGTCTCTTGAAGAATCATCGGATAAGGAAAATGAAAAATGAAACCCTGTCCATATGGGAGGATAGGTGGGAAATTCAGAGCGTTACATATGACTTTTTGGTCAAAAAAATTGAAGGCTAATCCTGGTGATTTACTGGGTAAACACCCCAGTGGTGTCAAATTACCCAATAAGAGACTGCTACTAAAAATTAAAAAGTGCATACATGTGTCTCTAATGGTAAAATGATATTAGAAACCGGTACAACTGTTATTATTATTATTAATGTACAATTACATTACATGGTTATGCACACTGTATGTCAAGACTGTCAACATTGCCATCTCTGATCAGTGTGTGGTTTGTGAGTGCCCTTTCGGAGGTAGAATAATGCATGCTACATTGTAATTGCTAAAAGGTTGCATCGAACCCGGTATGTATTATTCACACAAAAGAGGGCTGGCTTAAATTACAAGGAAAAGTGAGGCAGATCTGTTTAAAACCTTCCATTAGTATTATTAGGATGAAAGGTGTTATACAGGAAAATTCTGTAAATGTATATTTATGATGTATATTGATGGATGAGTACGAGGGCCTTTTTAATTAGATGAGTGAGATGGCACTATGGTTTATTCTATTCTGATGAACTCAAAACTGGATCTAGGATCATGTTAAATAAAATGGAAAACGTAGACGTCAGACTATAATAGCTTCCTTTATTACACCTGAATTTGAAACGGTAGCCTAAGCCCACTGTCGGGTTTAAATTTCATTAGCAAACTGGCCTGTGAGTTTTTAGATTTGAATCTTTTGGACATTACACACTTGAGTGAACATACGCTGTACATGTAGGCCTCTTTTGCAGAATATGTACAAATTAATTCCACCAGAAAATGCTAGATTTCAATTCAATTCAATTCAATTCAAATGTAATAACAATAATAATAATAATACAATTCATTTTCCGGCTGTTTCTGCACATTTAACCTCAATTATTAAACACACTATCAATTTATACAAAATCAGGAATAAATGCAACACACAATTCAACCTGAGTACAGCATGGTATAGGCTTGAACTGGATATTCAACTTGATATTTTGAACTGCATGTCATACGGAACTTGAGCATTGTTTAATATTAAATCAATGATTGATTTGAAAAATCATCACCTCCTATCATCTAACTGCACACACACTCATGAAATGTAGACATTTCAGATATTTATACATGTGTACATATTTACAGGTAAGGATCTCTCTGAACTGTTCTTTTTTTTTTAGACATTGTAGGATTTATCAAGGCAGTGAAATGCAAGGAAAGAGGCGAGAGAAGGGGGTGGAATTTTTTATTTTATTTATACACTGTAGGGGGATTCATTTCTCCATTTCTAAAGGAGAAAAAAAATCCCCCCAAAGTTGCCTAGTAGGGGGTGGAATATCATTTTTCATACACTATAGGGGGATTTGTTGTTTCTTCATTTCTAAAGGAGAAAAAATCCCCCAAACTAGGGGGTGGAATATCATTTTTCATTTGACTGTAGGGGAATTAGTTGGGAATTAGTTTCTATATTTCTAAAAGAGATGTAGACAAAATCCAAAAAAGTGCATGATTGATGATCACTTTCTTTATATTCAACAGATGTAGAGATATTATAAGCATAAACATGAAACCAACTCTACTGTTGATGATAGAGTATACATGTACATGTGCATGTAACTCATAGTTGTGTCCATATTTTCGTGGGTTCGAACCCCGGCCGCGTCATACCAAAAGATGTTAAAAGATGGGAGTTGTTGCTACCTTGTTTGGCGTTCAATTATAAAGGATAGAGCAACGTCGATCTGGCGCTGCTCAGTGGCTGCCGGGCTCACGATCAATTGGGCAAAAATAATTTCCGTTTCGGTTTAATAAAATTTGGAGTGGACTATTAGGCTATTATTATTATTATTATTATTATTATTATTATTATTATAATGCACCATGCTCTATTATACCACTGTGCAGTATTCGCCCGGTTCGCCCCAAATTATGCTATGTGTTCTCTAAAGATAATTCATAAAAGAGAAATACATGTAGTGCATTTTCTTAGTTAGAAAAAACAAGAAGTCTTTCAGAGCCAGAAAGACGTTATACCTCTGTGAGAAAGTACATTTACAGGAGTTAAAACCGTTCTGACTCCCAACAGATCATAAATTAATAAACACAAATAATTTTAACCAAAACTGTTTCCATAACATTTCAAAATGTGTACATGTACAATGGCTTAGAATTACACTTGAGATATAACTTGTTTTCTTGCTATATTTATATCATCATCATTAGAACTCCAATGGTGCAAAAAGTGCTAGGAAGCCACACAAAAATCCATTAAAGGGCAATCTAAGCCTTGTGATATTAATTTCATTTGAGTGAAAGCAGAAAAATCAGAGAAACCGAATGGAAAAGTTTGAAATAAATTGGACCAATAATAAGAAAGATATGGATGTTTGAAATATGACATCACTAAAGGTATGCAAATCTCATATTGGCAATTTTGTCAGTTGATCGTGACCTAGAGAGACTGATAACTCTCCTATTTCTCATACATGTACAAAAATATCAATAATTTTTTTTTTTTTTTTTTTTTAAGTGCCTTCACTCAAAATATATATTATTATTACAGGGCATCTTAAAAGAAAAGACCATCATGAGTGACACATTTTTGAAGAATTGAAATTTTAGTCATTTTGCTGGTTGCAACAAATGGGAAAGTTGTCCGTCACTACATCACAAGAGACATTACTGATTCAACCAATTTGAAGAGCCCATACCTATAGTAAAAAATTACAACTTTCAGAAATTCATAACTTTCTCCTTTTATTTCCTGATTTCATTCAAACTTTAAAAGTCTATACTTCTGAGAGTTTTTTTTTAAAGGAATTTAATTAAGTGTAAATATTCATAAATAAATGATAAACACCAATAAAACTAAAACAACAACTGCTTTCAACTAGAGTAGTTTTCTATCAAGGTTGGATTGACCTTTAAGCATTTATTAGGTTCCAAGTGAAGCATGGTTCGTGTAAAAGCCATGGAAACAAAACTCTCACTCTTTCAGTGTGACAGGCAGGCAGGCATTCAATATTTATGCATCGTCGTGGAAATTAATTGCTTTACAAAGTGCAGATTCAAAGGAATACATGTAGGTATGGGCGTAAAAAATGAACTATGACGAATGTACATAATGTACATGTAGCGAACATTGCTCTGATTTTTGTAAGCCCTTTGTAACAATCATTCCACAGTTTGTGTATTGGCTCGATACAATTTCATTTAGAGCCCTAAAATATATGCCACATACTGTACATGTACATGAGTACAAAGGGCAAACATTTGTGCGCACACCATATCTATTTTTGTTTCATGACTTTGATGCCAGGAATTGTAAAAAAGGAAAATAAGCTCTGAAACCCTTTAAACGATGCATCCTACAAGTACTTCTGAAAGCTTAATTTCTGTTGTCAGAATGAATAATTATCTCTAAATCTTAAAGGTACTGAAATACAAAGTTTTGGTATGGGGTCATGAATTTGGTTCAAATGAACATATTAGAAGCATGCGATTTTAAAATATACAATGATCTTTGTCGCGGTTGAAATCGAGTCTAAAGTGATGAAATTGTAAATAATAAACTCTTCTTTTTAATGTTGTATAGCTCCCTCTCAAGACTGATATTACTTTAGCTTTAAATTAGATTTACCATGATGGGAAACTGTACTCACCTACAACGATTTCCTTCCCGTCCACTTTCGTCTCGTACCTAAATAGAGTTAGTGCAAATGTTGATAATTGTTGTGGTTGGCTGGGGAAAAATCATTGGTTAAGGAATCAAATTTTCAAAAATAATAATAATAAAACTTGTTATTATCATTAGTATTATTATCATTATCATCATCATCATTATTATTATGATTATCATCATTATCACAAAAAATTGATAATTCAAAATGTCTACAAAGCGAAAATGCACCAAAAGGAGAATTTCATTTCACCCTATAATGGTAGTACTATTTGTTTTCACCTTGAACAGAGATCATCATTCATTAATTTGTTTCTTTTTACTCTCAAAATCGCAGCACATGATAAAACAATTATAATTTGGCTTTAGCAATACAAAAAAGTTATATTGGAGAAGAAAAAAAAAAGAAAAAAAAAAAGAAAAATTAAAATGAAATTTTGAAAAATCGGAACATTCCATATTTGTAGGTCCCTAAAATCCTAAAAATCTGAATATTCTGGATTATTCAGAAGGGTTGGCAGGTATGATAACCCATTATACAATATATGAAATTCAATGTGCCTGAATGAGAAAGTGGTCAGTCATTTTTTTCAATAAGCACCTCCACTGCAGATGTGTGTTTATTTTACTGAAAAAGGATACTATCCGTCCATGAGAAATCTTTCCACCAATCTGTAAGAAAAGAAAAAAACAAGAGGACAAAATATTACAAATTTATTTTAAAAAAGGATCAGGAATATGATAAAACAATATCATAAAAATACATTTTTCTCTTCTTTTTTTTTTTAATTGAAAAGGCACTGTAATCAATTGTATGTCAAACAATGCAATCTTTAAAAATGATGGGTTTCATAATTCATTTTCTGATTTTTATCCGACATCCAATTATTTGATTTTCTCCTTCATCATTTTATTCTCTCTCTCTTTCTCTTTCTCATGTGATACCATACACAAAATATCTCTATCAAGGCTAATGTACATGTACATGTTTATTTAAAAATTAATTTCAACTTGAAAGAACTGCTCATGCATAAATGTATGCCTTTTCTCTTTTGCAAAATGAACAATAGGGCTTCAAGCGAATGTTGCAACACGTTCCCTTACTAAAACATTCACATGACTACTTCTTAAAGGGATCCGGTAACTTTGTCTCAGATTCTGAAACAAAATTCTGGATTTAGCTCATGATGCAATGATAATTATAAACCTTTAGGTCAGTCAGGAACCCCATGACCTTTACAAGCCGATCGCCTGTCTGATTATCAAGATATTTATGATTGGAATTACAAATTTTGAAAACCGTTCGCCTGACGGTTTTCATAACACTACAGTCTATTGGGGTAAACGAGTATGGTAAAACCGGTCACTCAAAGATTTTTACTTTTTGGAGGCACTTCTTCATCATTTTGAATCGCAATTTTTTTAGGGCTTCAATATTACACCATATCACAGACACTGATAACACATATCGTGTATCTCAGATTTAACATTGTTAAACGATCCCTTTAAAGGGGTACAAACATTATGCCACTGTGATGAAAGCAGGTAAAAATTGTTTCTGCAATTGGTGTATTACTGTAATGAAAGTTTTTGTTTGTGTGTATTACATTTACATGTACACTGTAGTATGGAAACGTTAAAATGTCTGCCTCCAGTGAACATTAGAATTAAAATGGCATAAAAAAAACGGAGTAGAATCTTTGACAAAAGCAGCACTAATTATTTTTCCTTCTCCCATGCCTCCCCCCCCCCCCCCCCCCTCATTGTTTGTACAATGTTAACTGCCAAGAAGGACACACTGACGTTTCTGTCTCCGGTGATAATTAGATTTTAAATGGCATTTCTTGCAATCGGGTCATACTCAAAATACATGTATGGAGGAGCTCAAGGTGATTCCATCTACACTGTACATGTAAGATGGCATGAGCAGACGAGCGTGATAAGGCTATGAAAATACATCTTAGCCTATTTGTGTAGAAGGTTCTGTTATTTTAGGACATGAAATTTCTTTCTGTAGGGTCCAGTCACACAGTCGTAGCATGCGCAGTTCCACAGATAGAAATAGAAATATGAAGTACTCCATCTCTCAATGTTTTCAAATCCAATTTAAAAACTTATTTGTTCAACTGAGAGATCTTATTTTGTAGAATTTAGTAAAAAGGAGCTCTTAACCAGCGCAGCTGAATATATTTTGTATAAAAGCTGCGCTATATAAATTTATTATTATTAATATTATTACAGTTACATGTATATGTACCATACCCATATAATTTCAGTCAATATGAATGTTGCTGAATAAAGAAACAAGTTTTCAATACTTTGCAGCAGCTTCTAAGTACTGTACATGGTATGAAAAACTATTTGACCACCAGAATGGAAAAAAATCTTTTCAAAATCTTCTCAGTCCCTTCTTTGTACAGTACATTGTATTTATTGCCAATTTACAATGTGCACAATACGTAATGGTTTATTACAGCACATACTGTACATCTAATTAAAAATCACATATTGATGTTTTTGTAAAAAGGCCCCCCCCCCCCCCCAAAAAAAAAAAAAAAAAAAAAAAAAAGAAAATAAACAAAAAATATCATTTTATAGGGGAAAATTACCGTACATTATCTATCTTCATCCATGTTAATAAATTTAAAATACTTTGAAAAGTTCCTTTTGCATGCAGTCTAATCAAAGAAACAAAACTAAATTATTCATACCCTTAAGCTATGGTCACATGTCAGAGCAGCGACCGACCGATTAGTAGCCTACTCGGTCGCCGATGGAATTTAGGCATCGCCCAACGATTTTTTTTTGAGAAGTTGAGCAGGCTGTAGAGCCCTAGCGATGCCTGCATGGGCGGTGCCCTGTCGATTTCCTGTCGGTTAAGTGTCGATTTTAGGGCGGCGTCCCGGCAGTGACCGACCGATGACCCACTGATACCCGAGCGGTCTCTCACCGGCCACCGGCTAATTTTAAGGAAATTGCCCGGCAGCCGGCCGCCAAAATACGCTCGGTGCCTGGGCGTTCGCCGCCCGGACACCGGCCTAATCGAGCGGTCGCCGTTGAGCGATTTAGGTCAAAAATCAAAGCCGCTAGGTCAAAGGATGCTGAACGATTTTGAACTCGCCGCCCAGTGACCGACTGATCTCCCAGCGGCGACCGGGCGGTGAACGCTCAGCAGCCTTTGACCTAGCGGCTTCCGTTTGTGACCTACAATGTAAATTGCTCGACGGCGAACGCTCGATTAGGTCGGTGCTCGGACGGCGACCTCCCGGGCACCGAGCGTACTTTGGGCGGCGAGTGAAAGTGAGCAGGCGCCACCCAAATTTTAACTCTGCGCTAAAACTTCAGCAGCAACCGAGCGATGCCCTAAAGACAAGCGGTGCCTGGGCAAAATTGGCTCAAAACTCGCCGCCCGGCCGCTGAGCAGGCTACTTTTAGGTGATGTGACCATAGCTTTACCAATTTTTGTATGTACAGTATGTGAAATATCGACTTGTCCCAATTTACGTTTCTTGAGAATGTGACATCAAAGCTTACATCTAAAAAGTATAGGGGCCTACAAAAAACAACAAAAAAACCATCAAATTCACAAAGGGTATGAACTATGAATAGTTTACATGTAGTTTAGTTGTCAACTGTACAATATATGTAACTGCTCTGACCAAGCAATTTAAGATTAGCAAAGGGTTTAGCAAAGGCAAATGAAAAAATATAAATCTGACAAATCAATCATCATCATCATCATCCAGTGCCAGGCCTGTAATACAGACATCGGCAGACATGGCCTACCATTTCTATTATCTGCTATTCTTTAAAAAGCTGGTATTGCTGATTTAAATTTGGTTGCCCATTTGTTCAGGCTCTCAAAACATACGAGGCCTTGCATTTCCCTGCTTCATGTACAGTACATGATTGAGATGTGATACTAGCATTTACAATTAAAATTCTTTCATATCTGTATGTACACCATGCATAGCGCCACAGGAAATTCATTACATTTATGTACATTCACATTTAGCGTCACGGCTTCTTGATTTCTAGAAAATTACGCCATGCGTATTTTGTTGAAAAGTTGCTGCCAGAGCATTCTGGCGGTAGAGAAAGTAGCGCACAAATTCAGCTGGTGCTCTGTCTACATGTAGGCTACGCTGCTGTGTGTGTGTGTAGGCTTTAAAACCTCTCATTTAATATAGCGCATCGGCAGAGCGAAATAATTTTAAGTGTACAGGTACATGTACATGTATTTTATACCTGAAACCTTGAAAATGAAAATATCTGATTCACGAGTCTTGACCAGTTACACCAGAACTTTCTCTCATCTTGAAGAATTGACGAGAACTGATTTTTATGATGAAACCCTTTTTTATCTAGCAAACATTGTAACTTCTTTTCAGCTTGAAGAATTTCCAAATGCAAATAATTCAGAGGTTATCCAATTTTTTAGATGAATCTAACTGCAACCCCTCCCTTATCTAACAAACTTCGCAACTTCTCAGGGTGTTCTTGAAGAATTTTGAAACGCAAATGAATCAGAGGTGAGCAGACTTTTATAATGAAACCCTTAATGTACCTAGCGAGCATCAAAGCTTCCTTTCATTCAGCTTGTACAAAATGAATCAGAACGGGTTCATCATGTTTGCAAAATGATTTGAACCACACAAAAAAAACACTGCACACAGAACCGCCTGAACAGGTGATTTATTAAATTATACTTCTACTTTTAATACATTATCAGTATCACTAGGGGCGCTGGTCTGAAAATAAGGATCGACCACATACACGAGAATCGTCTTTGTAAACGCGTACAGACCCGTCAGCAAAAATAATGCTCGTCCGCATTTTCGCTGATGATTCTGATTTCCGATCCGTGCGTTGGTAATGCGAAAACTGATTCTGTGATGATTTTCTTGATGCATTGCACATTGACTTCATACAGATTACAGAGACTTTCACGTTATATGAGTGATAAATCCTCGGGGAAGACAAACCATAATAATTTTAATACGCGGAATCTGTTTTTCGCATTGCCAGCGCGCGGTTGGGAACCTGAAACCAGCAGAGCGCCGATAAAAAAAAATGTCTGCACGATCCTTAAATAATATTATCCTCGTTTATGCGGACGATCCTCATTCTCGGACCAGCGTCCCTACTCCATCATGTCAATGTCTAGACTTAGATCTACTGTCCTGAATTGTTAACAAATTAAACTTTAAATTACAAGAATGAAGAAATTAAGAATTAACTGAATCATCATGAAACACTTTGTCAGCTCTTGATTATTGTCAGCAGTGCAGTGTTGACTTTGGACTTGGCCTTGGTGTTTGAAACTTTGACATTCACAATGAAACTTTGAAAGAGGAATGCACAAACAAAAAGACTCTGGAAATTACGATAATACAAAGTCAAATCAAGTCCACATGTACAATGCATGTAGGTCAATATTACCCTGACCTCTGAACACACTACAGAACTTGAACTTCAGATTGTATCTTTATTGCAGATGACGTTATTATTTCATTCAGGCAAGCCCGAATGCACATTATGAATTGACCATTCATTCACTTCATTCAGATGCCATAGCGCTAGCGCTAGCGCTAGCGTGACTAGCAACGTAAAAATCCCCCGAACTTAAAAAAGGGTCAGCCGGCATTTTCTTCTTTCTAACACCTCAAAGAAGAAGAGAAAATCGCAGATGAATAAGTAATAGAATAAGCATACTCACTTTGATTTGCCAACAGCGGAATCTCCTAAACAGATAATTTTAACCCCATTTTCGGCAATTTTACCGTCCCCTTCCGGGACACTCGATGAGTTCGTGTGATTCGCCATCTTTAGTGACAGAAATATGTTGAAATTTTTGCATAATTGTCGTCTACTTTTTAACGAAAGAGGGCGCTCGACTGTTTTGTTTCGTTACAGCCACATCTCTTTCTCTCCTTTTAAAGACCGTCACCACTACTGGGCAAGAAGGGATTAGACCACACAGAGAGCCATCGAGGTCACTGTGACAGGTGGCTATCTTATTAACTCAGCTCTCATTTAACATAAGAAAAAGAGGATCATGGGGGACCAACAGGCACCGATTAGGGAAGTTTTCTATATAGAGGGAGCAAGTAGCTACAAGTATGGCAGTGTGCCTTTAAAGATCGTCACCACTACTGGGCCAGAAGGGATTAGACCACACAGAGAGCCATCGAGGTCACTGTGACAGGTGGCTATCTTATTAACTCAGCTCTCATTTAACATAAGAAAAAGAGGATCATGGGGGACCAACAGGCACCGATTAGGGAAGTTTTCTATATAGAGGGAGCAAGTAGCTACAAGTATGGCAGTGTGCCTTTAAAAAAAATATTTACCATTAGACATTCCCCTGCACCCTCACCTGTTATTGTCACTCTTGAATGTAAGTGGCATCTCTGACTACGGTAAGTTTCTTTTTATTCTATCATAAAATGAAATTCGATTAAATTCAAAGTAATATCAAATTGTCAGTCATCTTTAGAAATATAGATTGGCAAGCAACTCTATATCGACAATATTGCTTACTTGCATTACTAAAAATTATGTATTAATAAATCCCAACCCATTTTGTCCTTTTAATATCAAAATAAAATCAATAATGCCCCCCACCCATACTTTCTCCCTCACTAGTCCCCAATAAATCATGTTCACTTTTTGTGCAGTATAGGTTCCCAGGCTAAATTACCACTCTTTGGCCAGTCATTTTTTGAGTCAGTCTTTTGATGTATTCATAATATTCTCCCAGTATTCTCTCTTATAACACTTTCCACCTTGTATGGGTTCATAAATCTCCAGACGTCACTCAGACGGTGACTCAGATTCTCTCTCTCGACCCCCCCCCCCCCCCTCTCTCTCCTCTCTCTCTCTCTCCCCTCTTCCTCCCTCTCATCAGACTGTTTCGACCCTTTCCACTCACTATATACACACACTGCCTCAGAAAACAATAAAAACACAAAAGTCATTTCATTGTTGATGTTTTTCTGCGGGCAATATTATTTCATTGTCATAGTTTTTTAATATATATATAGTACATGTACAAACACAGATAGCAGGGCAGTATAAGTTGGTATGGAAAGACCATTATCGATAAAAAAATCAAGAACAATGCCAAACTAATATAAAAGCATACATATCAATAGCTTTTACTCATAGTACAGATTATGTTGTCTGTAAAAGAAACAACTTACGTATGCATCTGAGAATTAGCTTGCTTTTCAGTTTCAGCTTACAGCCAATATATTTGTGAATGCTGGCGTTAACGGCTTCATACATTCATTCAGTACGATAGATCTGCCTACTGCAACAGACTAGAGTTAATGCAAATCATGAATAATAATAATCATATTTTGGATAAAAACCTGTGTTTATTCTCACTATCCCTCAGGGGGGGGGGGGGGGGGGGGGATGAATAATTGCTCTCTGATTTTGACTCTGGAGAGACAAACAACTAATGTATGTATATATTTATATATATATCTATAATTAGTTGCAAAAATGCATTGCATCCATCACGCCCCCCCCCCCAAAAAAAAAAAAAAAAATAAATAAATAAATAAATAAATAAATAAATAAATAAATAAATAAATAAATAAATAAATAAATAAATAAAAAATAAAAACAAAATAAATTACTTTCTTTTGCTTCTCACTGTTTACATTTAATTTTACATAATTAATTGTGGCATGGTCTAGACTCCAGAGAATTGTGTGTCAGACTCTTGAAAAGGGATTCTGGGGTTCAAATCTCAGAAAAGGAACTTTGTGACTTGTCTGAAATGTACAAACAGATCGGCTTTGATAGGATCATCCTCGCAAAATGATCATGAGTCACCCATGTCCATATAAAGAACTCTAAATCATAGTTATAATAATCATCAGAGGAACTTCATATATACCATTGCCACAATCCATACAAGAGTAAATTCAATCACTGCTGGGACTGTATTTTCAACAATTCCAATACCAAAACATGAAAAGACACCAAGAGTTTCTCAACAGGGGGAGGATTATAATTAAGAAAGGTCAATCTCAAATGAAACTTTCCTGATGAAGAAGAATATTATGAATGCCCTTTGAATATGATGTTGTAATAAAAAAAAATCATATTAAATATGAGAAGTCAGCGTACTTTACTTAAAAGGATGTGGTGTTACCAAAAGCCTCCAATCGTGAATACTCAATCACCTTAGAAACCTACAGAGAACATACAAAATCTTTTTGCACCGAACTGCCAAATAACAGAAAACAGAATTGAAATAAATAATCTGCTTTTCCTGTTTGCCTCTAGGGAAAAGATAACAACAAAATGTCATGTCTTAAATAGTATGAACAATAATTACAACATAGTAATATCAATGAATTTATATTCATTTATTAATTGATGATTAGCATTATTAAATACATGAGATGCATTGATAAAAAATATATAGTTAAGAGAATGTTTGCAATTGAACTGTGCAGTAGCTGGTAGCCGTGTAGTTTCTGTACAAGAACATGTAGCATTGCTTTATTATTATTCAAATAAAATAACATCCTAGAACAGCTCTTTCATTATCACCAGGGCGTAACTATTCATGGCTTGAGAACATCCTTTCATTCACATTTCTTTCCTTCCATACCACATGTTTACAGTGTACCACAGTATGGCAATGTAATAAAACCACATTGTGTATGCATGACAGTGATGCCATAAAAAATGATGGAATACTTCTGTAGTGGGAAAATGCAACAAAAAAAGACAGATGCCATATGTTATATCACGCGATGTTGCAATGTACCGTAAACAGAATTTCTTTACAGAGAAATTCACTATTTCAATACCAAGGAACAAAAAAAAAAAAAAAAAATGAAATGGCAACAACAAAAAAAATCCAATAAAAATATTAGATGGATGTTTAAACGTGCCCATGAATTTATCTGCAAGACAATTTCTTAAATAGAAAAATGACATCATATCTGATTACATTTCATAAGCAATGAAAGAATGAGACTATCTGAATGTCATCAAGCCTAAATTAAAACATATAGTCCCAGGTGTGCATATCTGTGTTGGTGTTTTACAGGTTACCCATTTAGTTTTCAGCAGGTTTCATCTTTTTATTTACATTTATAGCTGGTCCAAACAACCAACAATATATCATCTGTTCAGAGCCAGAAGGGCATTCACTCTGTGTTACAGTTTATGAGTTAACACCCTCCTGGCTCCAAACAGACGATACATAGATTCTTCTTCACTCTGTTCGAAACGATTATGACCGACTTCAAAGAAATTTGCTCAAGATATTGTCTGCTGAGAGCCGGAAGGGTGTTTACTCAACATGAATGCATTCCAATTGAGCGCATTCCTATTGAACGCATTCCAATTGAACGCATTCCCATTGAACGCATTCCAATTGAATGCATTCCCATTGAACGCATTCCAATTGAACGCATTCCAATTGAATGCATTTCAATTGAATGCATTCCAATAGAACGTCCCTCTTTCTCTCGGCAGACAATATCAAAGTTTGATATCAGAACTCAAAATTACCATTTTGACCAACAGACAACCAACATACTTCACATTTATTAAACTATAAGAGGCGATGTCACAAAACAGTCAAAGGTGTATATACTTATCTGTATCCTATCATCAAACCAAAATACATCATACTCAATAAAATTAAATAACACTCAACCAGATAGTTCTCTTTCCAAATAAAGTACATACATGTATACACAGAGCAAGGAATAATTCACAAACACAGTCTCCATCATATAAAAATAAATAGCAAATTTCAATTAAGCTTTCAACAGCAACTACATATTTCACAAAAACATCAAAAAACTTGTTGAAATCTATCCTTTTTCCCTCACAACATACCATATTAATATACTTTCTTACTTTAATGGTACATTGTATGTATTGAACACAACATACACGGTACACAGTAGGTTTTTCCTATATGAATGAACTAATGTAGTAATGTAGAGAAAACAAATTTATATATATGTGTTAAATGTTTTAGACTTGGCTCTTCAGGACACTCAGTATAGTGGGAAATTAAAACAAAAACTTAAATTCTATAAATAAAGAAAGATATATATACTGAATAATGATAGTCACACATAAAGGGGAGGGAAAACAAAAGAAAAGGTGAGAGATAGAGAGGCGTAGAGAAAGACAGAAAGTGCGTGAGAGAGAAAGAGAAAGATAAAGATAAAGAGAGGGAAAGAGAGAGAGAGAGAGAGAGAGAGGGTAAGAAAAGGGAAAATATAAAGAGAGATCTATGATGCTTGCATAAGAAAAAATATAAGAAAGATATTACTGGCAGTCATAAGAGATTAAAGTTACTAAAAAGAAAGTGGTATATCATTTATTTAAAAATAAGAAAAACACAAATTTGTTTAAATAAAAATATAGGTTAACCCTAAAATTACGATGTTACATATATCTATCAAACACCACATCAAAGTTTTAACATCTGCATAAACTTCTTTCTCTTAGTTACACCAGTATCAAAAACAGCCAGCTGTTTTGTTGGCGTTTTGTCTTTCTTTACTTACATGAAATTACGTAGGTGGGATCAAGAAGATAATCCAGACACTTAAATAGCTTGTCTTTGTAATTGATGGCTAATCTGTTTAGAGTGAGAAGATTTTTAGCTATTATTTTACAGTTATCATCCTTCTGGATTGAAATGGACCTTTAGACAATTGATTTGTTCAAACTAGGAGCTTCACCTTCCCCTCCTGTTTTGTTATTTTGGCAGAAAATGTTGTGAAATGTCTTTGACTATGCCATTGGAAGTGAGTACACTTTTCAAAGAGCCTTTAATTTTTCTCTGAATTTAGATAAAAATCCTGATGTGTCATGAATCTGAGAAAACCACTATGCTTACGTTTAACAGTTTAAATCAACTTTATTTCATCAGAAGACTAGTTGGCCAAAATGCTTTTTAACAGCGAAAATAAAATACAATGACCTATTTTTGAAAGAAATAAAAGACTTTACTCATATGTAAGGAAATTTAGGCGATACGGGATAACTATTAAAGTTGAGACTCTGGGGTACTTCTCAGTTCTGATAATTGATAAGCGACTTTCACAAAATAACACAACATTATCACATTTTTACATTGAACATTCAAACACTTATAGCATTCACAACTGGTAGGAGACTGTCCATATATATTTGGTTATCAATTGCCAATATGGGCCCAATTTGTGAAATTATCCCCCCCCCCCCCTCCCTCCCCATACAATTCAGTTGAATACATGCATAATTTGCAGCAACACACTGTTTATGAGTTGAAGAAAAAAGGAATTAAAATCAAACTGATAATACACGTATAGCCTAATCTTCATTCTATGACTGTTGTCTGAATTTTGCAGCAAAATTCTATTATCGAGTTCAGAATATTTTTCATACAAAAAACTGCTTTTGACTGAAGTTTTGAGCAGAACAGTTTTAATACTAATTTAGGAACTGAGAAATTGCTTAAATGGTGCCCTCTATATATATTATCTGAACTGGCTACAGTACCCAAAATGCAACAGTACCTTTTTTATGGTATTCTACATGTATGTTATGGTGATATGGTCAAATTATAAAACAAACCTTTAATGACTACCGTCTAAAAACAAAAAATATAATACACATATAGGACTTTGTCAACATTTCATGAAATCTATTTTGAGCAAATTAGCATGACCATAGTTTAACCACAGCATATGTTAGCTGTGGGAATCAACCACTTAAAGTATCTCGGATTCTCGGAGCTTCAGGTGGTACAGAAAAGATCTAAATTGGCAACACATTCATAGCATTTTGTTTGCTTGTTTGTTTGTTTGTTTTGAGAGCAATACTAGCAAGACATATTCTAAAACAAGTCTATTTTGGGAACTCCTTGTAAAGCTTTCGAATGAATACAAAACAATGTATTGAGCGCAATAACGATTTAACTTTTAGATCTTGTTTGATTGTGATTTCTATAAATGAAATGATTTCAATGATAAAATAACAATGTAATACTTTCTGAAGGATAACAATTTCCATAAGCATACTAATTGTTGCTATATTGAGTGGACAGATGAAAGAAATGGCAGTTGTTCTCATTCAAGACAAGCCATAAAAATAATGTATGAATAAATAAGAGATTATGATATCTACATAAGCATTAATTTTTATTTTCCTCCCCCCCCCAAAAAAAAAAAATGAGAATGGCATGGAAAATTGTTATTAATATTTTATGGTAAGCTAAAAGGCACAATTCAAAATACATATCATATTTTTCTTCCTGGAAAGGTAATTGAATTGTGCATATATATGTATTATAACATGTTTGAACATCAAATCGGAAAGTTTCAAGTAAAGGTAGTAATGCTTAATATATTCAAAGAGATTTTAGTTTTTCATTTTAGTCTTATTATCAAATGCATAACTTAAAAGTAACTTTTGTAGTTAATCAACAAATAAATTTCTATTTGGTGTCTGTTTTTATTACCGGTATGTTTCTTCATGCACTTGACTAATTTTGAAAACAAGCAAAAGAAGGAATATTCTTTGCCGTCAACAGCTCACCAAATTTCTCATTCACCAGCTATCTATACCACATAAGTACTGAATCAATTTTCCAGCCACAAACTTGTTATAATAGACCCTTTTTGTAATTAATCCGATTTAATGCACAAAATCTTTGTTACGTGCCTTATTACAAATCATTTCATTCACTCAGTATGGATGATTGTATTTCAATGTTAGTCAGAATGCAAATTCCATGCATGAATTGTTGCTAGGTAGGACAAACATTGTGGCTCGTCCTAACTAACAACACTTAATGTATGCCGTTCGCATTCTGACTTTTGAAGTACAATTATTTGTAACAGGTGAATATCAATTTGTAACAAGGTACTTAGGATAGATGTGTGTATTAAATTTGATTACACTGAGAAAATGGCCTATTGGGTATAAATGGAACTATTTCATTTTTTGTTCCTACTGCCTCATTTTTAATTTTTTTTTTGTTGCTTTTATGTTAAACCTACGTTACATTGCACTTCAAAAGAGGTATTTGTCTTTTCCGCTTCAGGAATCAACATACCTACACCTAAATACATTTCTTCTTTTCTTTTATATAAAAGAGAATGGAAAAGGACAATATTTCTTCTTCTTTTTTTTTCTTTAATCTTTTCTCCCATTAGTACGATACCAAAATAACACATCTTTACTTTCTAGTCCATATCTGTCTATAAACTAATTGCTCTAAGTTGTAAACACCTAGAAGAAAACCAAACACAAACTGCCACTGTAAGGGTCTTACTTCGGCTAAATTGACTGTATTCAGAACTCACAAGAGAGCAGGGCACTACACTACTGGTACAGTAAAACCTGCTTTAGTGATCACCTGTATGCAAAGACCACCTGTATGCAAAGACCACCTGTCTACAAAGACCATGTTTTGTGTTTCCTTCGGGTGGTCGCTCGCTATAGACAGGTTTGACTGTATTTGTATGGGGTCCAGATAGACAAATGAGGTTTTATATAATTATGTAAGCTTCAGCACCTTTTGGGGCATTTGGGAGGTCCAGGCATAGATATTCTACACTTGTGTGTCCCAGTGCCTGTTAGTGTTGAGACCCGGGCCCTGTTTCATCAGACTTGCTTTCAACAACAAATGCTGAATTTCTATGACAAATTTGCTGTCAGCCAATCAAATGCCAGGATTTCAGTAGCTTATAACAGTTATTGGAACTTGTCTATTGATAACAAGTTTTGTGAAACAGGGACCTGGTGCAGAAGCAACTTATCAGTAGCTTGAAACTTCTTACAGTTTGCACTCTTTTCAGAGGGGGCATGACATTCACATTAAACAGCCAATTATTCTTGGATCGGGCACCTGAACACTGCTCCTATGGACACACTACATCTATGGTGGAATGGCAATGATGAGAGCGTTACGATCACGTTTCTATTTTGCGCATGCGTTAGTTTTTTACACTCGCGAGCAGTTGACACGCTTGAGTAGAAAGTTGCTCCTCATGCAGCTAGGGGGCGTTGCTTGCAGATTCGGCGTCACATAGGCGGAAGTTGGAGTGCTGACAACGTTTCCGGGAATCACAGACACGTTTTTCTTCCACATCATTAAGCGTAGCGCGACGTGCAATCATTTCTTCGGAGTCTTTGGAGATGGCGATGGATTTCTTCGCTCGGCTTACGGGATCGATCGGACCTCGACGGCGGAACACCAGCAGGGCAGACATAACGACGACCAAACACAAACGACTTTGCCGGAATTCGAAATCATACGACACTCCACAGCATGGGAACGTTCGCTAATCACGCTTAAAAAGAGTTAACATCAAATGCTTTTAAGCCATGTTCGGTGTCCTTTTTCACCTGCGTAGGAACATGCCCAGTGCTGCGATTCCGGCGCCCACCACGGCATAGCCGCATGCAGACCGGACAAATTTTGTGAGAGATTCTTGAGCTCGTTCAGCTGCTTGATTGCGATCAAAGAAATCCATGAAGCCATCCTTTTGGATCGTAAAGAGAGAAAGAAAAAACGGTACATAACATTAAAATCGACCTTTAAAACGTACCTTATGAATACCACTTGAAATTATGTATGCATGAACATGAAGGAAGTGTTTTCATTCTATCAGTTCAGTGATCGGTTTAAGAAGAAACCACTCATAAAGAAATGATAAGGCCGGTTAAAGAAACACACACACATGTCAATGTATTCTATCAAAATCAACATACAATGGAGTCAACTGTTAATTATCGATGCAATCTTAAATGCAGACAAAAAGATAATGATGAGCCTTACTTTACAGTTTAGACATTGTAAGATCATTAAATTTCATGCCTGAAGGGAGAATTTAAAAAAAAAGAGGAAAATTTCCCTATAAATAAAAAGAGTATTGGGTTCATCACTAAAGGTATACAATTCTTCAAAATGTATCTACTTATTTTTTTAATAATAAAAATAAATCTATAATCAATTGTTTTTCATACAACAGTAGTTGCAATTTCCTCACACATTTTCAATATTTATCTTTATATATTTTCATACATATTCAAGGCAAACACAGACATGTACAAGACATTTCATGCATGTGAAATATATTTATATAATTTGTTTTGGTCATGCAATAAAAAGTGCTATTGTATTCCTATTTCTTCATCATGCAAGAATATATGGTGCTAATGATACAACACATTTGGAAGAAGTGCAAATACTTGAAGAAGAAAAAGAAATAAAGGGAAAAGATGAGATACAAACTATGAACATATGATGCATTTGTGTACAAATGTTCTGTTATAAATATGGAAGCGTGCCACATGGTATTTGCTCTTATATTATGCCATTTCTTTTCTAAAAGGTTAACAAAAAATGATTGATATGGAATAATATTATTCTAGTATTCTGGTATTTGCTCAAACTCAGGAAAAACTTGGGTCTACATGATGGAAATGTACAAGTATAAAAGGGAAAAAATGCTCTGTGAAAATGAGTTTTACGAGAGAAGCATAAAACTATGACTATTAACGGCAGTTGAAGATTTTTTTTTTCTTGTACAAATCGGCAGGCTGACATGCAATTTCTGTGTGAATTTGAACATAAAACCTACAAACAAAAACATCAATTCCAAGTCATCCCTTTGTCAATTAATGGTGCAATCATGCCTGTACACGATTCATCCTTTCAAGAAGAATCTCCAGCATACTCAAAAAAAAAATTAAATAAATATTACGAGTCAGTCATTTCAAGATGTTGCAAAATAATTTGGCACTGATGTTTCATTATTTTATCCCATTCTTTCACCTTTTTCCTATTCTCATAAAACTTGACAAGGATCATGAGGCAATTATCTGGTCTTACAACATGCATTGACTTGTGTAATAGTGCAAATTCCACAGCCACCACCAATTTCACACATGCAAGACAATACTAAAAGAAATTAAAATATAATTATTTGCATACATTCTGGCTGACTAGTGTATCATGCAATCGTGCTTCTACAAAGTGAAACTAAGATTAGTTGAGCATGACAGAGAGGACAAATCGAAAAAGTCAAAAGAGGAAATCAAAGCAGAACTTAAGGAATTATTAACAGCATCCCATTTTTAAATGCTCAGTCCAAACTTTAAGGATATATTAGAGAAAATAAGGAGAGAGTTTGAATTTGCCAATAGCACAGAAAACCAGATATATTTACAGCTTTTTAACCCAAATATGGTTACAAAGAGAAACTTTTCACCTCATACAGGCTCCTATTTCTGTAACAAATAGTGAAAGTAACTTAAGATCTAGAGAAAAGCCCACACCAAATACTCCAGATCAATTCTCAGCAAATTCAAATAAAATAAAAGAAAGAAATAGCGCTTTTACTTATTGAAGTCATTGATTGCTTTTCTATTTCTAAAAGTGCATTTTGCAAGTCGATAAGAAATTAACACTTTCTATATTTTAGCAGATATGCAAAGAAACAACAAAATGAAATTGAAGTATCTCAAAATATTTATGGATAAGTTTGAGAGAAAATAAGTGCGTACAAAACAACACACAAAAACAAGAAACGAAAATGGGCAAACAATTTTGTTCCATATGACTTTCAAAACAAATCTGTCCTCACTTTTTGTCAAAACTAAAGCAATAAAACTACTGGACAAAGAAGACTACGAAGGAATGTTTCCTATCTTCTGAGTAGGCAAGCGAGGGCTGCGATTCCCGCGCCGAAAACTGCGAAGCGGCACGCCGACGACATGATCGACGAGACGGTTTCCCTCGCCCGGACTTTGCCATTCTCCTCAAAAAATGCCATGAACCCATCCTAAAATAAGGAAGATTTTTGGAGTTTTGTTTTGGTCGGTGGTGGATTTAAGATGATGATGAGAATGTCATCCGATTGGAAAGCATGGAGAAAGTAAAGAAGAGGAGAATATGGAATGAATAGATGTTGGATATAAGATGATATCAAAGGGCTCAATCCAATAGTAGTAACTGTGAATAGCTACCTAACAATGAGGAATGTATAATTCAACAAAACCCACATTTTATGTAGTAGTATGAGTATTAGAATGAAAATCAACAATTCAACAGACTTTAGAATGTCTGAATTATGAACACAATTCTATAATTGGGTTGCTTATTTTACATGATGAAGAATCAAATATAACAATTTCCTTTTAATGTTGTGTCTATAAAATATCACGGGAGTAATATCTGGAGATATTAAAGTAATAATTCACTCTGTTTATTATTTATTACAAAAGCTTGACTGAATTTGGTTAGTTTCTGTTTTCTCAACTTTTTGGTTTAGGACAAAAACAAACAAGGCAATTTTATTGTATAAGAATAGAAATCTAACACCAACACAAATCAGGTATAAAATAGGGTTAATTAATTTCTGATTAAATACATATTCATGGTTATAAGAAAAATCATTCACAACACCACACCATGTACTAAAGCTATAAAAGGGTAAATCATAGATAAAATAATGAATATTGTATTAAACATGGGAAGAATACAATCATACTGTATACAGTTAACAATTAAATCACTCATACCCTTACCAAGTTTTGTAATTTGTTAGTATTTAAAAAAAATGATTTGTCCTGATATATATTTCTTGATAATGTGGCATATTTAAAGGCCCACTGCACTACTTGTAGCTACTTGCGCCCTCTATATCCAAACAATGCCTAATCGGTGACCGTTGGTCCCCCATAATCCTCTTTTTCTTATGTTAACTGAGAGCTGAGTTGATGAGATAACCACCTGTCCAGTGACCTTGCAGGGCGGTCTAATCCCTCCTGTAAACTATGGCAGATAAGCTTTAAGCTTACATCTATAGAAAGTATTCAACAACGGCCCTAAATTCAACCAGTCCACCTTTTACTCTTGAGTTATGAAAATAGAAAAAACATCAAATTTACAAGGGGTATGAATAATTTAGTAATTAACTGTTTATCTCTTTGCAATGAAATTACTGTGAAAGCTAGAGTTGAGTGTAAGCATGATTTAATCCTGTTTTGTGAGTTCTTTGAAATGAAGCTTTATCATCAACACTTTTCCTCTACCAGAAACAAAAGGGAGCCATAACCATACAGAAGTCTTGTGGATCTTTTTTTTTATATGTAAGGCAGGATCTGGCCTTCTAGACAATCTGGGACCCGTTTCACAAACCCTTTTTTCAATGACAAATGACAAAATCGGTGACAAATCTGCTGATAACCAATCAGAAGCAAGGATTTCACTAGCTTATAACAAAAACTGTCATTTGTCACTGATGACAGGTTCTGTGAAATGGGCCCAGATCTACCTCTGTCAAACTACTCTGCAATTATTCATACCCAGTCTTGCAGTAGACTACAAAAAAACTTAATGAATCTTTCAAAACTGCTTGGCAACTGCTAGACTTACGACAAAACTAACTTGTCACGTGCAGTAAAATATGACAAAATAATAAATATTAACCAATTCCTTGCTCACCAGCTGTGCAATGCTTACCTCGATTTTGAGGTCCACCACAAAAACAACAGTCCAAAGACCTGATGGCCCAAGTCTGTATGCATAGGCCTATTATTTTTAAAATGTGTCCTAGGGGCCTCTTATTGCCAAGCTCTGCTGACAACCCATGGCCCACAAACAGATTTTAAAGCCCCATTGCACTACTCATAGCTACTTGTGCCCTCTATACAGCCAACAATGCCTCTTTTTCTTATGTTAATTGCAGGGAAAAAAATATTTAAAACAATTCAGGGGCTACTTTTTTTTTTCTTTTCTTTTTTTTTTTTCTTTTTTTTTTTTTTTGGGGGGGGGGGGGGGGCTCTTTTATGACTTTCGGGGCTATTTTGGGCATTTTTTTCCCGGGTTAATTGAGAGCTGTTTTGATGAGATAACCACCATGCAGGGAGATCTAATCCCTCCTGGCCAAACTAGTGCAGTGGGGCTTTAAGAAAAAGGTCCGCAAACTGATAGGTCTTGGGACATCGGCCTTGTAGGTTGCAGCCTCCAGTTCTGCACTAGACAATAGAAAATAAACAAAATATTCCTTGCTGAACTGTTTTAATATGTCATGCTTACCCAATTTTGATGGTCTTGCATCCACGGTAATAATTTACTGCCAATGTATCTGGATGTCCAGCCTATAATACTGGGAACTAAGTCTTCTAAGTTATTACTAGCACAATGTACAGAAAGTCGGCCGCTGAACGCTATTAAAGCTGCTATCCTTCCCCATGTTACACCTGTATTGAAGAGGAAGAAGAAGGTGAAAAATAGGAATGAGATATGGAGAATAGAGAAAGAGAACGATCAAATGAGTTAAAGAGAGAGAGAGGGGGGTAAGGAGAAGAAAAAATAAATGACCTAACGAGAGCTTTATTCATAGCATACTGTAAAACCAAAAAATTTAGTGACATGAAAGTTTTGTAAATTGTAAGATGCAGCAATTTCATGGCGAGAAACCATAATGAATCACCAAATTTCAGTGTTGTGTAAATTGCAGTTTAGTCATTGTGGGCATGAGTGTTTTCCCAAATCTTGACCCCACACAAAATTTGCTAGTATTGCGTGCGAACAAAATTTCATGTGGAGGAGTCTTCCTCCTATTTTAACCATTTCAAATAAATGCTACATTGTACATTTAGTACTTGGCGACGATGCAGAAAGAAATTCATTATTTTGATGAACAAAGCTTTATGATGGCTTTTAATTCTCAGTATTAGCAATACCACCCAGGGAATAATTTTCCTCAAATATTTTGATTAGCAATTTCAGCTGATGGATAAATATTTCAAATGAAATTCTGTACATTTCTATGGAAGAAAACTGCTACACAAACAATATTTTGGGTAGCAGTCATGCAAAAATGCATAGCAAATTGCGATGCGATACCAGGAAAATTATTCCCTGCCACCTATCGGATGCCACAGATTAATAGCTGATTTCCAACTTTGGAGACGACATCAAAGCTGCGCTACCACAGCAGCATTGTTGCCTGGCCATTTCAAATCTTTCATCTATGAATATTTGAAGTCTAGAAGTGTGGTAATAGCATTCGGATGCTTCACAGATGAAACAATTACAAAAGCAGAGAGCGAGACCACTTAACAAAAATTGTCCACAAATCGAAAGAAAATACGTAGTCTGGTACATGCAAGTGGTAATAGAAACAATCGTTTCCAGTAATGGTATACAAAATTACAAATATCTCAGATCGTATCCTTATCCTCTTCTATTCTCTGCTATAAAGATTCTTGATCATTTATAAAGCTTTAGTTCCTTCTCAGATTAAATATAAATTTGCTAGGCATGCGAAGCCCCGGTATTTTCCACATCCTAATTCGTGATGTCGACTATTTCCCCATGAGGTATTGTGGATTTCAGCTTGTACGTTACCACCTATAGGGGGCGTGCTGTATTGCGAACAATGGGAATTCACATACTTTTCACACCTTTACCTCTCGATCCGTTCTCTTGGTCCTTGAAAAGCTCGTCCGCTAAGTCTTTGAATTTGGCGTAGGCCGTGGTTTCGCTGATGTTCAGCTCCTCGCAACACCCAGAAAAAAAGTCTGGATTTGTTCTCTCGATTTCTTCACCTATAAAGAGATAGAAAAAATAAATATGAATTATATCAAATCATGCAAAACCATTAATATTGATTGTTCTGCTAATAATGTCTCACTGCAATTAAATTCAAAGTAGAATACTGGTACTAAATATTCTTCTAAAACAAATGACTTTCAACAGTTCCATTTAACCGAATCCTGAAAGCCAAAAGTGATCTTGGAAGCAGGAAAGGGGAAGGGGTAGGGAACAACAAGGCAGTGGGGAGAGGCAAGGAGGAGGGGGGGGGGGGGTAGGAACAGGGGGGAAGCATGAGTGGGGCAAGGAAGACATTCAACGATCAAGACCCACCTATTTCTTTCTTACTGCAACAGGATGAGGGGCTCTCTGCTCTGAAATTGGGGGTGGGGGAGGAGGGGAGAGGTACATTGGGGGGGGGGGGGGGGTAGGAAAAAGGTTTAGCATGGGGAACAATAGAAGAGGCCTGGGGTAAAAAAAAAAAGTTTGGGGGAGGGAGACATTTAAGGCTCATTCAGACATAAGGTAAATCGCTGTGACAGAACTCTGCTGGGTTTTTAAAATAAAAGACAGTTGCGTGCAACAAAGATAAGCCAATTCATAGTTGCAGTCCGAGCATGAGCAGATAAAGATAATTGCAGACCAAATTGTGAAATACACAGAGACAAATACTGGATACTTGCTCATGAAAGTTATGTAATCATTATTCATTTATGCACAAGCAGAGCATTCCATGAATCACAGGTGGAAGTATTCTTTGAAAAGGGAAACAAAGGCTATTTATGTAGAACCTACATCGCTGTAGGAGAGATTATTTCAAATAAAGTGGGACCTCTTCATGTTTTGAAGATCTGTGGATACTCGGGACCATTTGGGACATGTGCTAACCATGAACTGGTATATCAACTGAGCTCTTGTTATAATTAAAATACAGAAATGGGAAGCTAATTACAGTATTAAAATGTCATCGTTTCAAAAGACGTTTTTACCGCCTCACGTCTAAACAAGGCTTTACGGTTTAATAAGACCCACCTATTTCTCTCATTCTGGCTGCGACGGGAGCATAGGGCTCTCTGCTCACATGTTGGTAAGACGCAAGTTCGATGCTCTCCTTTCGTATCCTGTGTATGCAGTAATCCTCAATCAGTTTAGTGGTTTCACTATCATTCATCTGGGGAGCAGCGAAAAGGGAGAGAGAGAGAGTGAGAGAGAGAGAGAGAGAAACAATCATCAGTTAAAGAAACGTTAATAATGGATTAGTCCATGTAAAGAATAATAACTCATAGCACGTCTCCCCTTCGATTGTGAATGGCCTTTGAAGATGTCTGCAAGCTAAATGCTATTGTTCAACATTTCAGATGATGGGCGGTATTAATCAAGTTTGAAGAAGGAAGTTACAGACCCGGACCCTCTTGCATAAAAGTCAAGTTGAGATACATTGTAGATCGCAACTCAGATCAAACGCAAATATCATACGCAACTTGAAATCAAATGCAACTTTGCGTTAGGTCATACATGCAATGTATATCTATCATAGAGTTGCGTTTGATTTAGAAAAGTTGCGCTTGAAAGTTGCGTTTGAAATCAAATGCAACTCTTTGTGCAATGGAATTGCAATCAAACTCAAAGTTGCATTTGATTTTTAGGACTTGCAAGAGAGCCCTGAGGGGAAAAAATATGAGGGGGGGGGGGGCAGTTCTAGCTCTATGAAGCTCCATGAGACCTTATGAAAGTGCAAAACATACCGGTAACTTTCATAAAAAAATTTGATACATTTAGTATATTTTGTACATGTGTTTAATCGGGCAAGTGTGATTTACATTTTTGTTTGCCCATGGCAAGCTTTTATACTGTAGCCTGCTCTTACTAACCCCACCTTCCCCCCCCCCCCCCCACCCCACAAAACAATGAAAATCGTTTTTGTTTTAAAGGTATGTAGAGTAAACAATGGGTAATCACTAATCTCTCTTCATTGTAAAATATGGGAAGTCTCTGTATTGAAGGTATCAGTGATACATGTACATTGTAGATGTACCAGTAGATCTGACACTTTTTCTCCAATGGCACGTGCCGCTCCTCACATGTCACATAAATATCAAACACAGGATCTAACATTTTATGAACAATGTGTACATGTACAGGTATGTTAATAAAAAGTAAACTTGAGTTTCAACTGACTTAAAATACATGATATCCTGCAAGGAACACAATGTTAATTACAGTACCCGTAACTTTGACAGATCTATAAAAGTCGTTTTACAGATCCATTTCCAAAGTGGCATTGTTAAAACGATCAAGTTTCAAATTATGACAGACACTTCAAGTTATTGAGGGTCTACAACAAAGCTACATCCTTAAATATATTACTGTACGTATTGAGACTCCACAATTTGTCTATTTTTTGCAGAAGGGGGGGGGGTGCAAGTGGATATGAGTTTGGGGGCCCAGGTGCATCGGGCACTTGTCGGGCCAGGTTATTGTATAGGATAAAAGTTCCTGGTGTAATTCTGTACTACTACTTATTCTTAATTGCTCTTCAGTTTTTTATAACTTTATGCAAATGCTTAAAACTCATGTTGTACTGTGAAAATAAAACATTATACCTGGTACATATTTTTCATTGTACAGTGTATGTAATGTGTAGATTCAGGAAAATAGGGGCTGCGCATCTAATTGAAATATAACCACACATAAAAGCAATTGAGATGAAGTACTAATACAGTATCCAATTCTAAAATAGATTGAAGGTATTTTACATCAACATCCTGGTAGTGGGCGTTTGTTTTTTTCCTTTTCCATCTTTATTATCAAACATCAGTCCAGGATATACTGTATGAGTACTGCATGGATGTTACATTCTATTACTTTCAGTTATATACAAAGTGAATGGGAATTTCATACAGGACATGTGCTCAGTAATATATGATGTCTACTACAATGTACAATAGTACAGATACAAATACAAATCCTAAGCAATCATCCATCATGATTTATAGTCATCAATCCATTCATTCACCTCCCTCTCTATTCATTTTTCATCCATTCATCCTTCTCTCAATTCTTTCATTCATTCATTCATTCATTCATTCCTTCAATCATCCTCTCAATTCATTCATTCATTCATCCTCTCAATTCATTAGTTCATTCATTTATTCACCTATTCATCTACATGTATCCATCCCTTCATCTATCGACTCATTCATCTATCCATTCATTAACTCCTCCATGCATTCATCCATTCATCCATCTATCCATTAATCCCTTCATTAATTTCATCATTCAAGAAAGCATCTCTTTTTATATCAAATGTATGTTTTGCATAGAGTATCAACCAATCGGGTTTGTGTTTCAATAATGTTTCTTTCATACATATACAATATACCTACTACAAACTTTTGTTGTAAGCTGTTTAAAGTACACCATGCACATGTACAAGTAAGTTTGTCAACAATTCACGTTTTCAAAAATTACGCAACCTGTATGCCATGGAATACCCATACAAGTGTACATGTAGCAATCCCTTTTATACAACTATTACAAATGTGGATACCAGATGGTCGAGTGCTATTTCCAATTAAAATGGTTGGTTTGGAAACAAGCCCTTGTTAGCGCGGTGATATACGTGCCTTCATCTCTAACTGAACCGCAGGATTACCGGTATGGGGTATGACGGAATGCATCAAGCGATAACCTCAAATTGGCAACACATAACAACCGCAGCAGAAAAAGGTTTGAGGGCATTAAGTGATGAAACGATTTTTGTGTACACAGTTATCGCAGAGGTATTGAAAGATTACAAGAATAAAATGAAGTGATGCAATGTCCGAAAATTCATTTGTCATTTTAGCCCAAAGCACTTTAAAATGGATCTCCAAATGCATCATCATTGCCTCTTCAAATTGGCAATCATTCTTATCTTCAACTCTAATATAAAAAAAAAAGAAAAGGATAAATTCCAACAGCATTTGAAAGACAATACTAATTTAGAACTTCCTTTAAAAATGGGGGGCTTGAAAATGTCTATAAGTGGGAAAATAACGACTATTAGTTGTCGAACCGACTTAGGAGCTATAGAGCCAGTAAGTAATAGTCTTGATTTTCAGACCATTTACCAAGTGGTTGTATGTTTTATGCTGCCCAAAGATTCAATCAGTTGAAATTTGGCCATTATTTATAAGAAGTGGGTTTATTGATGTAGACAAATGCTCACGTACTCTTTACAGCTCATTTTATGTACAGTATGTTATTACCAAAGAAGAAAAAAAGCCAATCAGTCACTCAATAGTGTCTGACGGTGAAGTCTAGCAAGTAAACAGGTTTTCTTGCACAATTTGAATATTAGGACACTGCTGACGTTTAAATTTCACAGATATGACATACATGTATATACATGACATATTCATAATTCCTGCAAAGTTCTACAGAGTTTGAGGTTGGCTGCAAAAGGAACATACTCAACATAGTATCTTCAAGACAAATAAAAATCAAGATGTATAAAATATCTTACCGGTAACAATACAAATGTCTAAGAAACAACCACAGAAGTACTATAAAAACATTACACTTGCCTTCCATTTTCCAAGCTGAGCCGGTAGTTAGAGCATCAGACTCAAATCTGTACCAAAAGCATTCAACAGGGCGACAGTACACATTTCCTCTCCTACCAAATAATAGGCCTCCTAGAAATGTACAAGATTCAACTCGAATCGCTAACGTACACGTTACATATTGGCCTCATGCCCGAGGAATGCTTGGTATTTAACGTTTGACAAAGATGAGATCAGAATTAATGCATTGGTGATCAAGCTTTTGATAGTAATTGAGCGTGTGGCGGGCAGTGACAATAGATCTGATGATGCCATACGCTGTGACACCCATTCAAATGCAAATTGACATCATTGACGAGAATACATTTTGGAAAAGCTAATATTTCCACCCTGCAGAAATTCAGAGATAAAAGGTCACTTGTACTATATTCCCAAATAATGTCCATTCTACAGAACTGATGTTTATAGTCAAAAGGTCACTGCACTTCAAGACAACAACAAATGAAAGAAAACAAAAACAAAAACAAAAGAAACCAAAGTGTGTGTAAAAACAAGTAGGTCTACACTGTATGTGTAACTTGTTCTCTATTGTGTTTAACAGAATTTGACTTACTGGAGTAAATGTACAGTACATGTAAACTTCCACATTGACACAAATTTGTCAGTTTATTCTCTTTTGAAATTTAATCTGTTTTTTCATTTTTGGCCAAGATCATAAAGTGGATACAAATGTTGTTTCTATTGGATGAATGTACATGTACAAGACAGTCTTCATTCAGTTATGAAATAGAGAAAGCAGTAAAACGGTTGTTTCATTGTAAACTTTGAATAACTTACATGTATACACAATCAAACAGACATCAACAACAAAGAACAAAGAAAAAGGAGTTTTTAAGATGGAAAAAGTACTTCACATGATCATGACACGTACCTGAAGCAAAAAGTAAGAATGGATCCAAATATTCATATTAAATGCCTTGGAAAAATATAAAATGCAATTGCAAAATGCCCTACCTTTTCAAGATGACCTTTTGTGCACATAGCATCAACAACGTCCCTCTTGACAGTTATCTTGGCCATAATATTTCAGTATTAAAGCTGATTTACAATACAGTGTTGATGAGACAGAAAAGTGACTTTGAGGTGCGAACAAAAAGTTGAACTTGAAGTTGAACTTGAGATTGCAACTTGTAGAATATAAGACAGGCACTGAGAAGGAACTAAAGCTTCAATGATCAAGGTTCTTAATTAGCAGAAAATAGAAGAGATACATGTATGAAAGAATATGATCTGAGATATTTGGATACCAATCCTAAAAAAGAAAAGTAACTGCGAGGTGCTTCTAGCGAACAAGAAGTTGAACTTGAGCTGGCAACTTGTAGAATATGACGAGAACTGAGAAAAACTAAATCTTAAATGATCAAGGATCTTAATTAGCAGAAAATAGAATGGATAAGGATAAGGATACGATCTGAGATATTTCTATACCAATTACCATTCCTGAAATTAAACGATTGTATCAATTACCACTTACCTGACAATTTCAATCGGGTTTCTAAAGCCATCTTGAGAAAAAAAAGCTTGGATCTACCCACCTACCTGAAGTATTGCACAATCCTGTTTT